GAGAAACCTCACCAGCTGTCAGTGTGTTGCGGTAATGAGATAAAATTGCTAAATCCTATATTTTATTAAAAAAAAACAACATAATTTAATTTACTTAGTCTGACAACAGCATTCACATTATGAAATGATTAAAAACAAAAAGATTTATCTTGAAACCTTACGGTTACAGTAATGAGAATTTTGTCACTTGGAAAATGTTAAAAAATCATTCAGCTTTACTTTTAATTACTGTGCCAGTCGTCACTGATTGTACATCCAAATAAGGAAAGCTTCAGTCATTCTAATTTTTTCATCATAGGTCCCAGTTTCTGTCACATTTTGTGAAAATAAACCATAAAAACTATCAAAAAAATGTAAGGGTTCATACCACTAGGGCCCTTTTTCCCCAAACAGAGACAAATATCAGTCACTTCAGAGAAAATATCACAGAAACCACAAACTCTGTTGACAGCAAGCGCCTCTCTAAATATTACAAGAGCCTGAGTTCATCAACGGCATCCTCATTTAATGAATTAAGCTTCATTAAGCAGTGGAGAACTGGTATGAATCACACAATTTCAAACCCCATGAAGTCCTGTAGATAGCCTGTGTCTTTTCTCTTTTTCTACCAAGAATCCTTTATCCTCACAGCAGCAGCACAAACCCCACTGAAATCCTGTTTGATAGCCTGTTTCTCTTTTCCCTTTTTTCACTCTATCCTCACAGTATACTTGAGAAGAATGAAGAGCAGTAGAAGACCACCTTCTCCAAGCAGAGGAAGGTAGAAGTTAGCTACGTTCTGCATCCAGATCACCTCTTCGACCAAGCAGCTATGATGCAACAGTGTCAGGTAAGGCAGCAGGCAACAGTTAGCGCTGCTGGGGCTTCGTTTCATGTGGCCGCACTGCCCTCTTTTGGTGCTTCAGCAGCAGGACGACCTACACATGAGTGTCCAGATCAGACAGCTAGGCTGCCACATCATGCTGCATATCTTGACTATCAGTTAGCTTTGTTTGCTTTATATACGTCTGAGCATTCACTCTGTCTGCCTGAATGTCTGACACTGATTTAATCAGGTTTGTGTAAGAGATACTTTGCCAGCCTGTATTTAGCCCTGTAGCTTTTGCCTGTGTGCTATTGGGCTGCACAATTAATCACATTAATTATTTAAGGCTTTGATCTCTTCAGTTAACTAATCATTAAAGGCTGCAATTAACGCATTCCGCTTAGTATTATGTGTGCGTATCAAAGACCAAGTAGCCCTGCTTATGTACACTGGGACAGCCTCGCTAATGAGCAGTAAGTTTGGCTGCTAATTATCCCGAGAAGGCTAATCTCATTTCTCTTTGCATTTGGATGGTTTTTGTTTCAGAGCCCACCTCTGGCTGGTGTCGTGGAAGAATGGCATGGCAGGAGTAATGTGAGGAATCTAGCAGCCCTGATCAAAAACAAAGCAATTCCAACCACGAACAGTAGATGATGCGCAATCATTGACTCTAAAACAGGCTTTGGCCTAGACCTAGCAGAGCTTCTATAGAAGCTCTTTTGTGTTTTCCCTGAGTCACATTATTAGCTAACAATGCTTTTAAACTGAATCAGGGTCTATAATCTCAAAATAGGAGACCAGATCCAGGAACAGACTCGCTCCACTCTTTAAAACGACTCTGGTCCAGAAACAGCACTTCTGAATAAAGATGCTTTGTGAATACCACACCAAGGTGTTTTTATTTTATTAAGAGTGCAGGCATTTTTGCATCGTCCATACAGACAGGCAAGTGCTCAAATAGTCCTAAATAAACGTTGAATAAACATCAAACCTTTGCTGTTTGCACATTAACACAAAATATTTAATGTTGTTTTATGTACATTTTTGTTCTATGTTCTTGAGTTTTGATTCAAACCCCAATCATACCATCTTATTTAGCTGTAAAAATGATATACAGTCATTTTAAATTACAGGATAAAGAGTGAATGACATCATTTAAGCATTTGGGGGGGGCAAAATCTGGGAAATTTCGTTGTATTTGCTTGACGCACCCTGTTAAGGATGCAATATGCAAAAATAAACAGTTTTTTTTTGAACTTTTTTTGCAACATTCAAAAAAACAGGAAAGTTTTTTCTCTGTTTTTACTGTTAAAAACTTACTTTAAATGGTCTAACCTTGATAACAGGGAGTCAGTTTTGTATTAAAAGTATTTGTTTTATCTATTTGAAACCATGGAGTCCAAAAAATGTATTTTCTTTGCATAAAAAAATCTAATTAGAACGTCCATTTGGCACCAACCTTGTGGAATGACTCATTTCCCAACACTACCCTGCACATTTCAGTGTTTCCCTTCTCCCAACACACCTGATCCAACTAATCAGCTCATTAACAACCTCCTACTGAGCTGCAGTGGGTGGGCTGAAGCAGGGAAAGCACTAAAATGTGCAGAGCAGTGGACCCCCAGCACCAGAGAAGGGAAACACAAAAAAAGAGTAAGAACTGTGGAGTGTGGGCCTCCAGGACAGCACTCAGTAAACACTGCTCTAAACTGCTGTTTAATGCAGCCAACAGGTTGTTTAGTCTGATGGCACTACTGTGTGGTGATGATGGTGTATTTAGCTAAAGGCCCAGCTCCGTCTACAACACATAACGCCTATAATGACTCAGAGTTTTATTGCGTGACAACAACATTCAAGTCACAGCAATTCCATTTTAGTGAGTTTCACTGGTTTAGCAGTTGTTTATAACAGGCATTGTCACAAAGCTGTTAAACAGGCCCCATAATGAGTAAGCAGAGGGTGATAGAGACAGGAAGAAACACTGAGAGGTACTAAGACTCAAAAGAGTAACCCTTCCTCCTCTGGCCAAGACAGTGGACTCTTTTCTCAGTATGTTAAACTCGGCAAATAAATAGAAATTGTGTGCTAAAATTTGCATATAAGGCCATATTTAAGTTTGTTCCCTGTAGAAGATATTAACTTACTTTCACTTAGAAAATCAACAGAACATGTAATTTGACTGAAGTATTTAAACTTTTGCATATGACTGTAGAAGTTGTTAGATATGATAAAGATATAAGTTAGAAGTTAAAAATGATTAGAGAATTACAACATCCAGATGCAGGTTATTTATTTGTTTATGATTCAAACTTATTACAGGCTTAAAAACATAAATACTTAGCTGTTCCAATTAAACAGTTACAGTGTTTAATTGGAATAATACAGAAAGAGGTTTCAATATGTTAGATTCAAATACAAATTACACAATACATTGTGCAATAAAATTGGTCAAAAAATGTTACATTTGTGTGTTTCCTATAGAGTATGTGTGCAATTTTTATGTGGTAATTCAACAAAACATGTTATTTGACCAGATGTGTTCAAACTTTTGCATACAAAATGTATTGTGTTACTGCAAGTGAAAAAGTTATGTTTTTATTTATTATTTTATTAAGAGTGCAGCCATTTTTATATCGTCCATATAGACAGGCAAGTGCTCAAATAGTCCTAAATAAACATTGAATAAACATCAAACATTTGCTGTGCTGAAATGTATATCTATACATATGTTTGCACATTAACACAAAATATTTAATGTTGTTTTATGTAAATCTTTGAGGTTACAATGGACAGTTATCAAAAAAAAAAAATCTAAAAGAAGTAAATATAAGAATTTTCTTCTGTCCAGTTGTGTAAGTTCTGATCTCATTCAAGAATCTGCACGTAAAGGATGTTAGTGATGTCTTGTATCTCTGAGTCTGGCATCTTGGAACGGCTAGCTTGTTTGAGTTCCTCTCTTGGGGCCTGTAACCTTATGTCTAAGGGGAGGGAACCAAATCCCTAAAGCAGGGTTCTTCACTTCTGGTGCTAGAGGGCTGGTGTCCAGCACAGTTTGGTTAATTCTTGATTCAAACCTGGTTTAAGAACCCTACTCTAAATCAGACTTGCATGGGTTGTTTGGCAAAATCCAGGCCCAACTGTTTGTGCCTCTTAATGCGAGTGGCCAGTTGAAGAATACAGCATGCATCTGGATGTGCTGTGACTCTTTGCTCCAAAATGATTCTGCTGGCTCTTTTTTTTGAAGTTTTGGTAAGCGAGCAATGCCAGACAAAAACAGCATATTCCAAAACAGGCCACATGCAGACTATTAAAAAAGTAAACTATTTCCTAATCATGAGCATGGGAAAGAAGTGCAGAGCAAACAGCTTTATAACTGAAGACACCCAAGTGGTCTACTTAACTTTCCCAATGCAAATCATCCTGACTGGTGATCCCAAGACTGTTATAGCATGACTGACCTCCAAGGTGCTTTGATTAATGATCTACTATCGTTATGAGTGAGGAGAGGATTTGATAGCCAATGAAGCCCATTACAAACTAGAAAAGTGCATTTCCTGAAAAAAAAATGTGCAGTGAATGGGCAGTTTAGGCAATTCCCATATAGTTTCTAGGGTGTTGCCATACAGTTACTATGGTATTTTAAGAGCTTGCTGTGTTCCAGGTGGTTGCTAGTGTGTTGCTAGATGGTTGCTGTGGTATCTCTGGTGATTTTTAGGGTGTTGCTATGTGGTTGCTTTGGTATTCCAGGTGGTTGCTGGTGTGCTGCTGGATGATTGCTATGGTATCCTAGGTGGTTGCTATGGTATATCACATGGTTAAGAGAGTGTTGCTAGTGCTACTAGTATGATCATGGTATAAGTGGGGTGCACAAACCTCTGCCCACATATTTTTGATATTCATTCCTATGGGGTAAAAAAAAAAATCACCATTTACCAATCACTGTACAAAAAGTGTACATCTGATCCAAAAGTGAAATATCTCAGAAAGTGTGGGATGAGTTAGCGGACAGAAATTTGGCAGGAAAAGAAAAAAAAGAAGAATGTAATGTTGGTTAACAATAGTGTTGTGCATTGCATTGTGGGAATCACTAATAATGAGAGAAGGAAGAATGTGATGGTAGATGTTGTTGAGCATCCTGATAAAGCTTTTCACAGCAAGCCAGTGCTTTTCATTTAAAAGCACTTTGGGGCATTTAGGGATTAACCGTTGTGTTTTTTTTAGCCCCTCGTCCCGCCCCCACTTCTTCTTCTGAGGGGCAGTGAAGGACCCCTGGAGAGCAGCTCCAAACTTTCTTCCTCACTCACTCCCTCCTCCAAACTTCCTTCAAGTCGCTTTGGATGGTCTTCCCCGTCTTGTCTCTCCAGGCTTTGGGAAGCTTCAGCTCAGCAAGGCTCTGGTCCCTCTTGGCATTTTGCGGGTTATGAGGATTTAGCGGATTTTTTCGACGATGACTTTGAGCGGTTTGCTGGTAGCTCTTGTGTTTTTGTGGAGTTTTTCTGGAAGTCCGGCAGCTTCACAGCACAGACACGGCAGACACGGCAACAAGTGAGTACAGCTGGAGCAGCCCTGCCCAACACAGGCACAACTTCTAGCTTTCTGTAGTGCTGTTAGGCTATCACAGACATGTAGGAGAAAGCACAGCCTCCTGCCTTTACAGATCACCTCACTGCGGGGATGCCGCACTTCTCTGCGAGTCGCGTCTCCTCGATCTGATAAAGTGACACCTTTATGTTCCGTATATAGTCGTATGCTGGTTTATTGATGCTGAATGGCGGTTTTAGGTAAATCATCACCCTGATATAGTTTAAGAGAAGCTTAAGGCAAAGATCTTTAGTTCACTGTACTCTGAGTAAGTTTTTTCACACTCAAGCTTGACTGTACTGGTGTGAAGCTGAAGTCTGTGGAGCTGTGTTTGCTGTCTGTAGAGGCCTGATAGCGTTAAGGGAATTAAGACGATGACTGCTGCATTGTGCTGTTGGCTGCAGTCCACGCTATCAATTGTTATCAGTTAACACGAGTTCAGTGCTGTTATGAGATTTGTTAGCTGCTTCAATCACACACACACACACACACACACACACATATACATATATATATATATATATATATATATATATATATATATATATAAAATATACTTTTTTCCAAGTCACCAGGAATTCCTTGTACATATTGCACTTGACTTGGCAAATAAAGATTCTGACTGTGAGGTTTGTCCATCAGGAGTGTTTCTTTCATCACCTTCTTTTGGACATATTTGACTTTTGGCTATTTTGATTTCAGGTTTTGGCATCCTGAAACCAAAACAGACCTTTTTTACCTTGTTAGTTCATATGTCTGTTCATATTCCCACAGGTCTGAAATAAACTTTGTATTGTAGTAGAGCTGAGCGATATGGCAGGAGTATAATACTTCAAGAAATTTTCAGAAAAATTACATTTTAAAGATTACTATCAAAAGCTGGGAACACTGAATTTTTATTCAGTATTCAGCCCTAAATCCAGTTAAACAAGATTAGTTTTGCTCTCTTTATAATGAAACATGTAGTTCAGAAATGCATATTGTATTATGTTGTGACATCATTTATAACGATAACAATATATATATTGTTATATTGCCCAGCCTTATATTGTAATATACAATATAAATAAATGAAGAGTGGTCTCAGAGACAGCGTTTCATTTATTTAATTTCCAGTCAAAAACTATTAAGTTAAATTTTTCAGATTATTACAGAAAATATTTCTGAGGAGATTAGATATAAGACTATCCACTGGTTTATGGAAGAAAAAAGTCAAAGGACATCAGGAGTTCAACTGGAGTTCAAAAAATAGAGAAAACTACAGAGAAAATGATTCTCCTAACAACTGTGCAAGACCTGGTAGACCACCACAACTGTCACCATCAGATAAACAGCACCTAAAGTTTTCATCATGAGAGATAGGAGAAAATCAAGCTCCACTCTTGCTTCAGATCTGAAAAAAAAAATTCTGCCCATCCGTCCACTGTAAGAAGACAGTTCAACACTATGAGTCTGGAAGGATGTGTAGCTGTCAAGAAGCCATTACTGAGAAAAGGAAACAGACAAGGAAGAAGAAAATCTGCAAATCAAACAAAGAAGCTGTTGGTGTTCTTAAAACAATGGGCTGACTGCCCCAAAGTCCAGGCCTCAACATCATCAAAGACAAAGCTTTGGAGGTGTAAAAAATATGCAGATTTCTTTGAAAAACTGAAAGCAAGTCTCCCAAAAGGAATGAAAGCTGTAATAAAGGCAAAAAGTGGACACAACAATACTGCATAATGTAATATTTAGTTGTTGGGGCTTCTGTGACAGTTTCTCATTTATGTTTCCTCTTTGTTTTCCTGATGCTGGAAAATGAATCACAATTTAAATTTAAAGACAAAATTCTTGTTTTCCTGTAATGTCTGTAGTGACGTTTGCCACCTCAAAACATCTTCTCATTTTTGATTACATCACTGTGTACCAGAAAGAAAACTAATATTATCCAATATCATGTTTCCTTTTCCCTCCCTATCATCAGGCCGAGATGGTCAGCTAGCTTGGTGTCCCTCCCTAATTCTGTGTTCCACTCTAGTACGTCAGAGGACTGAAGAAAATTGCGTTATAATTTCTGATTCACATTGAATTGATATTTTGTAGTTAGTTTACTGACAAATCTGGTTTTTTTCATCTTTTTTTCTTGTTTCTTTTCACAGGAACTGGTGTGCGTTTATTGTCCAAAAGAATGTGAGCTGCGCAGTGCAGGCAGGTTTGGAGGGTCCCGCAGAGGCTGCACCCTGTCCCATGAACCAGCCTGACTGCCAGCAGCAGATGAGGTAAGGGGCTCAGGAGAGCGGGAGGGGCCGCAGTTCACAAGCTCCTCATGAACTCACAAGAACTCAAATGTCAACAAAAAAAGGAAGCTGTGCATCCCTTCATGTGGAGTGTTTATTCTACAGTGATTCAGTGTGGCGTTTAGACATTTAGACAGCATTTGTGTGTGTGGGAAGGACCATGTTTTTAGGCATTTATGGGGACCAGATGTCCCCAGCTTGACCAGAAAAATGCAGTTGGTAACATCGTGGGGACATCTGGCTGGAGGAATGATGGCTTTTTCATAAAGAAATGTAGTTGTTATTTGAAGTAAAAGAGTGAAAAGATATCTCTTTGATTACTAAGTTTAAGGCTGGGTTAGGTGTAAAGATAGCAGAATTGTTTAGCTAAATTAGAATGCACAAGTCAGTGGAAACACCCCACAGGGCAGGAATACTTGTGTGTTTGTGTGGGTTGGGTGGAGTGGAGCTTAATTAGACATTCTCCCTCTTTAAGTAGCCTGCCATCCTTAGCTGGGACAAGGCCTAAAGGCACTGAAACACAGGGAACAACTTAAGCTCCATGTTATTGGTCTAGATTTATAACCCCCATCCAGATCCATTACAGTTTCGTTTATGGCACATATTTTTAACATTGTCTAATAGCTAAATGGTCACAAGCCATTTTAATTACTGCTACCAATCACAAATGTTATTCTTCTGCAGATTAGGAGTAGATGAGTCATATTTGTTCACTACATTTTTTGAGTGAACATTTTATTTGGAAGTTTAATCTCTTTAAAAAATATAACACTGCTGTCAGAAATACACCAAGTCTAAACTCCTCATCAAAAGCTCATAGTTCTTGCAGTTCAGAGAATTCTTTGTGTGCCTATAGTGACTCATATATCTTGGTATTATCTGGAAGAATTTCTATGAAAACATGATATGTGATTGTTTTCATACATAATTGTACTTGCAGACGTGAAAGCTGAGCCGGCCCCCTCTGAGCCACAGGAAATGATGTAAACTATTCTTTTCTTTAAAGTTCCATTGTGACAATGAGGTTCATTGTGTTGCACAGCAATTATCAGCACATCTGCAGTGCCAAGTGTATGAATTTTCAACACTAATAGGAGTGGGGTGGATTTGCTGCAGTTGCCATAGGCAGTTTTTCATATTATTCGCAACAGATTGGGTAATGAATGATTTAATTTATAAATTTCTTGTAATATTGTTAATCTCAAGCAGATTTTGAATTTTATTACTTTTGGTTGTACAGTCATAGCAAAAGTTTGAACACCCCCAGTCAAAGCAAAAGTTCTGTTGATTTTCTAAGGGAAAATGAGTTAAGACATCCTCTACAGGAAACGGACTTAAATTTGTCATTTTTTTTGCAAACTTTAGTGCTCAATTTTTGTTTATTTGCTGAATTTAACAGATTGGAGAAAATGAAACATAAAATATAAAATGTGCCATAACTTTTTGCACAGGCTACTTTTAATGTTTTATTTTTTTCCTCAATATTTTAAATTCAACAAATAGTAAAATGTGCCAAAGTCTGTTTTCTGTACAGGATGCGTTTACTTATTTTCACTCATAAAATCAACAAAATGTAATTTGACCCAAACTTTTGCATACAACTGTAGATGTAGTTCTGTTAACTACTCTAACATGCACATTGTAACCCAACATCTTAGTACTTTCTCAGCAGTCTAAGAAACTAGACTGAACTAATACGTTTACACAGATTTTATGAAAGACTTCATAAAATCTGTGTAAATCCATTTATAGTTCAGTTTACACGCCAGCATAGTCTGACTTAGCTCTGATGTGAAACCTTCAAGACACACGTAAGTTTACACAAGTTTCTCGGCGTTTGAAGGAACGTCTCGTCCTCCCCCCAGAAGTGCAGCCCTGTCGCCTTTTGTCACTCATGTTTGTTTTGGTGTCGCAAAGCTGTCATCGTGTGTGACTAGCTGTGGAACTAACATCAAACTATTGGTGTACATGTAAAAGTGATAATTGTTAAAATTAAGCATTTAACATTAAGTTATCAACTCATTTATTAAACACTATATGGCCAAAAGTATGTATCACACCTACATGAGCTTGTTGGACATTCCAAAAACATTGGCATTAATATGGAGTTGCCCCCCTTTTACAGGTTTAACAGCCTCCACTCTTCGGGAAAGGAGTGTGTCTGTGGTAATTTGTGCCAATTCCATTAAAAGAGCATTTGTGAGGTCAGGCACTGATGTTGGATGAGAGGGTCTAGCTCTCAGCTGACAAATTTATAATTGTTTGGAATTATATAATTGGAATAATATAATTGTTTAAATGTCTGTATGCTGTGGCTTTAACATTACCGCTTACTAGGGCTAAAGGGCCCAAACCCTGTAAAACAGCTCCAGATCATTATCCCTCCTTCACCAAACTTGATTGCTGGCACTATGTATTCTGGGAGGCAGTGTTTTCCTGGCATCCACCTGGCAAACCCAGATTTGTCCATGAGACTGCCAGATAGTGAAGCATGGTTTGTCTCTTCAGAGAACATATTTCCACTGCTCCAGAATCCAGTGACAGTGTCGTTTACACCATTATAGCATTGCACAGTAATCCTAGGCTTGTGTGCAGCTCCTTTGCCATGGAAACCTATTTCATGAAGCTCCTGACGCACTGTTGTTCTGACATTGCTTCCAGAGGCAATTTCAAACTCTGTAGTGAGTGATGCCACAGAGCATAGGCAGTTTTACATGCTACGTGCTTTGGCACTCTGCCCCATTGCTCTATGAGTTTGTGTAGTCCAACACTTCATGGCTGAGCTGTTGTTGGTCCTATATGCTTCCGTTTCACAATTATAGCACTTACAGTTGACTGGGGCAGTGCTACATTTAAGTCACCGAGCTCTTAGGTACAACCCATTCCACTGCTAATTGCATGGCTGTGTACTTGATTTTATACACCTGTTAGTAATGGGCGTGGTTAAAACACATTAACTCAGTAGTCAGGAGTGTCCACATACTTAGTTATATAGTATAGTATATAATAAGCATAGTAGCATTACCATTTCATCCTGACTATCTGACCACACTCGACATAATTTAAGTAAATTATAAAGTAAATGACATTATGATTTGTGTATACATAGACAAAATGGTAGTAATTTATTTTGTCTTTCTCAAAACCCTTAAAATTTTCTCTGTACGCACTAGTAAGTGGTAGGCTAAATAATCAGAGATAATCATGAGAAATTTATGAAGTGTAATCAAAGTGAAAATGTAAGCCAATTAAAGTAGACTAAGCCCCAGCAAATGCGACATGCAGTCACATTTGTGCTGATCCGTGGCTAACAAGAGCTATTTTTAATTTAAAAGCAGAAGAGAGCAGAACATTGCATGTATGTGGCTCTATTACACCAGCAAGAAATCAGCATTTTGGGCTGTGTAATACCTTTGTGTTATAGTACTGGATAAAAGTACATGATTAATTGTGACTAATTGACTAAAAGACTATAGAAAAATATACAAAGAGACTCACTTTACTAATTAATTAACCTATTAATAATGCTGAAATTAGGTTTTTATTTTTGCACCCTCAGGTTCCCCTCACGGACCCATTTTCGACCCACTTATAGGATTTCCTATAAGACTGTAACTGAACTTGAATGGAGGTGCTGCCCAGGATACCAAGGCCCAGACTGCAGAGAACTAAAAGGCTCTCCAAACAGACAGACTTTGCTTGAACATCAACCACAGTTGCACCCTCAGCCTCGACACACTGGACACACTCGAAATGCACAAAGTATGACAGACCTCTTGAGAATGTCTCTTACACTTAAATGTATGAGAATGTCAGTTGCACTGAAATGTATTCTCAAATAATAAGGATTACTCTTTAAACTCAAGATATTAATCTTACAACTACTACAAGTTATTTGGTAGCTACTGTGAAAGTAATATGTGAACTCTGTAGGAATGCACTGATATGGGAATAGTGGGTAAAAGCCAATATATAGTCAAATCTAAGCATCTGCCCAGTGCAAATATATTTTTTAGGAAATATCTGCTTATGCATATATTGATGTGCATTCTTAAAATGATGTAGTTATAAGAGTAAAGAAGCTAACAGGCTTAAGGTGTAAGAGGTTGATTGAACTAATCAAAATTCTAACACCAATTGGATGTCATGCATGCTTACATAAATAATATTCTTTTTGAAAGTATGTTTTTCCCATTTTGTCCTTTCATAGGGACAGAGCGAAGAGAGACAGGGCAATATTACAGCTATCACGGGGCTGAGAAAACTCGTCAGCTCGAGGAAGACGTGCAGCGCCTCTCGCAGACGCTGCTGGACCTCCAAGCATCCGTGGCAAGCATGCGGACAGACCTGCAGAATGACACCAGAAAGATGCTGATGCACAGCATGCGTGGGCCAGACAGCGGCAGAACAGGAGGCACCGAAGAAAGTGCAGCACATCTGGATGGGCACCAGGCCACAAGGGGTCTCACCCATGGGGAAAGGGGAATGGAGGAAGTTCTGGCCAGGCTTAACGATGTAACAGATGCACTGAAGAACAAAGATGAGGTGATTAAGGAGCTGCGTGACACTGTGACGGGTCATGACGGGCAGATCCGTATGCTTATGGACACTTCTCAGGGACCAGCAGTCACTCCTGGTGCATCCTTGGACATCGATATCCTCCAGAGCTACATTGACAGCAAATTTGAGAAGCTAAAGAAGGAGCTAGTTGTGGACATGGAGGACCAGATAACAAAGTTGAAGAGTGCATGTGATGACCAGATTCTGGCTCTTCAAAAGACATGCGAAGAGGGCCAGGACAGAAGCCATGTTAACCTGACCAAACTAGTGGAGAGCAAGGAGGCTGAGCTCAGGAAAGAGATCCGTGAGCTGCGCCTGGATATGGCCATGTCTGATGGACTGGTGCAGACTCAAAGGCAAACGACTCAACTGCAAGAGGCCGATGATCCCAATGATCTGCGGCAGGCACTTCAGCAAGTGGCAGAGGCTCACCGAGTCCTAAATGCCCGTGTGGACAATGAGCTGGAACACTTGTCGATGCTGCAGCTCGAGGATATTTTTGGGCCTCGCATAGAAGAGCTGGAGGCCCGGATGAACGTGACTGAAAAGAATGCGGAGACTTACTGCTTCTACGTGGATGAGAAGCTAACCAGGGAACTAGCAGACGAGACAGCGAAAATTCACCAGCTCTTGGAAGAGAAACTGGATTCTATGGAGGACCAGTTCTCGGCCATGTTGGTTGAGATGAGCAACAACTCTTTCCCAGGAATGTTCAGTCATTCCGTAGACGCTCTGCAAACTCAGGTTAACTCCAACAAGTATCTCATTCAGGGGCTGGAAGACAAGCTCAATGTGATTGGGCAAATGTGCTCAACAGACTGCAAGTCAAGTCCATCCAGTGATACTCAAAACCTGGAAGGTTGGGCCAGTATTGTCAAGGATGTGAAGCACTGTAGGAATGACCTGGATGTTTTGAATACTGATGTTGAGCACAACTCTGTAAAGCTTGTTGAACTAGAGAGCATGATTGAGCGGTTGTCGGTTGAAAATCAGCAGAACAGCGTCAGCAAGCAGGACCTCCACAACAAGCTGAAATCTCTGACAGACAATGTCAATGGCCTGAGTGGAGCAGTGACAGGGTTAGGAGACTTCATGAGCAAGTTTAGCAGAGACGTTGACGCCTTGAACGTTAGTTGTTGCCTGGCAGGGCATGCAGAATGGGACCATAGGCAATCAGGGGTACCTCCTCAGTCTCATGGGGAGGGCAAACTTAGTCCCAGCCAGGTGGAGGAGCTCAGAGACAGGCTAGACAAGCTCAGTTCCCAGGTGACTGCAGAGCTGAACTGGTGCAAGGACAGCACAGCAGACATAGCTAAAGGTGTCTCCACAGTAAATGGCAGGGTGGCTACCCTGGAAATGTTGTGTGGGAAGCTGGATAGCGAGGCAAATGAAATTCGGGGCATAAAAGATAAGCTGGAGAGAGACTTGGCACAGATGAACTCCACTTTGAAGACGCATTCTTGGGAGATTGGCACACTACAGACCAACTTGCTCAACGTTCAGAGTCAGCTTGCAGCGCCCAAGGATCATACCAGGAAACAACAAGGTGCGTCATGCAAAATACATTTATGAAGCTTTGTGTGAAAGTGTAAATGTTGAGATACTGTAGGTTTGTACCTCACTCAGTTTCCTGTTAACACTAGGGGTGTGCCTGGGTTCTAGAGCACTCAATTAACTGCTCAAGATGCCAATATTCAAATACTGAAATCATGATTCTGGTTGTGTTGCATCATGGGAAGATGGAAAAATATACAGACTAACAATTCAGAAATGTAATGTTTTAACAAGGTTGTTAAATGTGACCGTTGTTCTTTTATTTGCCAGTATATCGCTGTTGTCAGAAGAAAACCTCACTACTGTAAATGCTTTATAAGCACAGCTTCTCTTTGAATAACATTCAACTTAATATCTATTAGATGCAACTGAAAGTTAGGTTGGATGCATTAGATTACATTAAAGGGTCAATATAATGTAAAACCAGATTTCCTTCACTGTTTTTAAACAGAATAGTTTGAAATAACACGGGTCTGCTGTGAAAGTTTCAAACCGTACCATTCAGCATCCAGTCCATTAAGTCCATATATTGCTGCTATCGGAATAAAACCTTGTATCTCCGTTTTACGTTTTACGGTTTTTGACATAATTTGAAAATACCTGTTGCTTTTCATTGTGTGTAAATTTCATGATGAATGGAGTAAAACAAATGGCCCAAAATGACTTGGAAAAAATTCTGGTTCCATTGACTTACATTAAAAGTAAAGTGTTTTTTTTTCCTTCTCCTGTAATGTTACCATTTTGGAGATACAAAGTTTCCTTCCAACAAAAGGGCATATGTGTTCTGTATGACACTTTGCTTAACATGAGCGCATTGCCAAATACTCATTGTTAAAGATGTGACTGAGAAGGCAGAGATGGCATTACTGCCTCTGGTGCAGCTTTTTGCTAACTAAGATAGCTCATGTTAACTAGGTCCAGAAACAGCGAAAACAAACTAACTGGGCACAATGTCAAATGAGGAGAGAAGACCGCAAGTAGAAGATGGACTCATTCAACATTGCACTAGTTAACTGTAGTGTTAGCTACTCTGAAGAGGCAGCCTTCATTACTCATCCAGCACAAAGACCTACTGATTTCCCTTGGCTGTTTATAAATAATAAAACATGTTTTCACATTGTAGCCTCTTAACACAAGAGCTGTGATCTAAAAAGTAGGCCTACAATCCTATGCTACTTTTGGCAGAAATCTGAGACTTTGCCTTTCCCTAACAGTATATCTGTTGACTCTACAGGCAGTTGAATATCAAAATTAGTCATAATGCACATCCATAGTCAATGCTTGCACCACAAGACTAAAATTACCACCACATTTCAATATTTTGGGAAAGATGGATTAACAGGAAGATGAGATTTAGGGGAAAAGTAGTGCACCTGAAATATGTCCATAAGTAATTTCTAATGCATTAAGGCACACTGGGTTTTAGTGCAGATGCTTAGCCTTTCTCTTTCATGCATGAAGCCTGGAACCAACCTGATTTCAGTTCTAATGTACCAGATCCAATCATCACAATTAATTAAATGCAATTTTTGGAATTGAGACTATATTTGCACAATTAAAAAGGGTTAAATGTATCGGAAAACAGTGCATGATTTATACAACTTTGGCTAGGCTGCAAAGTGGAAACTGAACAGTTGCCACAGATAAAACTTAGTCTCTGTTTTTGGCCGCAGTTAACTCTTATCTTCATGACTAATATCCAAGAGAGACGTCATGTAAGAAAAAGCCAGATATTATTCATGTGTTTCCTTGAATTTATAACCAGGCAGGGTATTTTCATAAAGTTAATCCTCCAGTTAAACAATATTAAACTCCATATTGTATCTGTAACGAGATACGTGCACACTCTTGGGGTCCCCATGCCCCAAGGCTGCTAAAAGGCAAGGGGCCCCACATGTCTGCCATTTCTTCACCAAAACAAGAGTTAGGAGCTTTGGAATGGAGCCATATATAGTTACACAGTTGTGTGTTCTCATAAACAAATGCTTAATAGGGGATCTACGCACAATATGGCATGGTAGACCTCGGCTTTTTTCTGTGTCGGAATGGTTTTAATTTATTCAATGTTTAGAAAGGAATACACTGGGGCTTGGAAGCTACACTACTTACCATTTATCTATTTGTCAGGCTGTACATTTAACTGAGATTTATCTCTCTGTGTTTTGTACATTAAGATTACATTACATTACATTAAGCTTCCTTACACATATGCCAGTGCTAATATCTTCAGGCTGTTGAATGAGAAGCCCTGTCCCCCTCTTTCCAGCCTGAACTTTGTGAGCTTGTGCATTGTGTGGTCTTCAGATGGTCTTTTGCTGGTCATGCCCTACTTTTCGCCATGCTAAATGTAGAGACAAGGAGCGATTCGAGTGTGTTTTTATGCTGAGGTCTGGTCCTCATTAAGGCGCCGGGCCAGTGACTGGGCCTCTGGAGGTGCGGTGCTGCGAAACGGTCTCCCTCCCACACCCCACTGCAGATGTTGGGATGTTGGGACTATTAAGCCGCCCGTGATGTCACGCTTGCACGCTGATTCCTGGGAGGCTCCCTGTAAAGACTGATGTCATCATTCCTGCCTGGGGCGGATACAGTGTACTCTCTATTCCTCCATCATGCATGGAAGTTGTGTCTGTACCCCAAAATGAACGGATTCCTAGACACATGTTAACACGTAAATTCCCCTTATATAAACTAAAAGCTTATATAAGGTCTCGGCACAATATGATGACCCTTTGTGTTCCTGTGTCGATGTTTGTTTGTTGACAAAGATTACTGTAGAAGAGGTTGGTAAATGTTAAAACCACTTTATCGACACTTTATATACTTTTTGCAAGAAACTGCTGGACAGTAATACTTTACATCCAGTAAAAGAGTATTCTTGGACTTTGGGGTTATTTTATTTTCAAGAAATATTTGTAATGGCTTCTAATAACAGGGTGGGGTGCTAAACTGTCAAAGTATTTTGTAGCTCTTTCCCAAAAGGTGGACCCCAAAGGTGTATAACAAATGAAGCATTGTAGCCAAGAAGACAACTGAGCTTGCTGTTGAAAAGCTTGAAGCATTGCTCATTCGCTCTGGCCGCGAACCCGAGCAGGGGTGCACGGTTGCACAATTTTGGAACCAATTCACACAGCTGCTCTTGCAGTGACAGGACAGTCTGCTGTGAAGGTTGCGGTTTTAGTTTCTCATAACTGACGTCCATAGCTCTTAATTGCTTATTGTATTTCGAAGTTTGTTGCAAAATTAATCTTGAGGCGTTTTTTTACGAGTTGAAGTCCCTTACCACATTTGTTGACTCCCTTTTTTTTGGCAAGTGAATCAGACTAATAGCTAAGCTTCACAGTTCGGAGACGCCCACTTGACATCCGCACTTATGAATCCATAACCTTTTCCATGATCTCCGAGGAATAAGCTGACGCGGTGTTGACCTTTATGATCAAAGCCTTGCATTTCTGGTCCCTCAAAATACAACCTAAAATGGATCTCTGTACTGCATATTTTAGCCCCCCCCCCTTCCCCCCCAGCCTGAGCCTTATCTTTTCCCTTCCTCTCTTCTCTCCTGTCTTTCTCTTCCTGCTGATTGATATCTTACTAGGAGAGAATGCCTGGGAACTCTTCCCCTTTCCCACTGTGTGTGTGTGTGTGTGCAGAAGCAAACCAGCTTTAGAACATGTTTTTTTCCTTTCCTTCTATAATTTGTAGCTATAGCCAGTCTTCCAGAGGAGAAATCGATTTTTAAGTGGCGAATGAGAGGTCAGAGTTGTGCGTCAGGGTCCAGAGAGCCATCTGGAACTTTCCAGATTGGATCAGACTGAGAGCAAGGTTACTCACCGAGGACTGCCCCATTAGGGCAGGGTGTGGAACCGTAGATGTTAATAGCACTTTATGCCTGTGTGCGTACATGTGCTGAATCACCAACACTGCCTCCCACCAATTCCATTTAATCCTTCAGAAAGAAGCTTTGTAACCTCTCAGCTATCTCGGTCATCTGATGTGACTGTCAGCCGAGAGCTAGATAAACTAAGCCATTCTTACACAGGGTGTGTTCAGCAGTTTTAGGCATTTCAGTTTATGATCATTTCATTTATTGAGGGGGAAAAAAGTTATCCAGGGGTCCTGTTAGATTTGGCATAAAGCTAACACAGCATTCCACAATAAGAATCCTGGATACCAAACCAACAGTCCAACATGGTGGTGGTAGTGTCATGGCGTGGGGATGCTTTGCTGTTTCAGGGCTTAGGTGACTTGCCATAATTGATGGAACCATGAATTCTGCTCTCTACCAGAAAATCCTGCAGGAGAATGTCAGGTCATTAGTCTGTGATCTGACCTCTGAATGACAAAAAATTAAGGGTTTAGAGAGTCTTGACTTGAACCCAATTGAGATGTTCTAGCATGACCTTAAATGGGCAGTTCATGCTTGAATGCCCTGCAATGTGGCCAAGAAGAGTGGGCCAAAATTCCTCCACAGCAATGTGATGAACTGATCTCCAGTTACAGGAAGTGTTTGGTTGCAATTGGCAGCACAACCAGTTAGTAAGTTAAACAATTTAGTGTCAAAAATATGCAAAAATAGAGGAAATCCGGAAGAGGGGATTCTTTATCAGAGCACTGTCTATCTGTCCCTGTGTGGTATCACACAGTGGCAAAGCCTGAATGCCTGCTGAGACTTTGTGACTCTGCTCCATCCATAAACAAGCGCTGCATCAGAGTCTGAGTCGCCCCCTTGTCTGAAGCATGCTTCTCGAGTCAGTGCCTCAGTGACTCAGCACCGCCTAAGATGCCACATCTGTGAGTACAGAGCTCCGGGACTGCGGTGCCACATGCTTGTGATTTCCTCAGACTCACGGGAAACACAGTTCGATGCCAGTTATCTCGTGGGAAATGGGCTGTACGTGGGAGGCTGTGCATGTTGCGGAGAGAGGTGGTATTGGGACAAGAGCAGAAAGCAGGAGAGCGACACTGACGCAGTCTTTTTGAACCAGAAGACTGGCCCTGAGGAGAACCCATGGGATCCTTGCTGCTGTTTTGTTTTACTCATATCAGTAGCAAGCAAAGGGAAAAAAAATAAGATGCAGAGCTGACTAGACCCTAGTGTCGGGAATGACGCATAATACTCATCTTTATACAAATCCAATTGGCCAAGGAAGCATCTGCAGCTGCGCGGGACAGCTAAAAGCAGATTAAAGACATACCCATATTGCACTTAAAGCAATAGTTCAGCAGAATACAATTTTCTGCTTACTTCAGATGTACTCCATCAGCCAAGACTGGTTTGGTGTCTGAAGTTTGCTTCTTTGGTTTTGCACTTGCTGTGAGGCTTATGTAGCTAACCCACCAATTAGCACTGTGCAAACTGCATGCCTAAAGCACACTTTCCTCGTATTGCATCAAGTTTTTACATAATCTCAGACCGTGTTTGGCATATCAGTATCTATCAAAATGCATAAAAGTATGTCACAAAGCTAAAAACAGCAGTAGTAGCCTGAATCATGCCTGTACTTTTGACTATTTTAGATAACAGTATGTTTTACAGTGTCAGAAACCACATCAGCAAGTCTATTCAAGATTACTGAACAATTCAAAGTGGTTCAAGGCAAGTTTGCACCATGCAAATTGGTGGGGTTTAAACTTACATCACTTGTTAGCTGGATTAGATTTGCCTCGCCTAAAGCAAACTTCAGACATCACACATGGCTTGATTATATTTGAGGTAAGGAAAAAATTGTGCAAATTTAATTTTTTGCCTGCTCTATTACCTATTCTAACTATTCCTTTAAGGCACTAGCAAAGACTTTCCTTTGGATCAAACATGATTTCTTGTGTATTAAAAAGGAATTCCACCAATCTTTCAAAATTTTTGCATAATTCAATCTTTCAGATGTAAATAAATTTATTCAGAGGGCTTTGATGTGAAGTGGTGCATTGTGGAGAAACTTGATAACTTACAGTGGACATATTAGGAATCATGGTACAAAAAGTCTACAACACAAATATAGCCATTCTGTTTGCTATTTCAATTTACCGGTTAACACGTCTTCTGAGTCATATTGTCATGGTCAAAGGAGGTAATCTAAAGAGGTTATATCACAACTAATATTGGGGCATTTCTGTTGGTGAATTCATCATAAAATTTTCACACAATGTAAAGGTTTTGTAATGTGTGGAAAAAATAAAAAACAACAAAAATGGAGATGCTTTTTTTTTTACAGACAGCAATGATATGTAATGTTGATAATGGCAAAATGATGGCAAATCCAAAAAAAATTGCTTTCTTGGGTTACTACTTTGCCTTATAACACCCTGCATGTACCTCTCCGCCATGAATGAATGAATAAAAAAAAATTGTTTTTGGTCAAAACTTTCTCTTAAAACGATCATGAAACAATGTCTCGGGCATTAGGCAGCATATTTGTAACCATTTCACAAAATAGCTTTCTGTGAGGTAGCTTTTGTAGCGTTAAACCCTTCAGATGTCTGGTTCCTGTCACCACCACTGTGAACAACTCTGGTCCAGTAAGTTTCTATAGAATGCTGCATTTCAAATCAAACCACTTTGAATGACTTTGTTTACATCTCAGTGAAATTCTGAAAAATTGGTGGAATTCCCCTTATCAGTACTTAGCAGTATGTCACGTGGGAGAGTAGCATTGGAACTTAGTGTTGTCATTAGAGAAAGTAGTTTTTAAGCTCAAGACCTCTGAGAAAGAACAGACATTAAACGCCTGTGGTGTCCAATATTAAAAGCACTGCAGATGTATGGAAAGTTAAGGTTTTATCCTAGAGAACTGTACTTTACACTCATTGCGAGGCTTCAGAATATGTGCAGTTTACAGCATTTGGAAGAGAGTTACAGTGTGGGCTGTGTGCCTAAATAAGATTTATGGAAGATATCTGCACTTGTGAGATTAGTCACTTTTTCTGTAACTTACTACTTCCATGAATTTAGTCTGTGATGACATCTGATTTATCCACTAGGTTTTCTTGCACTCTCTGCGTAACTGTTTGATCTGCCAACTTTTTTTTTCCACAAACTGAACCAAATCTCTCATCCACACTCTCTCTCTGTTCCTCAGAACTGCCGGAAAGACCAGCCACTGTCCCGGATTCAACCCAGCGCAGGCTTATCCCTCATATCCACATCCCTCTGATAATCCCTTCCCAAAGGACAGTGTCAGTGACTGCCCACCACCCCCAGGCCCCGCCACAGCCAGGCCGGCCAACCCAGCGTCGACCAGTCCTGGAGGCTGGGGAGGCCGGACCCCCGGGCCACGCTCGCAGATTGAGCACCAGAAGAGAGCGTGGGTCTGAGGTCGCGGAGAAACCAGTGAAAGGATTTGCAGGTGCACCAGGTGAGAGACTATATATCAATTATACATCTGTTACTTCTGCTGTTACTTACATGTGTTAAAAGTAAAATATACAAGACATGTTTGATTTCTTTAGTTTGGCAGGTAAAGCTGCACATAGATAATCACATACTGTTTTCTACAAAAATGGAAAAAGAATCCAAATCCAGAAATCCAGCTGCACTGTGTAATCATGGGTAGTTAATTGAATTGTATATGTAACTGATTGACCACCTCTTGTCATACCTAACAGTGATTACAAAATCCAGACCTGAAACTAGAAGATTTATAGTGTCAGAAACCACATAGCATAGTCTGTTAGAGGAAAATTCCACTGATTTTTCCTCACAACTCAGCGGTTGCAATGTAAACAAGGTCATTCAGAGTGGTTTGATGTGAAGTGGCTCACTGTAGAGAAACCTACAGATTGAGGTTTCTTTACAGTGGTGGTGATAGGAAGCAGGGGTCATGATGTCTGCAACACAAATATACCCATTTTATTTACTATCCAAAACCACCAGTGAACCTACACGTCTTCTGAGTTTTTGTAATTAATACTGATGATGGTAAAATAATGGTAAATATGGAAAAAAAGTTTTCTTTGGGGACTATTTTGCCTCACAACACCCTGCCAGGACCCCTCAACCATGAATGGATTTTTAAAAAAACACATTCTAGGCTATTGTAAACTATTGTAAAACAATGTTTCAGACATCAGGCAACATTTTCATAACCATTACATGTAAAATCTTCCCTTGAGCTTTTAGAGGCATTAAATGCTTTGGATATCTGGTGCCCATCACCACCACGGTGAACAATTTTGACTCTGTAAGTTTCTCTAGAACAGAGCATTTCACATCAGACCACTCTGAATGACTTTGTTTACATCTTAAAAATTTAATTATGCAGAATTTTTAAAAAATCTGTGGAATTCCCATTTAACTTCACATGGTTTAAGGCATGTGCAGAGTGCTAATTAGAGTGTATAAACTTCCTTTACTTGTGAACTACATTAGCCTAATAGCTCCAGTGTGAAACTAAAAAAGCAAATTTCAAAAACCAAATGTGTTTTTCTTGATCCACTACATTTGCGTTAAAAGAAAAAACTGTACGCTTTATTTTTGGTGAACTATTCCTTAAACATCAAAAACATTTATATTCTTTTCTCTCTTCTCACATGACAGGCTATCCTCAAGTCAGTCCTGTGGCATATAAACCTAACCCAATTACAGGTAAACTGCATAAAAGCTTGTTTCAGAATCAGGGGTTGGGTCTGAGTTATTTAATTTATTTTTCATAAATATAGTGTTTAATGAGAAATGTACACTCTTTTGCACTGTCATTAGTTAGTATTACCAATCCTTATATTTCTCACTAGTTTCCCGAGCTGCATGGAATCCTGCACGACGACTTGTCGCAGCACCAGGTAAATTTGAAGCCTTTTCATTTTCACTGAAAATAATCATCTGATCTAAGGAATATAAAAGAGAGATTAGTTTTCTATGCATGATTTTTTTTTCTCTTATAAATTGAATATCAGTCATTTATAACTGCATATTTATTTTTGATTTATCTGAGCACCAGTTTTCATGTGCATCTACAGTGTCGTCAGAGAAAAATCCATTTGTGGAGCCCTTCTCCTTCTCTGCTGGACTCACACAGCAGACGTTTTCAGGGGATTTTGGCATCATCCGCTTCAACAAGGTGTTGGTCAATGATGGAGGACACTATGACCCCCAAACAGGTAAAAGCCAAGCCTCATGTCCACACTTTTACATTGACTCCATTACAGATGACTTTGCAAATGCTGAGTGTAGAAAGTAAGATAGTTGGAAATGCTTAAAAAGTTGTGAGTGTTGACCACATTTACATTTTATTTAATTTTGAGAATTTGGGCTGGAGTTCTGGGCAACTTCTCCTTCACGTTAGAAGTCAAACCTCCCACTTCATACTAATGATGCATTCGGACAGTCCTTGGCCAACTCTGGAAAGTTGGAAAATTGTCACCAAATTGTAACTACAGGTTATTTGCAGATGGGTCATCAACAACAACTGGTAAATTTCTCATGTCAGCAGTACATATACACCAATCAGCCAAAGCTTTAAAGCCAGCTCCCTGTTTCTACACTCAATTTTCACTTTTGAATTTTATCAGCTCCACTTATCATATAGGTGCACTTTGTAGGTACAGACTGTAGTCCATCTGTTTCTCTGCATGTTTTGTTAGCCCCCTTTCGCCCTGTTCTTCAGTGGTCAGGATCCTCACAAGACCACCAGAGAGCAGGGTATTATTTGGGTAGTGGATCATTCTCAGCACTGCAGTGACACTGACATGGGGGTGGTGTGATGGTACGAGTGGATCAGACACAGGAGTGCTGCTGGAGTTTTTAAACACCTGTTTAAAACCTGTGCGTCCTGTGACCACTGATGAAGGACTAGAGGATGACCAGCATAAACTGTGCAGCAACAGATGAGCTACTGTCTCTGACTTTACATCTACAAGGTGGGCTAACAGGGTCTAACAGAGTGGACAGTAAGTGGATAGTGTTTAAAATTCCAGCAGCACTGCTGTGTCTGATCCACTCATTCCAGCACAACACACACTAACACACCAGTGTCACTGCAGTGCTGAGAATGATCCACCACCCAAATAATACCTGTTCTATGGTGGTCCTTTGGGGGTCCTGACCATTGAAGAACAAGTTGAAAGGGGGCTAACAAAGTATGCAGAGAAACAGATGGACTACAGTCTGTAATTGTAGAACTACAAAGTGCACCTATATGGTAAGTGGAGCTGATAAAATGGATAAAGAGTGTAGAAACAAGGTGGTTTTAATGTAATGGCTGATCTGTGTTTATCCACTGTGACGGACTAATGAGACACTTGATGGTGTTTTCAGAATGATTGATGGATTTAACATTAATGGGGAACTCCACTGATGTTTCAAAATTTCTGCATAATTAAATTGTTAAGATGTAAACAGTCATTCAGAGTGGTTTGGTGTGAAATGTTCAGTTCTAAAGAAACTTACTGAGCCAGAATTGTTCACAGTGGTGGTGAGAGGTACAGATTTGGCCTAAAATGTGATTTACACATGAATTCATTCATTGGGTGCTATTTTGCATTTTGAGGCAAAAAAGTACCCAAGGAAAACTCAGCATTACTTAAATGTAGGTTCACTGGTGGTTTTGGATGGTGAGTAAAATGGCTAGATTTGCAGTGTAGACATTGTGGTTCCCATCACTGCCACAGTATTGAAATCTGAGTCAGTAAGTTTCTCTACACTGAACCATTTTAGGTCAAAACACTGAATGATGGTTCACATCTAAACAATTGAATTCTGGAGAGATTCTGAAAAATCAGTGGGATTTCCCTTTAACTTCGTATGTCGTTTGCCAGCTTGTTCTACAGTGTACACATTTGAAAATGGGCTGGCTGGTGATAAGCCACAACTTGTAAACTCGGGTAACATGGAACTTGCCAGAGTTTACTTCTTGTATTTACAACTTTGTGAGCTGCTTGAATGTAACTTCCTTGTGGTAAACTCTGAAATTTGCAAGTTTATGAAGACCATCTGAATGTACCACGAGAGGTAAGCATAGAAGAACAGGACATGGGGAGGGAGTGGGGTGTGAAAATGTATTACTCACAGGGAACAGAAGGTAGAGCAATGGTCTCTCTCTCAAAGTACTCTCCTAAATGTAGAGGACATGTGTCTCCTCATTTTGAACAATGCTGCAGTTTTATAACCCTTGTCCTAGTTGGCAGCTAAGCTCTCCCTGCATTCTCCACTCTACAGGGATCTTCACCGTGCCTGTGGATGGACGCTATCTGATCACGGCCGTCCTAATGGCTGCACGGCGCGAGCGGGTCGAGGCTGTGCTCTCTGTGTCCAACCGCAGTATTCAGAAACTGGACACAGCAGGCTACTCTGGGCCGAGCGGACACCTCTCTCCACAGCCGTGCACATGTGGAGGATCTGCTTCCTTCAGCTTCATCCTCTCACTGCGGGCAGGTGACCGAGTGGCACTAGTGCGGACGGCCGGAGTGCTGGCGATCTCTGAGGCCAGAGAGATCCTCTCTACCTTCAGCGCCGTCTTCCTCTATTCACCTCAGGCCCGGAGATAGCCTCCAGAGAGAAAGAGGGAGAGCACACTGAAGGACTGCTATCACTAGCAATGCAGCCTATTACAAGCCAGAAGAAACTGCAAGAAAAACAGCGCTTGGGCTTTTCTCAAAGATATAGTTAGGTGAAAAATCGAATTTACACAATTCTCCCCCTCAAATGTAGTCAGTAAGCCAAGGTGCACTACATGGACAAAAGTATGTGGTCACTATAAAAATTAATGAGATTGGCTATTAAAACCACACTCCTTGCTAAAACGTGCATTAAATGAAGCATACAGCCATGCAGTCTCCATAGACAAACACTGGCATCAGAATGGGCCATACTGGAGTGCTCAGTTACTTTCAAGGAAATTTAAAGATTTTCAACGATGGTAAAATTTGGTTGAGGAGGAATAATGGTCTGGGGCTGTATTGGATGGTTTACGGTCGGCCCTTAGTTCCTGTGGAGGGAAATTTTAATGCTACAGCATACAATTACATTCCAGAGAATTGTGTACTTCCAACAACAGTTGGGGAAGTTTGCGGAAGGCCCTGTCCTGTTTCAGGATCTCAACCAATCCAACACTTCTGGGACAAATTAGAATGCTGACTGTAAGCCAGGCCTTATCAGCCAACATACGTTTCTAATCTCACAAATGCTGTCGTGGCTAAATGGGAGCAAATCCCTGTAGTCATGTTTCAAAATCTAGTGTAAAGCTCAGAAGAGCGGAGGTTGTTACTGCAGCAGTGGGGAATGGGATAGGAATGAGTTCAGTGTCCACATACTTTTGGCCATGTTGTGTTGGTATGGTGTCTGAGGTTTGCTTCCAAAGCTGTTGTAGCTAACAAGTAATGGGAGCTTTTAACATATTTTGTTGAGTTGTTAATCTCCAAAAAGACTTGCTTATGTAGTTTCTTCTAAATCTATAATAATTGGCAAAAGTACAGACAAAATTCAGACGTCAAAGTGCGAATACTTTCTTGAAAATTCGATTTTTTGCCAAACTGTCACTTTAGGAATCTGATCCTGCAGTAAACCAGCCAGATTACCACAGTTTTGGCGTCTGCAGTACTGATATCACAGGAGGCTGCAAATCATTCACACTGCTTGCTGGGCTCTGACCATCCTGACTGAATCTCAGGCCATCCATCTGTCGATGTTTGTTGAATCAGATGACCTGATTCAACAAACAGAAATCATTTTGATCAAAACAATATAGGCCAGTCTTTGATCACATCAAGCGTTTACCAATGTGTTCTAATAATATATGGATATATGGAGATATCAATATAATATCACAACCACAGTACATAGCAGTGTAATTGGAATATGGTATTCTATCCACCTTGTGCAGCTTTTCCAAACACTGCGGGCCATAAAAGCAAAGCACTGAGAGATATTTAGTAATAATCTATATGTTTTCATTGTATAAATACTTTATCTACTTCATATCTTTATCATGTAAAAAGCTGTCAAATTTTAAAACATTAAATTAACAATGAATGCTTTAGTCAACCTTTGAGATCAGATTGTAGAAAATCATTTCAGTACACATTAGTTAGCCTAGTTTTAAAAAAAAGACTTTTATGTGAATGATTAAATGCTTTTATAGTTGGTCATATTGTATAATGGAGCAGCACACCCACATAAAGCCACAGTCTTGAATTGCAGAACAACAAAAGTGAAAACCAAAGCACAAAGAACTCTCAGTTACCAAAGGAAGGGTTTGGGGGTGACTTCTAGAATAGTGCTCTGAATGAAAGAAGCAAATCACTCACACAAAGAACCAGCTTTATAAGCCCTTAAAGGTTTCTTTATGTGGCCCTGTTTGCAACCAGTGAAGTTAGCTTTACTATTTTGGCTAACAGTGGGTAGAACAATTACATGGGAAACGGATCTAAGAAACTTAATCTTTGAGTTAAGAATGATAATATACATTTACTTTGATGTACAACAGATATAGCTTTAAACAGTTGAGTAATGAGCAGTGAAGAGTTTTGAATTAGCTTGTTGAAGTGCTGAGCGATGAACACCAGACCGATGACTAGCCGTTCTCTCAGAGGGTGAGGGTGACATTTTCCTGTTTCTCCCAAGAGAAAGACTGTGGCCTTTGCCCTGGATATTTCATGTTATTTATTGCAACACTTCTTGGTGAGGCATGACAATAATGAACCTTTGATCATATTATTTTTTTCTGTATCTTCCAGATACTTACACCAGATGCTTGGCACAAAGAATCTAATAAACAAAACAAAAACAAATGTCTGGCTCCTGGTATAAATCACTAAAAACCGGCTGCACTATATGAGGTCCACTGTTCAGTCTGTCACTTGAATTCTTCTCCTGTAATAGTCAGTGAATTATGAAGTAGATAATTGTACGCATTTTTCAAAACTTCTGCATATTTCAATCGTTGAGATGCAAACAAAAGTCACTGAGTGGTTTGATGTAAAATGATGCATAGAGTGACATACTGACCTCTTTACAGTGGTGGTGACAGGAACCAAGGGCCAGCGTGTCCACAACACCTATATAGCCATTTATTTACTATCCAAAACCCCCAGTGAATCTACACGTGTCTTCTGAGTTTTTAAATGTATTTTATTTGCAATGATAATGGTACAACAGTGCTATATCTGGAGGAAAAGGTTATCATTGGGTACAATTTTGACTTACGACAACCTGCCTGCACTTCTCGGCCACGAAGCGCTTTACAACACATTTTAGGTCGATCTTTTTCATTTCCAAAAAGTCAGTAAAAGAAAAGGCAAATATTGTGTTTCCATCAACTGTTTTGTGCAAATTCCTGAGGATATTTGAGACGCTTGCGACGCTCTCGCTCACTGTGAGTGATGTAGAGCCATTATTTTTTTTAACCGCTCCTGTTTCACCGTTGCCCACCGACCTCCTGAGTAGGTCACCGCAACAAACCTAAACACAATATAAGAAGGTGCGTTCATTCGGTGGCCATCTTGACGACGCTGAGGGGCAGTTATTTCCACCCATTCAAGACCAGGCTCTTCTATCTTTTAATGGAGCGACCTAAAACACGAAACTGGAGGTCAAATTAACGTATGTATTTGAAATCACTGATAAAATCTGAGAAAAAAAAATCTCAAATACTTTGTATATATACAAGGTATTTGAAATACTCAAATACTTTTGGCTCAATAACGCACCAAAGCGTGATTACTGCGCTTGCGCAGATCACAGCCTGAGGTCTTTTGCTGCGCGCGGCGTAACCAGCGAGCTGATTGGCTCCTTTTTTGAAAGGCGGGACTCCCCGTAAACGGACCACATGAGCGTTACAAGCTTTCCTATTCGCATTCAGCCGCAGTCCGTGCTTTTTCAAAGAACTTGTAGAGAGAATTACCACTCTGTAATGTCTCTCGGGTTTCTCAAACGCTAGAGGGCGCTCCCGAGGGAGTCCAAAATGAATGGGTTAAGACGGAGTATTTGAGCAAAATCATAGTTTATAAATGCTTAAACATTTTTTATTTAAAAGAACGCAATAATTTCCTGAACAATGAAGAGCACAAAACATTTTAACACTGCTGTTATATTTTAAGAGCTTTTAAACTCGAGTTATAGGAGTTTAAAAAGGTGCATTATGTATGTCCATGACGTCAGTGAGCACAAACAGCCAATGAGCTGCACTGCTTGCCAACCAATCAGCATTCACTAGCAGTAACGCCAGTGTTCTGCTGCCCAAAACCCATTTGCTGTAGAAAAAAGGAAACATACAGGTTAGTTTGCTTTGCTTTTTTAGTAAAAGACATACTTCTACTTTCTAAAATTAAAGAAACGTTCTCGGCAAGTGCCCAAGAGCCCTCTGCTGCTTAGCAGTCCAGTTTTTGACAAAGGGGGAATATGAAGTGTCCAGGCTCCTCATAGACCAGCTCTGCCAGTTCTGAGAGGACGTGGTGGCACGAGACTTGAGATCTTGCTAGGTCATCCCTTATTCGAAAAATGTGCGACTGTTTTTCACATTTCTCTTTTTGTGGGTAAAAGTCATGATACATAAATATAAGAACAAGGAAGAAATTATTTCTCTTTTCTACCTCATCCAAGTGGGTTTTAGTTATTATTTTATTATTTGTTTTTTTTCGATCCCTGTTTTTTGTGCCCATTTTCAAAATTCACAAAAAAAAGAGAGATGGATGGAAACCCCACAAATGTCTCAGGTGCTGGGCAACATATTCATAACCTTTTATGTAAAATAGCTTTCTGTAAGTTAGCTTTTAGAGCTATTAAACTCTTCAGACAGCTGGAAAAAAAAGTGCAATTGCCCCCTTAAAGGAAATGAGAGAAATGAGTTTGCAAATAGACAACATTTGTAGTAAATGCTATTTTAATAGGTTTTTGTTTCATAAACATTTTCCAAAACAATAGTTTTAATTAATCCATACAGCAAGTGTACACTTAAAGGTGTTTAAGGTGGTCAGACGCAGTAAAGTTCAAACATCAAAACCAAGAGAAACTGAGACACGCACACTTTCCCACGAAGAGCATACTTCAAGAAATAAAAGCATATAAAACAGGGCATCAAAGCGAGAGAAGAATGAAGAATAAATGTTCGGCATTTACCACAACAGGTTCAAAAGAATGGCATTTTCAGCTAAATCTCAGGTTCATACAAGATGAGTGTGCTCATCTCACACAAAGAAGTTTTACTTTCATAGAAAGAATGGGATCGCTTTGTTAATCATTAACAGACAGATTTCACTTCTACACATCATAACCACAGACGAAACACGCAAAAACAAATCAAACAACCATGGAATGCCCTCTTTTTTTCCTTAAATAATTAAATGATTAACTCAAGAATATTCTAATGTGAATAAATTATTATGACTACTGTGCTTCAAGTTTATGTTCATGCCTACTTCAGTTTAACACATGGTGCCCTAAAATAGCTACGTCTGAACCTAGAGAAACTTGGCCAAAGCAAAAACAGGTAAATAGACAGCTTGTGTTAGGCCAAAGCAAAGACCAGCTTTTGCTAATTAACTCTTCGTGACAGGGTTATGCTCCTTCAGTCGGCCACGGAGGGAGTTCAGTCTAACATCGGTCTAAAACTTGAGATTTGATCCCCCTCATGCAAAATAGCTGCAATCTGCTTCTGTTCTTCAATGCGCTGCAATAGTCACCCATTATAATGGTATTATTTTTTAACAGACCCACAGGCAGTCGTATTCAGCACAAAGCAACAAGATAAGCTAAAGCTTATTTTATTTTTAATAGTTTTCCTATTAATCTTCTTAGCACCTGATGGCCTGAATGGTGGAAAAAGCTGCTTTAGGTTTCTCCAATGTCCACCAAAAACAGACAGGCAAGAACTAAGAGTATGATACCCCTACTGGTATCTTGCTAATCAACATATATACATTAAACCTAAAGGTAACTTAGTAAGTATCATATTGAGGTTAAAGCTACAATCAGGACACTTTAGGATTAGACACTTCTTGGAAATCAACATGGTCCAGGTCGAAGTGTTCCATGTCTATTGTACTGAATACACAGATTGAGTAGTGTACAAAATTCAGAGATCCCCCTTGTTTATTTAATTTCCTGTCAAAATGACCAAAAAGTTTTTCTTTTTTCAGCATCAAGGGAAAAAAAAAGAACATATTTAACAGAAAAGTACACAGAAGCCTCAACAACTGTGTGTCCACTCTGACTTTATTACCACTACTATTCGCAAATTTTCTTCTTTTTTGTCTCAGTAACAGCTTCTTGACAGCTACACATTTTCTACTCACAGTGGAAGGAGACGCAGACATACCTGTGGATTTTTGGTCTACAGTTGTTATGAGTCCCATTTTCTCATTTTCCATTTCTCCCATTTTAGAAACTCCAGTTTTTTCACTTATTTTTCTTTGAATTTATATTTTCTAAAATGAATGATTTGTACTTAATAGCTGTTTTGTCGATAAATTAATGAGGGTGGTCTCTGACTTTTGCTCTATAATGTACTGACTGTAGTTTTAAGCTTGTGAAAAATAAGCACTTAAATAAACCCTTTACTCAAAAGACTGCTGAATAGTATCCAACAATACGGCAGTTCCTTTGCCACTTAAGTGCAAGTCGATCTGCAGTGTTCTCTTGGCTGCTGCTCAAAGTGCGATCAGTAAGGCATCGTGAAGCAGCCAGACAATGAAAATATTAACGAGTGGAAAACACCTGGAAAACAAACACAAGCCTTCCTCAGTGCACTGTGCCTTTCCACTGGCCTTTGGCTGGAGCTAAAAGCCTGAGCACACCCTCAGGCTGAAGCAGCGGCAGGGTAAATAAAAAAAAAATAATAACGACCTCACCAGCACCAGTCTGATCAGTGCTCAAATCGCCAGCAGCATCCAGCAGAGTGTCTCTGCTTATACCTCATCATCCAACAATGCATATTCAGCCAGGCATTCACTCACCACGTTAGAGGCAGTGCACATTAATAATTCCAATAATCATCTTACGCTTAAATGATTTGTTATTAAAGAACAAAATAAATTAGCATTTGTAAATATCTGTGATTCTACATGTCATCCCACCTTTCAAACACATGCCTTTTTTTTCCCCCAATATATTCTGTTTTCATTGCACCCACTCTGTGACCAGTATCCATCTGGGCCACATGACTGTAAACACAAGCCTACACTGGACCACCACAGGAGGGATAAATACCTACACCAGGACTGGAGTGGCCTGCAGCTTAGCAGCTAAACAATCATACAGATTAGAAGAAGCGAGAACATCTATTACATACCAAAGAGCCAGATTAGTGCCTGGTTACTCCAGTTTCCAAGTGGCCAGGCAGGCTAAGGCCTTATCCCTGATGTGACACTGTGGTAAAAGTGCACCATCACCTCTCCCACAAAGTTCAACGTGACCACCTGAGGTGCTCTTGTAGTTCACATGTTGTCCTGGCTGGGATAAGGAGGCATGGTTTGAAGAAGCATCCTGATTGCTACTGGTGAAAGAAAAAAGTATGACTACGTGGCAACTGTAAGTAGTTGGGTCTTCATAGCACACTGACAGGATCTGACCTAAAGAAACAAGACAATCATGTAACTGTCAGGGATGTCTGGTTTGTTTGGGCAAGTCTTCGGGCGGAAATCACAGATGGGCGGAATCAGAGCGTGTGATCAGCCTTAGAGCAGGTCATCTGGGTTTATCTCGGGAATGGGCTGTCTCCAGAAACAGAAGGAGCTGAACTCGGGGAAGCTGAACGCTGAGCTCTGTTCCTTACTGAGCAGAGGAAACACATGCTCCACCAGCTCGCTAAGACGGCTGTACCTGCATAGAGACAGCGAGAGAACAGAACACACATTCAGATCCATTCTACCAGAACGGGGTCATCAAATAGATTTGATTTGGGGCCAAATTCTCATGGAGTTTCATTCCAAAATGCTGTATATCCATTTGTAACATTTTTGTATACAGCATGTTTTTGAAAACAATAACAGCTGACGTATAATGAAAAATGTGTATTTCTCTAATAATGGTGGTAGTAGCCATAACATAGCAGTGATTTTTCTTATATATGTTAAACCCACTCCCAACAACATATCATGGGAAAAAAAAGGAAAATTGTGATCTATAATGCATTTTGCAACAAAGCCATTCAAACAGCCTTCAGGCCAGAGACCCATTTTACAAGACCTGCTTACCTCAAGACCTAGTCCCTAGTCTCATCTAGCACACTTGAATCAACTCATTAACTAATTAACAAGATCCTGGGTCAGGTATGTAAAATATGGAAAACAATGTGCAGAGCATGGGGTCACCAAGACTGGGATTGGGAAGCCCTGGACTAGTGCCACTGTAACATCCTTATTAAGGTATTTACCTAGTTTTTCCACAAAAGATGTTGTTCATTTGGAGCTTGACATGGCCTACAAGCTGTTCTTCGAGAATAACTCCCCTATGATGGAAAGTTAAGGATCTCATGATAAGTTACAGGTGAGCTAATGTTTGCTGTGTAATGTTTAAGCTTCCTAATATTTACGCTTTGACATTTATCCCTGTCTAATCTTAATGTTGTACAGTGTCCCATGTTGTAAATGGGCAGGTCAGTGTTATGCAAGTAACTGACATGGCAGTGTTTAATTACTTCAGTGTCCAATGACTAATGATTAGTGTGAAAAAGCATCAAAATACACTAATCAACCAAACGCCACGGACCCCTGCAGCCGTTCCATACAGTTTACTGGCTCATCTAGTCACGTTATTTAACTAAAGCAACACCACCAGTTTTCATATTTTATTTATAGCTCAAGTTACATACTTTCTCTCCTGTTCACAACGTTCAGACAGCTTTTTACATTCTTTAGATCTGTACCACTTAACCATCCAGTGCCAAAGAAGAAGGTTTCAGTTGCCTACTTTTAACATAAACCTTGTCAAGCTTGCTCCTCTCTGACAATAAAAACTCCTCCACTAAATGAACAATGACTTTTACCTTCGTGAGAATGTAATGTTTTCCCTACTATAATGACTTCTGCTGCCAATTACTCTCTCTTGAACTCCCAGCTACAGATGGCTGTGGCATCTTTAATACTGTTTTGGCTGCTTCATCCTGTGAATGAGCAATGGTTTGTATAGCATGTACAGACGAATGTAATGATTAATTATTTCATTACAAATGACTCATTATTTCCATTAGTTTTATTATTTTATTTAGAAAAAGTAATTATACTACTTATTACTTCACTTCTACATTTCTCTCTTTAACCCCAATACATCTGGACCAACTGTGCAAGGGAAAACCCAGAAGTCCTTTTCAGTCATTTATTCAGAAAGAATCACAGTAACCACATCATTAAAGTCTGTCACTATCCCTGCCTTTAAGCAAGACACATCCAGCCATGTTGATTACAATTATGAACACCTGATGCTGTTTGAAAATCTACAAAAGTGCTGACTCATAATAAAATCTTAAAGAATAAATTGCAAAGGTTACAGAGCTGCCCCTGAACGAAAATCAAGTCTGGTCTGTTTAGATGAGGTTGGGTCCCTCTCTTCTACAGGACAGAGATCTCTATCCACCAGTTTCTTTTTATTAGCATTATTAGATGCTCTGGCAGATACAACTGAAGTAAGGTAACTCTTACTAAGTCGGTAGCTGTAATGTGATGACAAGAATTTAAACAGTAACATATTCCACTATTTTGTTACAGAAACTGTGTCGGGAGCTTCATGATGTGGGTTTGCAGCTGTACACAAGCGTAAGATCACTATGCACAATGCCAGTATTGGCTGGAGGAGTGGAAACTACTCTGGAGCAGTGGAAACTTTTCTCTGAAGTGATGAATTATGCTTCACTCTCTGGCAGTCTGATGGACAAATCTGGGCATGATGGATGCCAAGAGAATGCTACATACCAGAATGCATAGTACCGACAGAAAAGTTTGATGGAGGAGGGATAATGGTCTGGGGCCGTTTCACATTGTTTGGGTTAGGCCCTTCAGTTCCAGTAAAGGGTCACGTTAAAGTTACAGCATACACATAAAATTATATGTTTCCAACTTTGAGGCAGGAGTTTGGGGAGGGCCCTTTTCTGTTCCAGCAGGACTCTAAGCCTGTGCACAAAGTGTCGTCCAAACAACAAAATCACGGTTTGCTGAGTTTGGTGTCGAGGAACTCCAGTGGCCTCCATGGTGCCCTGACATCAACCCCACTAAACACCTCTGAGATGAACTGGAACTCATCCAACATCAGTGGTTCACCTCACAAATGCTTTTCTGAATGAATGGGCAAAAACTCCCACAGACACACTCAAAAATCTTGTGAAAATCTTTGATGTCCAGCAAGCTCATGTGTGATGGTCAGGTGTCCACATACCTTTGTCCATATAGTGTATTTTATGGTTTTACTGTTTATGCTTGGTACATTAGCTAGCTTCCTAGAAACCAAGTCAGACAGTTTCTCGTTCTCACCACAACAATGCTAGCCACAGCCAACTTGCTAAGTCACTACTAATCACTACTAAATTGCTAACTGCACCGAAACCATTTTTTTTTCTCTCACCAATTTTCACCGGTCGCCAGTTAGGGCCAGTTTTACACGAGTCACCAACTGCACGTTTTCTGTGACAGTAACTTCACAAGTTAGATTAAAAAATTACAAAAAGATCCCTCAAAAAACTAAATAAGAAAAGCCTGAAAAAGAGCTTATTGTTATTTAACAACCCAAACACAATCAACAAGGCCTGCAGAAACTTTACCACCCATCACATCTGTATGAAGAGAATGTGCTTACGAGGACTTGTTGCCCTTGGTCTGCTCCTGAATCAGCTCTCCTTTGGGGTTTACTGTGAAGATTCGGCAGACAGGCACTCCAACCTCCTTATAGGCAAACACATCCTACAAACAGAAAGACAGAATTACACCACAGGATATGGAAAATTCCTGTACTCCTTTCCATCAAGCATACAAACATGACAAAAAAATTTCCTATTTGTGTGGATAAGATTTTCTGACAGCAGCAATGATGTTCAATGCTTACGAAATAGATGTGATCATGTCTGTACATACAGCCAGCAGCTTAGGACAGACGATCCACCCAGCCAGAGCTGTTTATTTACATGACAACTGACCAGACTGGATAGTTCTGTCTACTTTATAATAAAATCTGCAATCGCATGAGAAAGTGTATCTTCAGTCACTTGACAATATTGGAATTGCATCTGGCAAAGGCTTGCAGTAATTGCCACCATGTGAGCTGAGCATTCTGCCCCCTGCAGGCTATTACATGCACTGTACTTGTGGAATAGTCACCCACAAAGCTCTAGCACAATAGTGAAATATGTGCATTTTGCTTGACAATATATATTTTTTTGCATTTGTAAAAACAAACACAATGTAGATAAAAGCATAACTAGAATTGATTAATTTGAACTATCAGAATTTTATTTGGTAACATTGTTATTTAAAGCACAGCCCACCCACAACATCCACCTTAAATTAGTCTTAAGTGTCTTGGTTTGAAGGAACTTGGCCAACAGAGCCACACAGACCAGGGTGGGGAGCAACACCTCAACCATGAAGCCACACACTGTACTTCAGCCCACAGCTGAGATCAGCTCGCATTTTAATATTTTAATATATAGAGACTTCTCTACAGTACAGTTTTACCACATGCCAACTTACATTGGATCTGTTTCCAAATGCAGCATAGAAGGGATGTTTGTTGGGATAGAACAGGTTCTTGATATCAGTAAGGCATTCAATCTTGAAAATCTCTGGCTTTTTCTCAATCACTTCTCTGTAAGAACAAAAAAACGTGAAGTTACAATTATTAGTAAGCTTTAAGCATGCCATAACAAAATATTCTAAACTTTCTAACAACAGTGTATCACTTTTTATATTAATAATTTTTATTTAATAATTAATCAACAGTGAAATATAATAAGACAAGACAGCAAAACGATGGTTTATTCAGAATGTAAAGCATTTTGGGAACAAGAAGTTGACACGGTAAAAAAAAGTTATTAAATAATAAACTGTAATTATTTATGGTATATTTCTTGTCACAGAATGACTATAAAATCAATATTTGATCAGTCACAGCTTTTCCAATATGGAGCATTCTGTTTTATTTACTATAGGTTTGTACTTGATGTTATACAGCTTTTACAATTATTATGGAATCATCTACAGTTCTGTTCTTTGAACATTTCTATAGTTTTACAGCTTTCTACAAATTTTTTGAAAACTATGGAATAATAGCTTCATATTAGAATTATGTTATCTGCAGCATCAATGGTTTTATTTGCGATATAAGTGATTCCAAACTTTTGAATGGTTGGGACTGACCTGTGAAGTGGTTTGGAAGTGTCTAATTAAGGTTAAGAATTTGATCTTCCCAACTAAAGAATATTCTGTCACTTAGAGTGACTTCGGAATACTGAATAAAAGGCAAACTTCCAATGTCTATAGAACGTGTGTTTAGGTAGGTACAGCAACGCTGAGAGACCTGAGGAGCTCTTATCCTATCTAGCCAAAAGTAATAAAAATATAAATATGGTATAAAAAGCATTCTGAAACATTAGGAACATAGTACATCTGTTCAGAATATACTCATTCAGAGCAAAGGTCTTATTCACTGTGTTGAACACTGGCATTCTTCAAGAATAATAGGAATATTAACTTGCCTGCAGCACAGCTACTATTAGCACTTCATTTCAACACCATTTTTTTTTTTTTTATTTGAGTACCTGTGAAATGCAGAGAAGAGGCTGCTGGGAGAAAGCATGAGGGGCCCACGGGGCAAAATGGTGCCGCCATCATTCACCCACTGCAGATAGCCCCGAGTCATATCAGCCATTCCAATGGCCCTCGCCGAACAGTACAGAAACTTATAGCCATTCCTGCAAAAAGTAGAATTAGAGCTGTCAAAATTCTGCTCTAGCTACAGTAGACACGACCATTATGAAAGGAAATGACTTTCTTCAGCCTTGTCAAGGGTTATCTGCTAAGCGGGTAACTGCTATGCAGGTCAAATGACTAAGTATAATTAGATGAAGTAGCTGTGATGGACTCACTCAGCCACAGAGTGATAGAGCTTGGCAATGCCCTGATGTGTCCAGTCTTTCCCCAGCTGAGGCAGGATCTGCCCAAACACGTCCGATCTGGAGGCACAAACACAGACACACATACAAAAGAGATTCGTCATGGTGTGTAGGCACAGGAGCCCTTTTTCAACTCTGGTTCTAAATATAGATACAGAAGTGCAGGCTTTTTTTTCTTAAATTAACTCGAGTTGAGGAAAAAAAAACAAAAAGCAGTGAAATCTTCCACCGTTTGGGAGAAGCTCAAACCATGTTGTCTGCTAATGAGGACCCTCTCCCTGTTTTTAGCGTTTTATCTGCCGCACAGGCTGGGTGGCAGCGAGGGAGAGGTGGATTTAAATTGGCTCATTATGGTGACATCCTCCTCCCGGTCCAAGCTGGGGGCCCCTGCTCACACCCCGCAGCCACACGCCCGGCACCACGGCCGCCAGAGAGGCTCGTCAGGCATGTTGCTCACAGAAATAATAAGCGCCAGTCAAGTCAGTCAAGCTTTTTTTTTTTTTGATGTTGCCCACCCACAGGTCCCTGAGAGCAGGAGTCCGGAGGCGGAGGACGTCCGTTTGCATAGACGCTCGGATATTACGGCTGCCTTTGCGGTAATTAAAAGTCAAAGAAGACAGACTGGTGGCCAGCTAATATTAGTGCCATGTACGTATCAAACTCGGAGCACCATTCGAAAAGACAGTTTTCATTAAACTGTGCGAACAGTTTCTTTTTGTTAAAGTAGAAGCCATGCTAGAGAGGGCCGTGATAAGAAATTGCCATGTGATATTAGGATCGTTAGAGGATTGTTATTTGGCCGCACATTCAGACCCTTTTATACTGGTTTAAGTCTCTGAGGTTGCCTTTGCCTTGACAGATAAACCTAGCGTGGACTCATTATTGCTCGTCATTGGCAGTAGCGAGCAAGCTGTTAGTGAGCAGCAAATGGTTATTGCACATTTCTACAAGCCAAAAAGGTTTTCTTTTCATTAAAGAAACATCCAGAAAGGGCTAACTGTGAAAAGTGATGGTGGTTGCGCCAGCTACAGCATTAAACCATATACGCTTGTCGTTCTCTCTGTTAATAACCTCAGACAGTGGGGATACTGGTCCGTCATGCCTGAGCATAGATGCTCTGGAACACTGTAACCCAAAAGAGAAAAGAAGTTTTGCATTATTAGCGCATACTTTGTGATGGTGCCATCAATATCCGAGATGATGACTTTGTCATCCCAGTTCCACAGGTAGATGGTGCCGTCACAGCGGCATGTGCCCTGGTACTGTGTGGTGATGCTGAAGGTGACATCATTAGGCCCCTCCTTCAGTTTTAAGCTGGCCTGTGAGATGCAAGGAAGTCATTACATCACAGATTCACTACAACTTTACCTTATAACTCAATATCAGACTAGGGCTGTGTAATATTAATCATCATTATCATTACATGGAATGTATACTATGATGGACCTCGTGCAGCAGAAATGTTAGCATGGTCTATAACAAGGTTTCTGAACCACTGGACCACAGACCACAAGTGGGCTGCAAGGCACTTTCTAGTGGTCCGCAGGTCCAGACTCAGGGGAAAGCAGCAGTTTGTAGTGGATTGGTAAAGACTAAGTCCTAATAACATTTGAAAGTGAAAAACCAAAAAGTTAAAAAAATAAGTGGACAAGTAATTCGCATAACAATAAGTAAGAACGAAACTTATATTTTCCAAATCATAAACGATATAGTAGTAGTCGGAGTAGGCTAACTGCATGTCATCGTTTTGTCAAATGTCATCAGACAACCCAGCTACCGGTGCGAGAATTAATGCTAGCTAGCCAGAGATGGAGTTCCTCAGGAGCTTTCACAACTATCTTCGTCTTGGTGGAGCTATCAAAGTTTTCTTCTAACAGCTCTTCTTCTAACAGCCGTCAGTGCTGTAAAGTCTGCATGATCTGCCTGTTTTAGCGCCTGACTTTTCACAGACACTTGTATCATTCCTGCAATACGAGCTGCTGCTAATAACAGCAGACAAACAATAAAATAATAGTGAAGATTTGCGTTTGATTTTCGTTTGTAGATATCCCAACGTATTCTATGGCCAACCTGATTTGGTAAATTCAGATTGACAACGCAGTCAAAAAGAAGCAGATCTCAAGGGGGCGGCATTGACCACGCTGACACGAGAGACTGCAGGTTCTAAAGCGGACAATTGTTTCCATAACCTCACAGTCCAAATGTGTCCTAAAAGCTTTTTTCACAGTTTCACTACAAGGTTTCTGTGACTGAAATAGACAATCTGATCTTTATCAGGCCCTAACTCTCAGTTTTTCATTGTCAGCATTTAATATAAAAAAAATAAATAAATAATAACATTTTACTCAAATATTTTTATTTCTTGTGAGTCGCTGTGCTTTATAAACAGGTGGGCCTTGAGGTGGAAAAGGCTGAGAACCCCTCTCTTTTTTAAACTCTAGAAATCATCAGATATACTTGTGTTTTGCTGTATCTAGATATGGACAACATGGCAAAAATATCATTTCACCAAATTTGAAGACATTTTCACAACAGACAAAAGACAAATGTCATATTTTGACACACACAGACACAATGCACTAGTACTGCCGCATTTAAAAACGGTCATCAAAATCTCTACTAATACTATGATTTTTATTTAACATTTCACATTCTGTGCTGCATTAATCCAGCTAAACAAGACTAATTATGCTGCCTTAAATGAAACATGCAGTTGGTCAGTTCCACGATAAGCTCAGGAAAGCGTACTGTTAAATCACGATGATAAAATTTATCATGACAGCAATAAAATACTGTCATTCTGCCCACCTCTACCTATACCAGACAAAATGTAAACCATTAGACAAATTCACAGAGCAACTGAATATTTATTATAATTTTAATTTCATCACTAAACTAACTGTTCAGTTTCACTGCCTTTGACATTTTATAATGTTAATGTGCCAAACATTCAAAATTGTACCACTAAAAGTGCACAGTGCATAGAGCAAAGCGGTTCTGACCAGCTCTATGGATTAGTGTATCCCAATCCTGATTAGAGGTGAGCAGTATGACTGTATTTATAATTGTCGTGATAAATAAGGTCACAACACGCTTTTCTAGGCATATTAGAATATAATCAGTACTTAAAGAACACTGACCAACTTCGTAACAAAGAGAGCATAATTGGTCCTGTTTAAACAAATTTAGTGTAGTGCAGTACCTGCAATGTTACAAATGGTACTGATGGTACAAATACAAATCAATGTATTTACAGCTTTTGGTAGTATTTATTTTCCAAATGCAGTACTACTGGCTCTTTTTGTCTGTTCCAACTTTTTAAACCTGAGATAAATTAAATATCATAATGCATATTGTGTATTGTATATTGTTTATGTACTTGCAAAGCAGAGCTGGGACACACTGCTATGGTCCAGAGTGAAATGTTATCAACTGATTATATTTAACGATTTATCATAGAATGACAGAATCTATTTCAGAGTCCACTTCTAACTTCTAATGTCATTTAACATTTTATTGAATATTGTCCACAACTTTCAAAAAAAAGCCTGAGAACTCTCTCACTGAAAAATGCAGTTCCTCCAACTGCATTTTTTTCAGCTTTGAAGCCAGGAGGGGGCGTTCTAACAGCAAGACATATCCCATTATACAGCTGCTTCAGAAAGGGTTTGTACTGCATATTAAACAATGGTACTGAAAGCATATGGTATCACTTGTAACAACACAGAACAGCCTTTAATAGGGGGATTAGATGAAGATCTAATTTCTCTCTACACTCCTGTAGAGGCAGCAAATATATCGATTAGCAAAGACTAAAAGGCATTTTGACACCACTTTACTTGGAAACACAGGGACTACAGCACATGGGTTTTCTTCCTGAAAATCATGTAAATATACAACATTAGAACAGAAATGAGAGTGAATTAGACTCACAATCTGGTCAGAAGAGAGACGCAGGGACTTGCGGTAGGAGTGTGTGCTGGACTGGGGCTGTGGCTGAGGCTGGGACTCCGTCTGGGCCGAGCGCTCCAGAGAGGCAGCGGCTGCACTCACCTCCTTCCCCTCCTCATCACTGGACGAATCTCTGGACTCCACTCTGAGTACACAGACAGCACCTAGTCAGTGGACTACATTTATCTCCAATCCCCTGATTCTCATTTAGATGAACAAAACGCCCCCAGATACCAAGACCTCAAGTCTAACTCATTCAACTCTTGCAGGGCAAATACATCACTGTGGTAGGCAAACTAAGGAAAAGCTTTCTACAGAAGGCTGATTTAACTCAAACAGACAACAATACAGTGGTAAAAGTGTTTTCGTTTCACTGTAAACCTTTGTGTATAGTTCATTCAAGTTTCGGTTTACATTAGGTTAGCAGGCATTTCTCAGAACCTGCACCTTTGCCCACACAGCCAGTGAAATGTGATGACTCACTTGCGGGTGTGGCTTTCCAGGGAGGGGGGAGCCACCATCTTCTAGTTGTGCTTCTTTCAACTCCAGCTTTCCTATGCTCTCAGACTGCAGAACAAAACCAACAGAAAATAAAACAAATTTACGTCCCCAACAAGTAATCAGTAGAAAACGCATTAAAGTAATACTTTAAATACACGTTTTATACAATTTTCCACCAAATGTAAATAGTCAGGACATGATTGGTGTTTGAGTTTTGCTACACTGAAGCTCAGAGGCTTATGTATTTAAAGGGTCTATCTCCTGGTCAATTAAAATTTTCCTAGCTTTTATTGAAGTTTCAAAATGTACAGTTCACTCCGCAGTCCAGACTGTGTACTGAGTACTCCACAGTCAATAAATGGAAATTAACTGTCAAAAACAACCTGCTTTGAATTCATTGTGTTTGTGATGTCACAAAAACCAACCCATTCATAGTTACAAGGAACGTTTCAACCCAGACTGCTTTTTGAATAAAACGCAATACAAGGTAGCCAACTTACACAAAGTTGAATAATGAATAATGACTACTTTTATTACATAAAACCACAAAATTTATAAGTGGACCTCAGGAAAAAAAATAATACAAATAAAATGCAGGATATGGCCCCTTTAACAAATATTAGAAGCTTACACGACACCAGTTATCACTGTGCACTCTGCATGAATAAAATATCAAACTGTGTTGATGTCTATCAAACCTGACACGCATCCTGATAAAATTCACGCTTCAAGATCACTGATTCTAATTTAAAGATGACAGTAAAAAAAAATGAGCATGACAGTAACCACCAGAGCTAACAGACCACTGTAGTTGTGTCATCATTTTGTGGTCGGCTCCATCCTTTTATGCCCAGATTAGGAACTCCGGGTCTAAGATCCATTTCTCTATGGCCAGAATGAATAGGGTTGTGCTACCTTGTCGAAATGTCCTACCATAGCACATATTTTTAAGGTAGCTCTGTAAATAAAACCTCCTTGGTAGGACATTTTCATAGCTTTAATCACCTAATCATCAAAAAATCCTGCCAGGGTTAAAACTACAAAGCTGAAGTCAGCTTCTTTTTCACCAGCTTCTTGTTCAAACTTTTATGCTTCACCTTAAATGATGCAGCAGTCACCTAAATGCAGCACCATTTAAGGTGGAACTGGAAAATTTGAACAAGAAGCCGACAAACGCCTTTATCAAAAAATGTCACCAGCATTAAAAGAATAATTAGAAGATTTTTGGCACAAATCACCTTATCAGAGGCGTAAGTAGTAATATTAAGCTGAGTCTGTACTGAATTAAAATTAAAAAGTTACTATGCTATACTAATGATATGCACATGCTCAGTAGGACCATTTGATTGGGTAGAACAAATTGTTAGAACACCAGTACTGTCAGGCATCACAGTTAGCACAAGTTTAACAGTACAGTGATTCAGTGGTGTAGGGTAAGCTGTTGACAAATTTGATCGTGCATTTATTTATGAAACAGTGTGTCAGTTCTAACAAGTAAACAAACAATGGTCCTATCTTTTGTTCCTAGCTAGTCACTTCTAAAAATTCTCTGTCTCTTTCAGTAGCTTATAATGCTGTTCATTGCTATATTAGGCTACCCACAAAGCTAGCTAATGCTATGTTCAACAATGGAAAACAACTAAGATTAATGATGGGTAAACTAAAAAAAAGTGTTTACCTTATTCTGCCTAAATGAAGAAAAAAAGAATACCAGACAATATATTACATTTTTAAATCCTCAAATATTGAAATCGGTATCTGTCTTAAAATCCTGTACTGGTCGGGCTCTAGTGACCACATAAGCAAACCTTAAAGCAATGGCTCAAAAATAAAATTCACCAAACCATGCTAGGTATCAAATGTTTGGTTCTTAAATTTTAGAGTGGAGCTTCGAGGCTAATAAAATAGAAGTCTTCGCCGCCCAAACAGATTTCAGTGATGTATACTTCCATTACTTGTTAGCTACATTAGTCTTGTAGCTCCAGTGCAAGTAGCAAACTTCAAGAAACACAATCAAGTACATCTACTATAATTTTTTTTTTTTTTGCTGAATGAATCATTCCTTTATATTGACACAGTCAGAGTTTGCACAGTGAGTTTTCACAATGCTAATTGGTAAGGCATGAGCGGCCATTACTTGTTAGCTATATTTTATAGATTTATTTATCTCCAGTGCAAAACTAAAAAAGTAAACTTCATATACATCTTAGCGGATGGAAAACATTTGGGGTAAAAAAAAGAAGTGCAAAAACAAATTCTTTGAAGTCGGAGGTTCAATAAAACTTCTAGTAGGAAAATAAACATGTATTTCAACTTGGGGCTGCTGCTAGGACATAGAGTCATTCTCTAGTGCAAAATGATCCATCTACTGTAAATCACAGAAGACTCCAACGAGTGATTACACAGACTGTACTGGCTCGTCATTGTCCACGTGAGGGCCTTTCAGCATGTTATTGATGAAAGCCTCCGGAGTAATGAGCTGCCTGCACTGTTTCTTTCCATCAGCACCGCTCTACTGAGTCTGTAAAACTTCACATTGCTACGGACTCCTAATTACAGGCCTGCAGGACAGCAGGAGAGGAGGAATCAGACAGGGTGATATATGAGTGAGTGAAGAAGCTTCAGAGAGAATAAAAGAACTTCCGAGCCAGTGGATCTTCGCTAACAAAGACGTCGCTCATCCCTTTAAACCAGTAATTACAGAAGCATTGCTGCTGCTTATGGCATCCAACTAGTTAAGTGATGCTTTAAGACAGAAGAGGTCAACTGCATGCAGAGAGATTAAAGCCTATTTAATATCTCAATAGACACATGCTGTGAAAACCAAGGCCTTTTGTGTTGTAAAGAAAGTAATTAAATCAATGAAAGCTGTGCAGGTTACACTTACACAGCCGTCATGAGACATGATATTAATTAACAGAATTACCTGTTTGATAGTGCTGTCCGCTCTTTTCCGCCAGAACCACCAGCGGCCTGACTTCTTAGGCATCCTCTCTTTAACCCAGGCCTCCTCTGTAGCTTTGGGTAAATTCTTTTGGAAAGCCTGCAAGCTCAAAATTAACGGTGCAGCCAACGTCCAGTTGTAGTATCTGTGAGGTAAAAAAAGAAATAAATAAATTAAAAGTAAATATCAAATAACATTTAGTAGTAGCAAATGTTTCTTGAAGAAAATCTTACCTATTTGCTATTTTCACAACCAAATTGGGATTGTCTATAATGGCTGGATTTTCAGCAAATTCATGGTAGGTGATGATGTGTTCCATGAATTTTTCTAGAATGAGGAAAGAGAAATGCATCATGTTAACCATGAAAGGGACCACATTTCACATTTTTTGTGCACTGTATTTTATCCCTGAGGTCCACTTTTAGTGTTTGCATGGGTTTATGTGCCAACAGTTAATTCTTTTACACGATCATGATCACTCTTTATCACTTAGAATTAAGCTGTTCTTGTTAGTTACTGTAAAACTGATATGTAAAAATTTCTGTTCTGATTGGTTGCCCTGTATTGCTCCTCACTCAAAAAGAAACACTCTATAACTTCAGTGTTAATGGGTGGAGTTGAACAGCTGCAGGCTGAACAGATGTAAATGTTTTGGCTTTCATGACATCAGAAAAACAATGATTTGAAAACTGGCTGTTTTTGCAGCTTAGATTCTGCATGCAAAAGTCAAAATTACATGTTTTGTTGAATTTCTACAAGAAAATGATCTACAGAGAACACATTTCACCACACTTTAAGGCACAATTATTGTTTAACATGTCAGGGAAAAAAAAATAAAACATGGCACCTTTTATATTTGGTGCCCCCCCCAATTTGTAAAATATGTTAAAATTGTTAAAATATAATAAAAAGAGTGAAAGGTTTACATTAACAATATTAACAGTCTTATTTCATAAAAGTAAAGACATTTTGCTTGAGTCCTTTAATAAGTGGAAGTTTTTCAAATTGTTGCCACGATACACTGTGGTATACCAGTACCAACAAACTCTAGAATCTGTAAAGGCCAGTCATGTGTCTCAGTACCTTTGGATATCTCAGCATTCTCACTGAGGCCTCCACACAAGGAGAGAGTGACATCAGGCAGGTCAGAGGCGGAGTCAGAGAGGCATTCTGTACCACTGTCAGCTGCAGCACTGCCCACAGACTGGGGGGACTGAGAACCTGACCGCAACCCTGAGTCTATCCAGTGCTTGGAGCCGGCCTCTGAGTCACTGCACATACATACAAACACAGTCAAAGTCTTCACCTCAAACAAGCTCTAGGAGATATCAATGAAGCAATTAGCATGAATAGCTATGTTCAAATGGCAGCTAGGAGTAGCCAGAATGAAAGGCTGACCCAGCAATAACCTGAAGAAAGAGGCCTGATAAAGCTCTTAGCCGTTACTTCATATCAATTCAAGGTAAGGCATGACATGGCATTTTGAAAAGCCACATACTGTAAGTTATTAGCCTTTTATGTACCTCTTGGGGAAGTAGCGTGCAGCCACATCAGGCTCAAGAACATTCAGGTCATCCAGGTATATATCCTCAGGGCCCTGGTGCTGGCTCCTCTTTGGGACTCCTGAACAACAAACAGCAGAAGCAGTTCAGTTACTGAGTTTTAAATAGTAACAATATCAGCTCAGTTGGCTCCACTGGAGGCACTGTCTATTGAGCAACCAATGCAACTGTAGCACTTCATTCATAGAGAACACTGGCACAAAGACACAGAACTGAAACCATGAATTCACTACCACACTCTTCAGGTCTGGCTCTTTTCAGGCAATTAATAACTGTAAAACTCTTAACGATGCACAACCCATTAAGAATATTAGTGCCTAACTGCTTTATAAGATTAACCAATTCAATGGCTAATTAGTTAAACTACCAATAGCGTGACTAGTCGGTCATGTGGATTAGGAACAGTCAAGGCAGATTTTTTTTTTTTAGTCAATGACTCGTTTAGTCATGAAGCACAAAAGTGGTTCGAATGACTGCAACAACAAAGACAAAGGAATCAATAGAACATGAGAGGGACTGTGTTCACTACAATAACAAATGACCCAGAGTGTTCTTTTGCTTTTCTGCAAAACAAAAATTAAAGCAATAAAGCCCCAAACACAAGATCAAATATACTACAATACTGGCAATTCCTTCCACCAAAAAAAGCCATTAGTTATGGATAGAACCATAAAACTGTTGCAATAGCAGGTTCAAATCAGCTTTTTCAATATTTGATGGATAAACCTGAATGTTGTTTTGTTCCAGCCAGTCTCTGAAAGCATTTCACAGACCATCTTGTTTGCAAATTTGTATTCATTAGCTAAGAATCGTTACTCAGTGTATTGATACATTAATTGTATTGGATTGTGACGCTGGAACTTTTGTATAATGGTCTATTAATTACATAATAGTCAACAGGTTAATCGAGATATATATACATAGAAATAATCAGAAGTTGCATCCCTAAAGTCATCCCACCTTTCTTTTTTGAAGGGGAATCCGTCTTGGAGCAGTTGTCACCCATGTCTCCACCTACGGCAGCAGCAGGGTTAGAGGCAACAGCAGAAGCAGGCGCAGCAGCAGGAGCAACAGCGTTGAGGTCTGAGGGGGTGGAAGTGGCCACAGCACCACTAGTCAACACTTCTGCACAGTCAGAGGGGGTTAGGGGGGTGATGGGGGCGACTGGAGTGCGAGGCTCAGGCTTGACAATGGCGCACATTGGTGCAGGAGCCAGCTCTCTTTGCCCATCAGCCTCAGGGTCCATAGCCTCGGAGCTTAGAATAACTCTGAAGTGAGTGTTTTCTGTCGGCGTTATGGTCACAGTCTTGGGCAGCTCCGTCTTTTCTTTCTTTGCCACCTGGTTGAAACGCATTTGAGAATGACAATAAAGCCAAGGTCCACATTTCCCCCTCATGAATTTGCACTAGCTTTTTGTATCAAAAGGGCAGGCAATATGGTATACACATAATTTAATGACACTAGACTAATGTTCATGCTGCACAATATGTATCACAGTACATAAATACATACAAGATAATGGAAGTCAGCCTATTATGCCAATCAGATACTTCTTACTACTTTGTTTATATATTTACTCCACAGTGGTTGTTTTACAGGCTCTGTATAATTGATCAAAATCCATCTTTGAACTCTTGGATTTGTTAGAATGTGAGCTCACACATACCCTGGTGGGCTCTGGGAACTCTCCCCACGTCCACTGCATGTGAGACTCCATTTTGAGCAGGCTCTCTGAAGGTCGGATCACCAGCTCAGAGTCACTCTTGGGAGAGAAAGCCTCTGACATGGCATGGCTTCAGAAGACACAAAGATAAACACACAGATTTCAACTCTGCATACTGAAACCTTTTGTGATAATTATTGCAAAGGCCAATAAAGTGAGGACAATTAACAAAAGATAGATATTGTTACTCTAATTTCCATGTATGTACGCATTGCTTATATGATTATTTACTTGTCTGCAGCTGACCAGTCTCCATCTGAATAAGGGTAATTCTCTGGGGAATGGCGAACCGGTGGTACTCTGGGTTCAACCTCTTTCACTGTGCTAATTGAAGATGATCTAAATTGACAGTGAAAAGAATGATTGATACACTTCAAAGTACTTAAGAGAGTATAACAGAAAGACGTGCACAGAAACTGCTGGGAGGTATGAACTGAGTAATCACCGTGAGCTGGGAGTGGCCTCTTCATCTGAGCTCAGGTCCATCTCAAAAATTTCATCTGTGGGGACAGAAGCTCCAACAGAAGCAGGTGGGGTCAGTTCCTCCCGCCGAGGGTCTCCTTTATGCTTCTTTCTTCGTCTCTTCTTCTTTTTACCTGTGCTTGTGCTGGTCACAGGGGGCTCAGGGGGATCCTCAGGATCCTGGGGGTCATCATCTCGATCCTGAGGCAGGCCATCGTCCCCTCCAAGCCAGAACATGTGACTCTCCGTGGGAATTGGAGAAGTGGCCAAATGAGCTGGGACTATCTCCTGAAGTTCATGGACAAAAGGCCATTTTTAAAAATCAGTAAATCAAAACCTTCTCACTCCAACCGTATGGTACATAGTACACAGTGGAACATAGTGGAACATAGTGGAACAAAAACTTGTTCCTCCAGCAGCTCAATGCAACACGCAAAACATACAATGCAAGAAGTATACAACCAGAATATATATGTAGGGGAGACAAAAAAGTATTGTACCCAAATTATGCTTCTGAAAATGAGAAACATTTAACAAAGCCATTTTTTAAGAAATGTATTTTTTTTTAATTTAAGAAATTTAAGAAATTGAAAATAAGCTTAGATGATAATGTAAATTTAGATTATTATAGATGATTGTCTCATAATTATAGTCTTATAACTATGGATTATAGTCTCATAATTACCATCTCAGCTAACTTCTAATACTACTTAACCATTTATAATGATGACAGTATTACTTGCTGTTTGCACAGAATATAGTTAATATCCTCTGGGTTTCCACATTCGTTTCGTTGCAAACCAAAATACTGCCCAACTGCCACCCTTATTTGGCTGAACTCTGTGCATTTTACTATCTACTGGAGAACAGATCTCATGCACCAGAGTTTCTTCTTCTTACATGTTCCCCAGTATTCTTTGCCAGAATGAACACCTGTCAATCTTTCTAAGCAGCATTTCTGATCTAACCATAACTTAGAAGAATTGTACAAGGGATTGGTTAATAAAATCACCAGGCATGAAAGAATGATCATTTAAATAATACTGCCATTTATTCAAATTACCACAAAGCTCAACTGTATCAATTATCACCCCAAGGCTAATAAGAAACTCATTTTCTAGATGCGCATTAAGAACAGACCTGAATGAATCTGTGGGAATTGTGTGTACTATTTGTGAGGATACTCACATTCTGCACCTCCATTTCCTGCACAAAGAAAGCTTCTCCATTGTCTCCCAGCTTCATGTGTAGATCCACTGGCTCTCCATTTATTTCTATGTCAATCTGAGGGAAATTAAGATAACAACAAAATCACACCTTCATTTTACAGAGGCCAACAGACACAACTTCATCTTCATGTTTACTCTAATTGCACACAGTCAACAACAGGTCTATCTGATCCTCATGTTCCCAGTCAAGAGGATGACCTTTTGATACTTTCTCTGGTCTAGCTGCAGGTCAAACATATCAAAAGTGTGCTCCACCTGAGCGCTGACCTTAAGAAACCAATATGAGTTGACATTTAGCCTGGTACTCCCCTAAGAACTTCTGGCTGTTCACCTTGAGGTTCATTCAGAGTCTAGTTATTATTGGCCTACGAGCTCAATTTGATTTGTTGGGTCTTAGTCTGACTCATGGTTTTAAACAGGTGTGAGCAGCAGGAGCCGGTCAATGGACACTAAGCAAGATTTGTTCCTGAGTGCTTGTTGGTGTGTTTAGATTTCTTGTCTTCATCACATAAACTGCCCTCGTAGTTCAGCTTGTAAAAATGGCTGTTGTGGCATGCCAGAACATAACTGAAGTATGTCTCTATCGATTATATTAGCAAACGTTGAACAAACAGATTACTGATTACTCATGTAAAGGCCAAATGATAAAAACAAACTTAAGAGAACCATAACAAACCATGTAGAGCTTCTCAAATATTACTAAAGCCTTCATTAAAAAAATCTTCATAAAAACTGTAACAAAAAATGCATAGAAATATGCTATCAGGCTCTGTTTCTTACTGCAAGCAGTTTCAGTAGGAGAATTTAATATATGCATCATCATAAAAAAAGGCAACTAATCAGAGCCATAGACAAAGTAAAATTTAGGGCTGAGACACCTTTTCATGCTTAATTGTGGTTAAATATTTAGTTGTTGTAAGGTGTTTTGACACAAAATTGATTTTTATAGATTTAAAGCAATGAAACCTTCAGATCAAGTTCAAGGCACTTTTTTTAATGTTACCCTGACAACACAGGGAAGATGCAAAGGAGGAAGAAACAGATTTGTCGAGTAGTAATGGCTTATCATTTTTTTTTCAGCCAGTACGGCTCAAAGACACAGACACTGCATCATTCTGCTATGAAAGTTCAACCAACAGCAGGAGGTGTCCCACCGACTCACAGGATCTGAAGCACTACTGTGTGTGAGTGTATGTAGCTCGAGGCTCTGCTTTAGCTCAGAGCTCCAAGCATAAGAATGCTACAAAACAATGGTGAAGGCAGAAACTATTTTTTGGGTAAGGCCTGTAAAAAAGTGGTTAGGCCACTTTGGTAGATCCAACTTCCAAATGCGCTTATGTCCAACAATGTCATTACACTGGGCTGTAGCCTGTTTTTGACAGTCATCACCCAACATATTCCAGCGCTTCCACCCTATGGTAATATCACCATATTCTGGCAATCAACGAGAACACTGGATTCACATAAACACAACAAACACTGCAACACCCTCCATTATAAAGACTATAAAGCATGCATGCCCAATGACCAAGTTAAAATTAAACAGCTAAGATGTACAAAGATGGGGAAAAACAACACAGTAAATGTAAAAGCCTAAACATGATCATCTTAAACTAAAGCATACAGCCACAGCAGGCAAACCAGATGTGCAAAGAGGAGGAAGAACAACACAACAGATTTAAAAACCTAATAATTCAAGTCAAAAACATACTGCCATGGCAAAAATACACTGGAGTAACTGTGTTAGATGATGTTAGATGTTTGCTTTGAAATTATCACAAAGCCCATTTCAGTCTTTGTAATAAAATCAACAACAACAGAAAAGTGACGATGTTTCTTTCAGCTTTGGATGGGTAGAAACGACATACTCTATGGGACGGAATCTCACTTTTACATCTTTTATCCACAACTGGAGCTTCAAATTCAAACACTGGCACACTGTTAACGAACTGAAGACTTCAGGCAATGGTGGATAGCAAAGGTTGCTGTGCTGTAATGGGAGGGCTGAGAAAATAAGGCTAAGCTTGGCAGAGTGGAATGAGTGAAAAAAAGTGAAAATTTCATAATAAATAGACAAATAAAACAATGAAATGCTCCAAAATTGCCTGGCATAAAATCTCATCATATTAACTTTATATATATTTGAATAAATATATACAGACTTTAGTAAAAGTAAAGGATATTTCACTTCTCCTGTACAGTGACCATTTTGAAGGTAGTTATTTTCTGTAGTTATTTCTGTAGAGTCACAACATACCGAGTATGTAACTGCAAAATACCCACAGTTTTAAATATAATAATTCTGTCAGATTTAACCGTTTTTTTTTAAATTGCCAGCTTAAGTAAATTTGAACCTATATAGTTTTTCATTGAGTTTAATCAAGTAATAGTGACAGTCCCATGAACAAGTAAAAGTTTTCAGAATAGTTGCATGAGTCATTACAGATCTGGGCCCTGCTGTCAAAGTTTTTTTGTTGCCCTTGCCATTTCAAAGCTTGACTGATGCTTGGAGAATGCTCTACACTTTCTTACTCATTTCACTACAGCTCAGTTGAAGCCCGTGGTGTTCTGTTTAACCATGCATTTGTAATGACTTGCTCAGAGACAGACAATGCCCAAGTCTAATGCTTCATTCAGTGCTCTGCATAATTACCAAACTCAATTAATGACTAGGGTTAGGATGCTGCTACTGGCCAGCTGCCAACACACCCACAAGACCATATTACACACCTGATACTGTGCCATCAAGCAGACAGGTACATGAGCCAGAATGATTGGCTTTCAACGGACACCAGTAACATGAAACCTGAAACGATACCACTGATCTGAAGCCTTTGGTGAGTGCAGATTTGTTTTGGCATTTTTTTTTTTGCAGAATCTACCGAGCCTCTACTTTTCTCAGTCTTAGTCTTTCTCCTAGATGCCCGGTAGCCCCTTGTCTTCAGTTACAAGGTTGCTAGGCAATTTGGGCTGCGTGTTCACAGAGAGATGGGGCAGAATTTTAATGACGCCACTAATGATGGCCTGGGGTGAGTCTTCAACATGCCAGTCCAGTATGAAATATTTAAGGCCAGAGAAAAGGGGCTCAAACTTGTGTTGAAAATAGAATTAGGGTCCGTTTCCTTTCAACACAGGATTACTTTGCCACCTCTCTATACTTCTTTATTGTTGCAGTGAGGTAAGGGGAGATAGTAACCAGTGTTAAGAGTTGCGGCATAACTCACTCACTCTCACTCTCTCTCTCTCACTCTCTCTCTCTCTCTGTATGTGTGTGTACATACACATACAAACACACACACACACACACACACACACACACACACACACACACACACACACACACACACACGGGTGTGTATTTAAACAGTCAGATGGCATAGCAGCACTTGACACTATAGGAACTTTTGTGAACAGAACAATTGCGAACATTGGGTAAGAAGAGAAAGCGGCAAACTTTTGTCTCTTAAAAGCTTTTCAAAGAGAAGATCAGGAACAAGAAAGTCACCCCACGGACTGTCTCCCCATTATATAAGTAACCTTGATGGTACTATCCCACTCCTCCTCTGCCAAGCACTTCTTATCCTGAGAAACCTGTTGCCATAGCGACCACCCCTTCTCTTTTTCTAAGCATCTCTGCACTTCCTGCAGGTTGAGAGAAACTGCTCCAACCCCCGCCATATCAGGGTTTTATTCCAAGGATTCCAACGGATGTTGAATACATGCAGCAAAAAAAATTAAATAAAAATAAAACAATGAAAAACAACCCACCCACAAGTCCTGTTCAACTTCATGGAAATTTTAAGAAATTTATTATGAGCTCCTTCACCAAACCCTATTTGTCTGAAATGTGTGTGCCTAAATATATGATTTCCCCTCTGTCTACTACACAGAAGACAATGCCTCATGTTTTTTTTTTTTCCATAGAAAACCAACACCGCCATCTTTGCTGGCCTGTCACAGGATGCTAAATAAATGATGCAGTCTGCAGTAGATTATTCAGCCTGCTCAGTGCTAAGTAGAGTTCATGCACCCTATAGCATATGACAAGGACAAATGGAGCCATTTACAGCCCTGCATAACACTTTTCACTCACACACCATCACACATACGTTCACAACAGCAGTTATGTATTACTATTATTTGACATCAGTGGCACTGAAACAAAGTAACCCAGCCTCAAAAGGAAATTCCACTGATATATCAGAATGAAATTGTTCACATATAATCAGAGTGGCTTGATTCAAATGCTTATTTTTAGACAAACTGTTCACAAAGGTGGACCAGAGGTCTAAGACTGGGCCCACACTACCAAATATTTTTGACCGATTTTAAGTGACAAATTTTCACAATCTGAAGCGCTTTTCCAGGTCGGAAGCGTGTTCAGAAGTGACTGACAGCGCTGATGATCTGGCAGTGTGAGAGGAGAAATTAGTGAATCTTTAGCCCTTCGCTCGAAAGCTGAAGTGAGGCCCCCAGATATTACCAAACATGTTTGGTATTTACGAAATACCAACTCAAAACGTTCACAAGTCCTGTAGTGTGAGAAGGTCTGAGATTTACTCAATGAGTGATTCAAACAACAGCCAATCAGAGAGCTAGAAGAGAGGAGGAACAGGCAAAAAGACGCATCCCCTGAACAGTGGAGCGCGGAGAGTGAGGAGCTGCGTGTAAAACACAGGCAGATAAGAGCCGTTATCATCTTTATAATGTATGGATCCAGACGTCAAAGCACTCTCTTTACAATTTCAGCTCAGCAGCTAGTTTGTAGTGAAATATTTCTCCAACTCTCACTGTATCAGCGCTTCTCAACCCCATATTAATCCACAGTTTGCGCTTTCTCTGCCCATAAAAGCACAAACAGGTCCAGTCCAGTAAGTTTAGCTTTGTTTGTGTGGTGTAATATCTGAGGAGATCTGGGATTTTGAGTTCTTATTCGTAGCCGAAACTCGCTAAATGTGTTACACTCTCTCTTACGTCAAAAAGACAAGAAATTCTGTCACAACTTGACGATAAGCTTGTGATGTTCTCCATTTCACTAGTAGTTTTGGACAGGAAAGTAAACAGCTATATTTGTGTTGTAGACACTGCAAGCCCTGATTCCTATCACCACTACTTTAAAGAAATCCAAGTAAGTATTTTTCTCTATAGCGAACCATTTCACATTAAACCACTCTGAATGACTTTGTTTACATGTCAATGATGAAACTGTGCAAAATTGTCTTTGCTTTTCTAGTAGCTTTTTTGGGGAAAGGTTTAGCAGAGTTACAGTGCAAAAGGCACTGGCTCTAAGGTAAGCTCTTAAATACAGCCATAGGAGTGCTCCCAATAAACTCCTAAACAAAAATTAATCTTAAAGCTTTAAGCTTTAAAAAGTAATAACATCAATTTCTGGAATGTTAGACAGTCAACTTGGTGTTTGTACACTTTTGACCCATTGGACAACAATACAAGTACTGTGCATGAAGACACATGAAGACACACCACTACACAGTTCACGCAGGATGTGGAGAAACCTATTTCTCTACTCTTGACCAAGAGGCACTGCTTTCGGGTTAAATTCTCACAACGACCCATTTCCAGCAGCCACACGACAGGCAATGTTTGCAGACGTGACAAACTGCAGGGTCACTGGTGATAAGAACTAGCCTGCTTTCACTGAACCTGTTTGTTTTGTTTGTTCAGGGGTTTTGAGAGCAGCTAAGGATAGTGGAATTAATTTCAGTAGGCCAACAGCCCTCTGGCAAAACATAGCAGCATAACAGAAACTGTTTAAAGACCAGTTCTGCATATAACAGGAACTATTCACCTACATTTTTGAACTCAACCTAAAAGTTTAAAAAGGTTTACTCCAGTGTTATTCAACCTCATTTACCGCATCTGTAGCACATAGCTGATTAATACAGACAACAATTTTGACGCAACTCTCATTACTTAAAAAAAGAACAGAAAATCCTTTGAGTGGAAACATATGTGAGAAGCCAAGAGGCAGTTGTTTCAGCATATGTAGCAGAAGGACACTAGATTAAAAAATGCTGGATTATTCCTTTAACTCCTCACCGTACATTAACATTCAAGCAACAAGTCTCTAATGTTGGCCCAAGTGTGTCTTTTGTGGGTGCGTGCAAGGTCGCTCTTGCTCTAGAATGTGGGCGTGTATACTGACTAGCTTCTGACGAGTAATAGCCAAATTCCGCCCAATAGGCTCCCGCGACCCAGAAGGATAAGCGGCTTAGGGTGTGTCTTTTAATTTAAAATACAGCTAAATATGTCATTTAAATGTATAAATCCAGTGTATATATACACTCTTGTAACCAAGTCTACATCATATGTTTATATATTACAGATTAGTGATCAACAAAATGAAAATTACTGACCAAAAACCAAAGCTAAAATTGAGGACACAGTCAGCCAAAAACCGAAAACTGAAACGGTTCTCCTACATATAATTTCTGTTTAGTTCATGCTGTTTAATTATCGTAACAATAGTAAATATGCTTCAAAGGCAACTATCGCTTTGTTAGGAAAAAGAACTAAGAGAACAAGAGGACAAACAGCCTGCTAAATAATATTAAATATTAAAAATTGGAAAATAATGACATGCCGACGTGGCTTTAGAACTCCAATCTACCATTCTGTCTTTTCTCCAGCAGGGGCGCTATTAGCACACAAGTCATTTGGTGTTCCTCATTTCCAGAAGAAACAGCCATAAACTTTTGCAGAAACACCGCTGCAGAGGACTGTGTTCAAGTGTTTCACTGTTGATCTGCTGCTGCTCAAGCTGTTTGAATGCATTCTCAGTTTATATTAAACAATGACTATCCAATTACTTGTACTCCTGCTTTAAAGAGGTTTTCTGCTCTATCCACTCAATTGTTCTATTCATAGTTTTGTTCATTCATCAAAGCAACTTGAACTTTCAACTTTGTTCCCCCCCTCTTACATTTCAACACATTCTTTCAATCAGTGTTCCAGCTGGCACTCACCACTTTCTCCTTGGAGCGAAGCACGCCCAGTTTGCCGAAGCGCACATGGAAAGGAGAACACTGGTAGGTTCCATCTTTCTGGCGGACCACCACCACGTCAATGCAGCCTGAGAGTGTGGCCTGGTTAATGCCCTTATATAGCTCCTTCACCGTAACCAGCACCTGGCCTGCCAGCTGCCCCACGTAGTTCATAGTGTCAGCCTGTTCACAGAGAGAAGGAGGGAAAGAGGCAGGTGAAGATGGTGGTATTTTCAATCAGCGCTTTCTCCTTTACTTAATATTAGTTCCATTAAAAAAAATCTGATTTACACAATTTAACTCAAATATAACCCAATCAGCCAAGACTCAAATAGACTTGCTTATGAGGTTTCTAACACATACTGCAAGACATACAGTTATCTTTAAAAACGGGAAAAAGCATGTCGCGCTGTAGAAGCCTGACTTTTATCTAGTTTTACAGACAGCATTATGTCATACAGCGTCATAAAACACATCACACTATAGCATTCCCACAATGTTAGATCACAAATGAGCTTATTAGCCTTGTAGTTCCACTGCTAAATTAAACAAGGCAAAAATTGTACATTAAAACACTTAGCATAAAGCTCAATTAGATTTGGAGGAAAGAAAAACTGTAATCAGGGTTTTTTCTTGCTTTAAAATGAACAATTCCCTCATCTGTAATCACTTCAGTCATCCATGTCTGTACATTTCTCAGTTAAAAAAGATAATCTCACTATATCAGATCACATGTTTGTAATAACCCACTGCACTGAGCACAAAACTTAGCACTCCATTATTCAAGCATAGGCTTCAAAGTCAGAATCACCTGCATGACTATATTTCAGCAGGAGTTTAGCTCTACTACACTTTTCCTCTGTCTGCACAGGACTGGCACTGACTCGCAGTATGTGACCCACAGCTTATTCATCCCCCCCTATGCTGTTTTCTTTCGTTAATGAAAATTCAGCTCATGGTTCCCCCTGGCTGGCTGCCTCTTGATGGGCCTTATCTGCATGTCTGCAGACAGCCTATTCGATCTCAGCAAAGCAGCCTCAACGTCCCCCTAGATGCTGACAGCACAGAACGTTTGTACCTCAAGGCTAAGCTGATCTGGAACCACAAGTCGTGTTTGCCCGGCCACACCATGTTTAAAAGACAATGTCTAGCAGAGCAACGTCTAGGACGAACAAGCACATGCCCAAGGGATTGTTTTCAGGAAACAGAAAACGGCAACTCTAAGAACTCTGAGGTCAGAGGTAGTGTTTATGATGACCAGTGCAAGAAATTCCAGCAACTACTCTGTCAACATCCTAAAACAAGGTTATAACCTCACTGTTTAGAGGCCTATGTTGCAACCTTATTTTCTAATGTCACAATGTACAAGGAATTACACTTTATTACACATTACACTTCTGTTTTCAGGATTAAATGAATACTATTACAAAGCAAAATCAAAGCAAAAACAAAATGTTGAAACTAAGAAATGTCATTTTTTATTGGAAAACATATGCCAATTTTGAATTTGATGCCAGCAACACGTTTCAAAAAAGTTGGGATGGGGCATGTTTACCACTGTGTTGCATCACCTCTTCTTTTAACAACACTCTTTAAGCATTTGGGAACTGAAAAAACAATTGCTGTAGCTTTGAAAGTGAAATGTTTTCCCATTTATGCTTGATATAGGATTTCAGCTGCTCAATATACTCAGACTTTTCAACTGATAATGTGCCAGATGTTTTCAACATGTGACAGGTCTGGACTGCAAGCAGGCCATTTCAGCACCCTGACTCTTTTATTACTGAGCCATGCTGTTGCAATATGTGCAGAATGTGTTTCATTTACAAAAAGAGTTCTAAATTTTGATTCGTCAGGCCACAGGACACTTTCCCACTGCGCAGTCCATCTTAAATTAGCTAGTTTTAAAAAAAACACTGAAATTTCTGAGTTTCAACATTTGATATGTTGTCATTATACTATTTTCAAATAAATTTAGAAGGTAAATGATTTGCACATCATTGGATTCTGTTTTCATTTACATTTTGCACAGCATCCCAAGATTTTATTTGGAAACGGGGTTGTAAAACAACAGGTCAGACAGTTGAGTATTGAACTATGGATAGTTTTGATAAGTATGTTTTAAAATATGAATATTTTGGATAGCTATGTATTGAAATAAGATACTTCAAATAGTTAAGTGAAAACATGGACAGTTCAGATGGTTAAGTATTGAAACACGGATAGTTCAGATGGCTATGTATTGAAATGCTGATAGTTCCAATAGTTAAGCACTGAAATATAGATAATTAGTTAAGTAGTGAAATGTGGATGCTTCTGATACTTAAGTATTGAAATGCGGCCATTTCTTTGGATATTTCAATGATTTTATCAAAACCACAAACTATTCAGATTTGAAAAGACTACTTGATAGTGGTCTAACCAACAAATAAAATTAAACAAAACAGGGCTACTTAATCTCATTTTCAGTCTATAACCAAGTGTAGTCTGTGAAGAAAGCCATCTCTACACGTAGTTGCTAGATTATTAAAAGTAGGACATTCCCTTTATTTAGGGCACTGTTCAGCTGGGTCTTTTACAGACTTTGTACCTAGGACAAGCCTACATTCCTTTCACACAACAGCCATGTTTCAGATCAAGCATGAACCTTTTTCAAGTACAGGATGCAGGACCTTTGGCTAAAAGGGGAGAAAAGGGAACATGGAGAGAAAAAGACTGCAACTACAAGAAAAGGGATAAGGTCTTAAACGCTGAATGACCCTGAACAACATACCACACTGTGCTATGCTAAATCCAATAAAACAGGACTAATTATGATCCCTTTTAAAATTGATTTTTAAGCACGGACAATATCCACAATATGCCCAGAAAAGCTTACTGTGACATACTGAGATGCAGTTTATCACGACAATGACAAATTCTGTCATATTGGCCAGGTCTACTTAGGGTATGCCTTGCAAGCACAGTCACAAGAAATTCCTACAAAATCTTTCATTGTAGACTGAAAATACAGAATACAGATTCAGGATTAATAACTATGGCCACATGTTCCATTTCCCACATTCAGAGGGTTCACACAGTTATTCAGGGTCTATGCGAGTTTTAACACAACTGGCCCTATAACTCTTTGTTCACCCATGCCCTCACAAAAGTATAAATGAAGTCTCATATTGCTGCTCATAGCCAACTGTGAGTACACTACATGAATATAAGTATGTATTTATACGCACATATATATATATGCACACACACACACATGTGTATGTATGTTTAGGTATATGAAAGCAACAAATTCAGTAGACTACAAAAGAGTCAACCAACTTCTGAACAAAAAAAGTCAATGACAACTCATAACTGTGTGTGGTATGGCTACAACCTACAAAAGGCATTTTTGTGAACTCATGAACGCATATTAGACGTTACATGATAAAACTTGGCTGATGATTTAATCATCCTATGGTATTCCTGATTCAAAAATCTAAGACTAAACTGCCTCAAAACCTTGGACCTTGAGAGAAATCTCCAAAGAGACCAATTTACCACAAGACAATAAGCTCTCATCTACAGGCTAACAATCCATGAAGGCTGACCCCTTTTACTAGCTTCCCATTTTCACACAAGGGATATCAGAATGAAGAGCAATAGGAAACTGTGTAGGAACAGAAAACCCTGCCTCTTTGAAAGCCTCTAATGCCAATATGAAAATAACTTTCATGAACACATTATCGATCACAGACAGGGTTTTTAGGTTCATGATCATGGAAATGAGTGCCAGCAAAACATACTGACATTAAAGCAGAAAGATGAAGTCAACAGCTGAAAAATGAAATTGAGTGGGGAACAAAACCGCAAACAATTTGTTAAAATGCCACTCAGAGAGACAATTCTTTCAACATTTAAAGCAGAATTTAGTAATTGTGTAAATATCTGATCTCCCCTACAGATAAGAACTGAGCAGCCTATATGGGACACAGGTAATAATCTTCAGAACTTCTAAATGTGTCTATTTTGGCTGAGTCAGCATCAAGACTAATCTATGAAAGGCAGGGACTTAATGCTGATTCAGTGTTACGAAGTATCCATTAAACAGTTGATCTTTTATTGGCCTTATCAGCTCACAAGTCAACAACATTTATGTTTTTACAATCTAACTTATGTTTAATAGCAGGAGCTGTGATGTGGACAGAAATTCTTATCCTAACTATTTAATAAAATGAGTTTTTCAGCATCAAATTGGGACAAACAATTTGAAATAAAAGACCGAGAAAAAAAAATACAGGCCAACAATTGAGGGAAACACAGACTTTATGTTTTAACAGGACTGTAAAATGTGATTTGCAAGTCAGTAACAAGTAACTTGCCTCCACAGTTCATTATCACAAAGAAGCAGAAAGTCAGTTTCTACTTTTAGTTGTCCCAGCTTTAAAAACACCTATTTTAAAACTCACCAAAGTAACAAGATGTTAAAGGGGAATTCCACAGATTGTTAAAAAATTCTGCATCATTCAGTCATTGAGATGCAAATAAAGTTAGTTAGTGCACTTTGATGTGAAATACTATAATCTAGACAAACTTACAAAGTCAGAATTGTTCACAGTGGTGGTCATAGTAATCAGGGATGACCATGTCTACAACACAAATCATCATTTTTACTGTCCATTTTACTGTCAAACCGCAAGTGACCCTACATGTGACATCTGAGTTTTTAAATCTAAATGTTGTTGATGGTAAAATAGTAGTGAATCTGAAAAAATGAGTTTTCTTTAATGACTATATTTCTTTACAACACTATCCATGTGTCCCTCCACCATGAATGACTTTTCAATTAAAAAAAACAAACAAACTCATTTTTAGGCCAAACGCTTATTGCAAAACTATCATAAAATGTTTTATTGTGACAATTTATGTGTTACTACTTAGTATAATTAGGCCTACTTACTGTTTCTTTTAGAGGCATAAATTCTTCAGTTGACTGGTTCCTAACACCACCACTGTGAACAATTCTGGCTCGGTAAGTTTCTCTAGAATGGACCATTTTACATCAAAGCACTATGAATGACTGTTTAAAGTTTAATGATTTAATTATTAAGAAACTTTGAAAAAATGGTGGAATTCAGAGTATAACCAATCATAAAATTCATAACTCATAATTTAAAACCATACAGTATTGTCCTGATTCTACACATTTCTTGCGACAACAAAACTAAGGAATGCCTGCTTGTTTTTGAGGTAAAAAGGTAGTGATATTTTTAGAGGAAGGAGGGTATGCACTCACTGATGGCTGGCTTGTTTAATTTTTATTATACTTCACACAGTATAACCAAAATTAAAGAGTACTTTTATTCACTCCAGTCTGTTGAATGTACTGTTCAATATCTCCACGTAGACAATCGAGAGGACCATCTTGAATGACACAACATGATATGCCGTTTACATGCTGTTACACTCCTGTTGTTACAGATACTGTTGTTACAATACGGAGTATAACGCACTGATTCCAGTTTTTCAGGTTGGCTATGCACTGAATTTGTCAACACCTTTTAAATATATTTTTTTAAAAAACTCATCTGTGCTGGCGTTTAAGAAAAATTCACTTTCATTTTAGGAAAGTTTTAACGGCACACTGCAGACTATGCAAAACAAATGTTTAGAATGGTATGTCAGTTACGCAGTAGCTATACAGTGTAATTAAAAGATATGCTTGTGCTACATCAGCCCTACTAACAGTGACAGAAAAACAGCGGCTACAGATGTAGAAAAAGGGTCATCCTCCAAATAATATAATAATAGTAACTGTATATGATGTTAATGAATTGTTACTAGCTGGTAAACAAATCATGGTGAAGGTGAGGCTGTCCACCAGCTCCAGGCCCTGATGGCCCAATTGTCAATTTATTTACTCACCAAGGACCAAGTTGGCTTAAGGGTTGAAGACTCATCCTGCTCACTGTTGTCTTCCTCAGTACCACTAAAGGGGGGATCTAACTCTGCCCAGGAACGCAATCGCTTCATTACAGCTTATAGTATAGTAGAGGTTCATGTAAACTCTTCCTCCTCGCTCTCACAGTGCTTCTGTTTTTCTGTCATCCTCCTCACCACCTCAAATACTGCCCGCACCTGGCCTTGGACTGACTCTCCCAGGTACAAACAAACAGAAACATTACGGGATACACTTCAAATAACCTGGTGTTTTCTTTCACTTTCCTCTGATGCACTGAGACCATTCACGAAAGGACTAAATCAACCAATCAGACAAACAGACGCCCACTCTGTAACCAATGAGGCTGGGGGTATAGGGTCAGCGTTTCTGAGACAGATAAGGTACATGTTTCTTGTACTGTACAACTGACTGCTGATAAGGGGTTGGCTAAGGGGGGCCTGGAGGAGGAGCTTATTCCTCTTCACTTACAGAACACCAGAGAAATGTCACCTGACTGAGCACAATCCAGTTAATGATTTTACCAAAAACATCTGGTGGTTCAACAAAAGCAGCCAACAACAAGCAAGAATGGAACTTTCTCTTTATTGTTTAGTCTGATTTATGACACGCCAACTCAGCTCTTCACCGAAAACTGGACAACCAGTGTCCTCTCACCTGTCCACAGCCCCTTAAACATGTGCAACATAGCTCACGTGACACCCTGACACTTGTTGTTCACTCAGATCTGACAGTCTACTGTTCATAATCAATACTCCAGGTCAAAGACACAAAGTTATTTACTTAATATACATGGTTCAAAAGTCTGAAACCACATAAAAGCAAATTCTGAAACTGATACACTGACAATATAATTTGTAATCAAAAATCTTGTATTAAATTAGAACAGAATGCAAAATGAAGCATTTCCACCAGTGCTTTCAGACGTATGGACCCCACTATATATATGTAGTGACACATAAGCCATTGTGAACTTTCTTACAGGGTATTTTTCCATGGTTAATGTGAAACAGTCCAATGACACCACAATGCTTCAGTAATTTCAATCATGTGTCCACTGCTCCTTTGGTTTCACATGAAGTAAACAACGTTTTGTTCCCCAAACCTGAAAAACTGAAGTATTGCCAAAAGGAAAGTTTATAAAGTCCTCTGTTAAACATGTTTGTCCTGATATAAACTGCATTTCTCGTTTTCTGTCTTGTATGACTATTAAAATAACGTGTAAATAATGATTTTATGACTGAAGAAATGTGGTGCTGTATGAGGCCTAAACACAGAGGTCCTCATGATTAACAAGAGAACACTACTGTTCTTAACTGTTTTTACTTCTAAGTACTGACCACTTTTGTGCTGTTTTCAGCGGGTTTAAGATGAAGTTATTTAAAAGTATGACTGACGATTTCTGCGAGAAACAGTTAACAACTATTCTAACTTTAGTTGTCCAGTCGACATTCACTATCATTTCGCACTGCTGAGTTGGCAGAGGACAGTTTCAAAACTTAAACCAGTAACTTACACCGCGACATGTTAAACACATTTATTAATGTAAGTTACCTTATTAAGAAATTCACACCAGTCACTAATCACCTCAGTGTTAATCGAAGAAACGAAAGGTGCAGAAATATGTTGAAGTTAATCGTTATTTTTTAAATAAATGAGAAGAAACTCCTCATATGTCAGCCTTACTTGCCTCAACTGTCGTTAGCCAGTTAGCAAACTGGTAACTGCAGCAACTCACCGACGTTGGTAAACTAGAGAGCGTATCAGAATATATTCTATTTGAAAAATACATTCTTTCAATGTATGAAATATGTGCTTCGGCTTACCCTCAGTATTAGCCTGGCAGCATCAGTTAACCATTAGAGTGCAGTTTAACAGCCCTGAATTGAGCCTTCACTGTGGTAAGTTAACCTAGCTAGCGTTAGCTATTAGAGCTAGCATCAGGCTACAGTCACTTCAGCTGGGCAGCACAGCCACATTAACGTTATATCAGCTGGCAGAGTTAGAGCACGTCCGCCTACTGTTACAGAAGTAAAGGAATGTAGCTCAAACAGTCATTTTATACCACGTTCATTTACCTTATTTCTAGACGGTAGCTAGCGATGTTGTCGCCGGTCGAGGTTCCGCTTTCAGATTCAGATTAGCTCCCTCGCTGATGTTACTCTTTCATTGCTGGACTGTCCAGAGAAAGCAAGAGAGAGAGAGAGGCGAAACCTCCGGTGCACCGAGAACCCTGCGTCTCTCACCCTCAACCATACCACCGCGACCTGTTTTGGTGGATATTCAGTCGTTGGTCATGACTAAAGGTCGGCTGGTCCGCAGCGCTGTAGCAGCAGCAGCAGCGGTGATGTGATGTGATGTGGCCTCTGTAAAGGCCCTTCACGTGACTCACAGCTGCGGGACCACAAGCCCCCCCAAAACTTCACCCTAATGGTCTGAGTTTACAGATACCGTTAGGCACTGTGCTGCATGCTGACACTGCAATACTTCAATCACTGGATCATCTTGAACCTAAGATACTGATATCAGCTCGTGTAGTCTGAGATCTCGGATCACGTGAGATAAACACAGATAAACACGCTGCGCCTCAGAGCCAGAGAGGCTTCCTTCAATGAACAGAGATAAACATACAGAGGCTTATCGGCATTCACTGGTTGCCAGTGGTTATCAGTGAAAAAACGCGTATTCAACTCAAATAGCATTCCTATCGCATTAGTCTACTGGAAATTAGCGCTGTTAGTTTTCGTACTGATGTGGATCACAATGGAATATTTAAAGTCAACGTGAATCAGAAATCAAGACAGATTTTACTTCTTATCTCCACATTCATTGTCCATTTTATTAGCTCCACTTACTATATAGGTGCACTTTGTAGTTCTATAATTACAGACTGTAGTCCATCTGTTTCTCTGCATACCTTTCTCCCTGTTCTTCAGTGGTCAGGACCCTCACAGGACCACCACAGAGCAGGTATCATTTGGGTGGCGCATCATTCTCAGCACTGCAGTGACGCTGACGTGGTTGTGTTGTGGTGGTCCTGACCACTAAAGAACAGGGTAAAAGGGGGCTAACGAAGTATGCAAACAGATGGACTACAGTCTGTAATGTAGAACTACAAAGTGCACCTATATGATAAGTGGTGCTGATAAAATAGACAATGTGTGTAGAAACAAGGAGGTGGTTTTAACGTTATGGCTGACCAGTGAAACCCGTTGTCTTGGAGGATGTCTGAGCTAGCTAGCATTTTCTCTCGATGATGGTGGGGGTGCTGAGAGAAGTAAGTGAAACAGGGACGAGGTGAGACACAGCAGTCGAAGAAGAAAGTGAGTCTGAGGTGAGTTATTTCACATGGCGTTCTCTATAAAGAGAAAACTCACAATAAAGGTTGATGAAATGTTACTGAATTGTACTTTATTTGATTTGACATTCAGTTGTTGACTACATAAGATGTTGATATACCTACTAGGCTACTTCAGTAAACAGTACATGGCACTGAATTGGAACATGGAATTGGACCTTATTGAATTTTAATTAAAGACCCCTGCTATATACCATGCAGTATACACAGTCAGTGACTCTAACACCTCTGTGATTGTAGCCTTTCGCTCTCGTTAACCCTTGTGTGGTGTTCGGGTCTGTGGGACCCATTTTCAATGTTTACTAAAAAGAAAAAAAAAATTACTTCAACATCAAATTCCTTGGCCTTAGCTAATTTATATATAATTTATATATATATATATATATATATATATATATATATATATATATATATAATGACAGCTGTTTAGCCAGCACTGAGAAGAAATTATGTACAAAACCTGCTGGTAATTTGAATCTAAAAATTTTAAGTACAAACACTCTTATGTTATTCCGTAAAACCGCAAAACTGGAGTAGTTAGTCTGTCTTCAACCATGTACTTCATATACACACAATTTGTAACTGTAAAACGTATGTGAATTAGTGAGATCCTGCAGATCCTCTGTGTTTATTTCCTAATATTTCAGTGATGCACACAAAAGCAACGTGAGTTACAAGCAAGTTATCTGAGGAGCTTTAAACGTATAGTTTTACTTTTCATTTTCTGTTCTGTTTTTAAACACATTTTGTAAATTTTGCATTTTTGTAAACACATTTAGCAAAAGTTGGAATTTAATCCCTGAATGAAGTTTAAATCTGTGTCATGTTGTGGTGCAACAGAAATAAATTTAATCTAGATTTATTGTAAAAGTAATCGAGGATCAAAACAATTACATGTAACCCTGATTATTTTTAAATTAAGTTTAAAGTTTGGATTAATAGATAAACCTTGATTTAATTCAAGATTTAAGTTTGATCTTAATCCATGTTTCTACAATCCACACCTACTTTTATATATGATATAATGAATTGTGCTTGAACTAATAATCAGGACTTCAACTAACACGTTTACAGGTTACATTTATTTCCTCCAGCCAATATAATTGGACTAACAAACATCCAGTCAGTACACTCATTTGTTTTCTTAACTCACCACTACTTACTGAATATTACTTTTGTTTTCTCTCAAAAGCATATGTCACATGGAAAGAATGCAACACATGAGGTGCGGAAGAAAACTTTGAAGTGCCCTATATAGACCCATTTACACCTCGCTGAACAGGTTCTCTGAAGAAGAAAACACATTTTTTCCATTGCATGGTTTTATTGTCTGTTGTCACATAACACTCTACCTGTTGGTTTTGTGTATTAAGCCCAATGCAGGGTGACTTTAGACCATCAACACTGAAACAGATATAAACAAGCAGCCTATAGACATGATACTTTGAAAGACTTGTCTCACAGAGAGTGCTGTATAGTTGTAACACATCCTTACGGTACTAATATCATTCTAAACTCCAGCTATAGAGTAAGAGCTGTGAGCTGCATGACACTGCACTACTTAAGTGTTTCTTATTTCATCATGTCTGTAAATATATTGTATTTTGTATATTATATTTTTTAACACAAAGAACTATTTTAAGCAAAAAAAAAGTGTTAGTCTCTAGTTTAGACCTTTTCTTAGTAAATTTGTTTTACAAGAAAACTTGAAGACTGTATATTTTAGACAAATAGGTGAGTATTTCTATTAGAAGTGCACGGAATCACACACTTTTTGCTCCAAACAAGCAATTTATTATTATTTAAATAATTTATTATTTTTACTTTGGCCGATCTGGCTTGTTATGTTATGACATAAATAAAATGAGACAGGTAAGTGCACTCGCACTGTATTTGAATGCTGCTGTTACACATATACCAAAATGTTGCAGTTGTGATAAGGTATGATTGTGCTAAATAGCCAGTTGCTTCTCGATTTCAGTGTAGCATGGTTAGTTAAATAGGCAAATGATTTGTCATTTTAGAGTTTAAATTGCCATTTTGGCCAATTAAAGAGTAAATAATGTTATTCATAATGCAACTTTAGCTAATAGAAAATATTAGTAGTGTTTAGTAGTGTGTTTGTGTTCATTGATGCTATCAGTAAGTTTGGCTGTAAAGAAACTGGAGCCAGAATTGGCCATAAAAATTTAGAATCGGTCTCTCGTCTCTATTGAAATGAGAAATAACAATGGTATGCACAGAGAAAAAATGAAAACAGCACAGACATGAGCTAATTTTGCACTAAAGAATCCCAGTTTATATGTAAATAAGTAAGGCAACATTCAAAGCATTTTAATTCAAATCATGTTCACCTCTTGATTTTCATGAAGTTTGATCCAAAAACAGCTGCAGTAATGCTGCATTATGATTATTTCAATGTAAGAGTTTTACAACAACTTGTGCCAGTCTAGATGAACAGGCTAAAAGAGCAGGCTAAATATGCACAATTTTACTGAAGTTACTTGTTACAAACTGGCAGGCATCCTGGTCTTTACTGTTTCTGGGTGGCTGAACATGCTTTGGAGTAAAATGCTGTGGGATGTGAAGTGGTCATATTCAGGATTCTCTATCCCCCTAATCTTCATATCTTCATCTTCCTCTAGTCTTTCTTCTCAGCCTCATCCTCTGGGATGTAGACGCTGACCGTGAACTCGCCGGCTTCCTTGCCGTACTTGTTCTTCACCACCAGGGCGTATTTGCCCGAGTCGGCTGTGCTGACGGCCGCGATGGTTATGCTGGCGAACTTGCCATGCTCAAACTTGAGCGTGTAGTGCTCGTCAGGCAGCAGCTCCTTGTCATTCTTCGTCCAGCTGACTTCAGGAACAGGGTCACCCCATACATTGCCAGTGAGGTTCAAAGACTGAAGAGGAATGAAGGGAGAAGAAATGTGAAGCAAAGTGCAGAATGTGCTTAGCCATCAGTATATTCATGATGTTCTAAATCAGAAGCCTGACAGAAAAACATTATTATAGTTCAGTGGAGTGTGATAATGAGGTTTCCTGTCATCCTGGGTAGGTGGAGATGTATTACCTTGCCCTCCTGGATAGTGACCACATCTGGCAGGCCTCCCACCACACGTGCTCTGTCTATGAGATAAATGAAGCAGTAAGTTAAGACGTAAGCTACCCAGCAAATCAATATGAATTCTCTGACAGAATTTCATGCTCTTTTTACTACCTGACACTATTTACTCAGAGAGATGAGTTTACTTTATACACCGACTAATGGACATAAGCATTTTCAAGACATTTAGACAGGAAGATGTATCCCTTGCTGCATCAGCAACGCCAACACATCCTGCGTAAGTGGAACGGAAAGATAGCTCGAAATAGCATCTACATGCTTTTGGAACAAGCTGTTTTCAGGAAAGAACACAACGACAGCACAGACAATCACTTACTTCTCTCCGCGATGGCTGCCGCCCTGAGGCAGGAAAAGAGATAAGCACAGTGTTAGAGGAGGCTTTATATAGTATCAGAGCCTGTCAAGGTGATACAGTCAACTTCCGCACTGCAGTGTCAGGAAAGGTCTGAGCCCAAGCCTTTCATAAGGATGGACTGAGATGTTGCAGCATATTTTAGTATTAGAGTTGCTGCTGTCTTTTTTTCAGACTGTACTGTCTATACAAAGGTTTGTGTTCACCAGTTTATGAAATCAAAACTACAGATGTGTGACAAATCAAAGGAAAAACATCAAAAGAATAGTACAGGCCTGAATCCTTGACCCCTACAGCTGCTGGCATGGTTTGAAACCACTGGTCCTCATTAGAGGGGTTAATGCAATTCAATACAAAGTTGACTGACTGATCACCATTATCCCATTCTTTCCTGAAGGGAGTGGTCTCGTTCAGGAATGACAATGCCCCCATCCACAGGGCATGAAGAGTAACTAAATGGTTTGATAAGTATAAAAAATTATGTAAGACATTCTATAGCCTTTGCAGTCACCACATCTCAATCTAGTTAAACACTTGTGATATTTTGGACTGACGTGTTATGCACTCCACCACCATCATCAAAACAACAATTGCAGGAGTATCTGTAAGAAGAATGGTGTTTCAGTGCAGTTCCAGAGACTTGTAGAATCTATTCCAGAGCACACTGAAGCTGTTTTTGCGTGGCCTGATAGGAGACCATACAAATGTATTTTGGGACTGTCCAAATTATCAGAATATTGGCAAAACATACAAAATGAAATAAAAAAAATGCTCCAATATAGAACTGCCCTTAAAACCATCTCACTTTTTGTTATTAATATTACCAGAAGATGTAGGACATAACAATCAGACATTACTACTGAGAGCCCTTCTTCTAATTGCTAAGAAGGTAATCACAGTCTCCTGGCTGAGGACGCAGCCCCCCCATGGTAACACAATGGGGGGAAAAGTTAAGGATGTTTACTTCATGGAAAACATAATCGCAAGGTTATGACTGTAAACAGATGTATTCTTGACTAAATAGTCGCCAGTTATCTCATATTGTTTCAGTTGATGTGATCTAGGAGCTAGTGGAACAACTCCTTTGGATTTCTTTTCTGCTCATTTAAATGTAAGCACTACAAGTTTTATTATAGAATGTATATCTATCCGTTGTCTTTGTATTTGTGGACAAATGTCATTATTCATCCCTGGGGAATTGTATATGGACACTGAGATGATGAACTCTATGGACTTCCCCCTAAGACCTTTATATCTGTGTTGTGTCTTTGAAGATTTGACTATACTGTACAACTGCATTTGATAAAAGGGAATAAAAAGAAGCACACAAAACGAAGCTGTTCTTGCACTTTGTGGTGGCCCAACGTTTTACTGAGACCCTTTATCTTGTTTTTATTAAAGGTTTTTTCTGGGTTTGTCACCTATTTGTATATATTCACTATAGACCTATTATACAGCACATCATCGCTGTCGTGACAAAACCTCACACCTCTTTACAGAGAATGAAAAAGCTCTCTTAACTTTCATGTAATTCTGGACTATTTCTGTTGGTCTATTTGTCATGGAATGTTCATACAATGTAAAGTGGAGCTTCTGCTTTCAAATGGTGTAAAAAGTAAACAAAAACTGAACAAATTGGAATTTTTGCTGAGGTTTTGATATGACAGCAGTGATACATAAGCAAAATATAGAAGACAGAACTTATGTAGAAGACAGGGCTTGTATAAAAAGGTCTATTATCTGGATATGCCATTTTTTGTGTCCTGATGAAGGCCTGAGAAGGCCGAATTGCGTCAGCACATTTTTATACATATTGGCATGTTTCAACAAAGGCTTTTTATACTTTTTTCTTTGCTCTGGACTTATTTTGCTCATGTCTTGTGGATGCGGATGGATTTTCTGGTTTTTGCCATTTCCAGCATAGATTTGTTACTTTGAGGTCTATTACCTTTTTTCATATTATACTTAAGCACTTACTTCAGCCTCTGGAACTCTGCATAGGCCTCCTCCCATACTTTGAAAGAAAACAGAACAGAACAAGTGAGAAAGCTTTGGCAAGAATATTACTAAACATCAATAGAAAACCTAAAGATCAAGGGTAGGGAGATAAAAGTGAGGCAGTTAAAGTATGACTGAAACACCCGAGACCTTACCTTGTCCAGTAAGGTCAAGAACCCTCTTGACTCCTGCAGAGCCATCGAAGATGTCGATGGCGTATTTGCCCTTGTCCTTGTCTGTGGGCTCCTTGATTTTCAGCCACAGCTGCTCTCCTGTTACTCCACACTGCACACGGTCTGAGTGCGATATCTTTGAATCTCTGGAATGGGACACAGACAAGCTCTGTGAGCATGAGGTCAACTACTGGGGCTACTGGTTAAGGCTAACGCAGTGTAAAATTGCAACAGTTTCATGCTGTGATACAGTGCTTACACACTTCATTTTAAATGAGTTCGACAGTACAGAGCAAAAGAAAGAAGCACCCAGCTGTTAGCCACCTTTTGGACAGTAACAAACTTGGACCTCAGGTCAGTTTGTGTTTCTGACAGGGATGTAAGATCAGAATCAGCCAAGATCAGAAGACTGGCAGAGAGTGTTTTGCTCCAAATGCAATCAGACAATTTATTGTTTGACTTTAGCTGATTTTTGTTGCAATTTTATGACATAAGTAATGTTATAGTAAATAAAGTGCACTCATGCTGTATTGCTCTTGTCCAAACCCAGTGTTGGAATGCTGTTGTTACATCTATACCAAAATGTCATAGCATAATTATACATGATTCATTGTGCTAAATAATTATTTACCTCTTACTTTTGATGTAGCACTTCATTTGATTCATGTTATATAAATTGGAAATTGATTTTTCATTTACAAACTTAAAATTCCAATTTGGCCCATTAAAGAGCAAATATTGTTATTTATATATGTATATAACTTTGAATAGTAGAAATGATTGGAAATGTGCTAGCATGTTTCATGTGTTCATTTAGCCCACACAGTGCGAGTTTTGCATTAAAAGAATCTTCCATTTACCTCAGATGTAGTCAAAGAGCCAAGATATTTCATATTTGGTATCAAAAAACCAACAGTCACCCAAACTTTTCCATAAAAACATGCACGCATCATACTGTGCCCTAAACAACATTAACAAGTCAGCACAACACTAATGAAGACCTGGATGCGGTTTCAGAGAATTTTTGGTGTTTACGGATGACTACTGTAAGCCTCATAGCTCCAGCACTACACTAAGAAGAATCACAGAACCATTCTTCAAAAGAAAAAAAAATATAGAAATCGGACATAAAATTCACGTGGGGTGCATCTTCTGAGTTCATCTAGCTTTCAGATTCTAACTGGAACAACACTGTATCATATAGAGCAGTGGTTCTCAAACTGGGGGCCAGAGGGGGACGCTAAAGGGGCCACAGAAAAATCTCAGATGTTTTCTCAGTTCATTAAGTCTGCTTCTGCTTCTAAAAACGTGGTACCTGATTAAAAATAGTAGACATTATTAAAGGTTACTAAAATGAATTAAGTGCTAATCAACCACAATTCATGGCCACACCACACCAAATTAACGTCATTGAACAGGACCATGGCTTTTATATGTGCAGGTCAGAGATAGCTGCAGATAAAGCTAGCAAAATGGACAAGGTTCTGGTAAGACATGGCCTCATTCGTAATGCTGGGCCTATTGCGGTGGGGGGACTGCTCAGTGGGTCAACGGGAGGTGGGGTGAGAGGGGCCCAATGGCACTAACTATACACAAAAGAGGCCTTAGACTTAAAAAAGTTTAAGAACGGCTGAAACAGAGCACGCACTGGCAAATTCAGTCTCGGAGAGGCAGACTTCACTCTGGCCTTTTGTTTATTCACTCTCAGAGAACGTTCTTGACTGCAGGGCTTCGGTTTCAGAGCACTCAACCATTTCTAACAGTGAGTATGAAAGCCTTGTTTTCTAACAGTAAACCTAATATTCCTCATAAAAACCCTTAATAGAACTGAATGGGTGAAAGCAGTCATATCATGTTTTGCAAATTAGTTAAAGAATATTTTCTTTTTATGCCATTTTCGCAATCTTGAGGCAATCTGCAGTGCTGTTAATTCTGTAATTACTGATGAGTGGAACACTAGGAGTGAATGTACAGGTGCACCCAATGGCATCTCAAACTGAAGCACTGTCTGCTAACAGATGTTTCTGGGAGTTTAAAAATAACCGCAGTCTGCCAGTTCTGAAACTGACAGCAATGTTTCCATGATCAAAACGGCCAAAACAGGCAGGAACAAAAATACAGATAGGGGTAAGTGAGAATGAAAGAGCTTACTTGTGAAGCCAGCTGACACGGAGCTCCTCAGTGCAGTGCACAACATTTGTGTAGAGTATTATGCCATGCTCTGTGCTCTCAACTTTCAATTCGGTGGAAGAGTTGGCTGCAGTGGTGAAAAAAAGAATGGAATGAGTAACAAAAATATCAGCATCACATAACCTCATGGAGCATTAGTGCTCTATTTCCAGTAATGTGTGCGGAGAATAAAACACAAGAGCTCACCTATAACTCTGAACATTTCATTCAGCACAGCCTGATAACCTGTTAGGAAGTGACTGCATTTTAGTACACCAGACTGGGTTACAGCATTCCATTAACTTTGGCCTACAGATAACATTCCGTTGGTGGATGTTAAAAAGCTCTTACATGCATCTGTCAGATTCAGCAAAGTCTTATCCCTTCCTCTCTCATCACTCAGTTCGACTTCATAGACACCTGCATCCTTCTTTGAAAGCTGTGTGGAGAATTGTAAGAGAAGTTAGGAAAAGACACCAGCTGCAGCTGCATTGTAGAGCAGATATTAAAATAGTTTTGAATAAATCAAACAGTGACAAAAATTCCGAAAAGGCAAGCTTTTCTCCTGCATGATGCTGCAGGTAAACAGGGACACCAGGGAAACAGGGGACAACAGCGACACAGATAAAAACATGAAACAAAGTGACTCGGCGATAACTTATAAAGAAAAAGCTCCAGACTTTTGGTTTTCTTGGGGTTTCTTCGGCAGCAGGTTTAGCAGGTTTCTTTTTTTCTTCTTTTTCGCTCTTAATTACAAGCTGTAAATTAGACAGATATTGCAGTTAATGCCAGCGCCCTCTGCAGGAGGGGAATGGAAGATGCACCTTCCTTGCCCAGCATGCAGTAACTCTACTCCTCTCTAGGATCCTTTCATGAAAACCACAGTTCAATCCAATAAGGATGGCATTCTAGGCTAATTAATATATGCCATTTTATAAGCTGTACTGTGATGTGACATTCGACATGCTATCAATGTGTGTGCCATCAGAAATGGATTGATCTCAGGTTTCAGGGAATTATGACTATATAAACCAGTTCACACACGGAAGCACCATATATATAATATATGGACATAAATGTTGATAAATGTAATGTGTATCCTTGGGGAATAAACAGAGGTCTTAAAGGGGATTTTCAAAATTTTTGGATAATTGTATGGTTGAGATATAAACAATGTCATTCAGAGTGGTTTGATGTGAAATGCTACATTGTACACAAACTTATTGACTTGGATTTCTTTAAAATGGTGGTGGAACCAGGGGTCTGCAATGTGTACAGACATTTTATTTACTATCCAACCTAACAAAATGACCAGTGAACCTACACTACCTATTTTTCCTATTAAAAAATTAGATTCTAGGCCAAAATGTTCAAAAAGCTATCATGAAATAATTTCTTAAGCATCAGATAATGACCTTGTACATGTATTAGCTTTCTGTAAAGTAGTTTTTAAACTCTTTTAAACTCTAAACCACTCTGAACAGCTTTGTTTACATCTTAATAGCTCAACTATAAAAAGATTTGGAAAAATTTATGGAATTCCCCAAAACAGATTAACTTAAAACATGGTTTCTCAAAACATATACTGTACACATGTATAGCCACACTTTTCCCCATAAAGAATAAAACATTCTTTTAAGAGAATAGATGGCTGCTCTATGCCAACATCTCATCATTTATGAGTCCGTGTGGCAGAGAGGGAGAGTAGCCTTTAGCGTAGCGAAGCGTAGAGCACAGCACTTAGCCAGGCTATTTGTGGATTCCCTTCTCATCTTTAAACCTCCCCACAGCTGCCTCACCTTGCCAATGTTGAAGGATAGCACTCCTTGGGCAATGCCAATCTTTTGAGCGTCCTCATCGCCCTCCTCAATCTCAATTCCGTCCTTAAACCAGGCTATCTCAGTGTCAGCCCTGATATTTCCTACCTGCAGAGGAGAGAGTGGGCCAAGGGATGGGAAAGAGGTAAAATATCAATCAGTTTGACCTGGGAAAGTGAGAAAAATCTATTACGCTTCACTCAAAAGCCCAGCCTGACCTTGCATTTCAGATATACATCACATTCTGGTGTGACCTCGAAACTCAAGTACTCCACAAAGTGAGGGCCTGTATGTGAGAACAGAAAGGTTGTTTGAGGCTGTTTAAAGGAGTGAGTATTGTTTTAAAATACAATTCGTTCAGCATTTGCGTACCTTGTTTTCTGACCCACTCAGCTCTCTCAAACTGAGACTTCTTCTGAATCTCAGCAAATTCTGCAAAAAAAAAAAAAGAAACATTTGATGGTTCTGCTAATTTTGCTGTCTTTTGAGGACCATGTGGAGAACATTCATTACTGATTCTTCCTCTCAGTCTGATAAGGATTTTGCAGCTTGACCTGCTAGTAGAAGTGTTAAGTAAAGACATCTTAGCAACATGATCAATCACTAAACCATGATAAATCATTGTTCAATCAGTGTTACATGAACAAGCTCAGAAATGCTGTGCATACTAATAGCTGTCCTAAGCCAGAGCCTTTGGATATATTCAGCTCATGCAGAGGCTGCTCAGTTTCTTCTGATCTTTTCCTGCCCTCTAGAGGACATGCAAGATTACAGCAACAAAAGCACAAGTTGACGTACCTGCGGGTTTCGATTTAACACCAATCTAAAAAGGGTGAACCTTTACTGTACCTGCACCAATAAGTACCAAGCTGGTCCGACCAGTTGCTTTGCCATCAACAAGGTTAAATGTGAAGGTTCCTTCGTCAGTGACTTCCAGGGAGTCCATGAACATCTCGATAATGCCGGTGCTCTTGTCAAAGTTCATTGTGTATTTCTGATGAATAAAACAGTATGAGTGAGTCTATGCAAGCGGAAAAAGTAAGCAGAATTCATGCTGTTGTGCATGTGGTATGCTGCTATACCTTTCCTTGAGTAATGATGTTGTCATTGAAGACATACTGCACTTGGCAGTTTGCAGTAAACTTGGCGACTTGGGTCCAGAAACGCACACGTCCTTTCTCCTGAAGCTCGACGGCCATTTCGGAAGTGAAGGGAATAACTGTGAGGCAGAGATCACTACATTAAGTACTGCTGCTGGGAAACAACAGCTTTAACATAGAAAGATGTAATCGTATGACCACAAGCGTATGGAGTGCATGGAGCTCAATGTAACTCTTGTTATTCAGTCCTTGTGGGATACTTACTGGGGTATTGATGTTCATGGCTAATTTCCAACAAGCGTTTCAGACCTAAAGAAGCAGAAAACCATTAATTACATTAGCATGTGGGGTGATACATTGCTAACTGAAATTAATTAGGAGTCCTTTATATTAATTATATAGTACTTGATATAACAGGAAGCTAAACATACAAGACCTGACAAAGCAGTATCAGCAGATTTTTTCTCAAAATCGGTAATTGGCCAATTGATTGTTTTTATTTTGGCAGAACTGTGTTGAAGTTTTATGAGGTAAAAAGCTAAGCCAGACCAGTGCGCTCATGATGTATTTGAATGTTGCTACATCTATACTAAAACGCTGTAGTATAGTTATTCATTACTATACTGCGGAATAACCCGTCACCTCTTACTTTCAATCTAATACTTTATTTGATTCATGTTAGTTAAACAGGCAAAAGTGGACATTTTTAAATGCCAGCTTGTCCCATGTAAGAGCAAATAATGTTGTTTATATTACAAATTTGGCTAATAATTAAAAATCCCTGGAAATGTGCTAATGTGTTTGATGTATTTATGCACAGCGTGAGCTTTAGATAAAAAGAAGGCTACTAAAAATCAGTCATCGGCCAATTTGGCTGTAAAGAAACCAAATTCGGGCATAAAAATGAATGACTCGTGCATCCCAATGTGGCAGCTTCAGCAGATGTATTTTCTGGATAGAACTGTCAGTGCTTCTGCCTTATGGACATCACTCAGATGTATAAAAACAGAGGATGGAATATCACTGGCATTAGACAGAAAGCAAAGGAAAGTGACTTACCCTCCTCTGTCAGAGTGTAGCTGGCAGAAACTCCGTCAGTGTTGGAAATCACACAAGAATAGGTACCCAGGTCCTCCAATGAGGGGTCATTAAAGATGGCTCTGGATCTGATGACAGATACGTAAGTAATAAAAATATCAAGAAAAATGTTTTCAAAAAGATCCTTTTTTTAATTTAAACTCAAGTTAGTATTTATCTTTATAGTGTGGCATTTCTCTAACTTTCCATCCACTTTCCTGCCCACTTTCCAACTGTCTGCCTTTACATCACATCTGGCAGAGCGAAGCCTGGCACTCGTCTCCTCTAGCTAGCAGACAGCTTGCCACCACTTGTCTTCACACTAACGCCCACATAGCATTGTCAAGTCCCTCCAAGTGCTCATACAATTGCTAATCACCTAACACTGCCATAAGACCAACAATGGGACTGTAGACCTTGCTAACAATAAAAAAAACAGGTCAGACTGATTGCCAGGAGTATGACAGAATAAATGGCTGTGAGAGGCAAACTTACTTTCCCCCAACTGTTTCAACAGTGAGACGGGAGGCATCAGTGAGGGCCTTGTAGTTCTTGGACCACACAAACTGAGAACCTTCAGCCATCTGTGAGCACTCAAAGATCATGGAGATCACGCCATTGTCATCCACATCCACCACAATCTCGTTAGTGCCTGAAGGAAGAAAGACCATGTCACGGAAACAGCATTAGAAAAACATTACCGTTGGCTGTCCAATAGAAATGTGATGAGAAATGCAGGTGATTTTGGCTTCATTTCAATACCTTTTTGAACATGCCCTCACCAACTTGGAAGTGCGTCAACCCACGTTACACAAGTGCGCACTCAGAGTAGAAGGGGATGAGGGGACAGTGAGGATTTTTTTTTCTTCAAACAGAACATACTCTCTCTCTGCTAGGTTAGCTTCAGTGTGCTAATCAGCTAGCCATGCAAATTTTGCTATTCAAAACTTTTTTTTTGAGAAATTTGAACATAATGTACATAAAACTTATGAATTATTGCTTTGTCTGGCGGTAAGCTTTGGTTTAAAACCATTCATGATTGTCATTATTTGCTGTGTAGCCGTTAGCTTACTATCTAGCAAGCTAGCAAAGTCATGAAGTTGTATCAGCAGTCATACAGCCCAAAACCCAGGTAAAACTGAATGTCATTGTTTTGAAATATTAAAGCTGCATTATGTAAGATTTTTTTTGTTAAAGTTGAAAGAAGTAGCATTACTGAGTCAGGAGAAAAACAAGAATTAAATAATAATTTGTTTAATTTAATAAGTCAGAGGCATTGGGTCAGATTTCGGCAAGTTTTTCAGACCACGTCATACATCTTTACGTATTAACATTACACGGACAGACTCAAAAAGAAAGTCTAGCTCAATGTTTATGTTTAAATGCACAATCATCATTATACTGATGAAGATATGATGACAACAGTAGATCATTCACTTACATCCCTGGAAAATACATCCTTCACCAAGTTCTGACTTTTGAATGCTCTTTCAACACACTCGCGAACATCAGATTCATCTGCTCAGGGAAGGGGTCTGAAGTACAATCGACATTACAAAATATGCTTCTGTGCGGTGTATGCAATTACACATTCTCACCAGAGAGGTCTCCAAATCCCCAAAACTTACAAAGTGTAGCTTCAAGCATTTTAAGAAAATTTACCGCTATGGCTTATAAACAGCTTTATCCACCATTTTCTGTGTTCGATAAAGGAAATGCTTCAGGTTGCAATGATTTCTGGGCAAGTTTTGCTGCTAAAGGCAACACTTGCTTTCCCTCTATCCCTCAGCCCTCTGAGGGCTCATCTAATAAACTTCTTTTGAGCTAATAATATAATGGAATGCTAATAAGACAGTGTTTAGGATTTTTGCGTAAGGGAAATGGCAAGACCAAGTGGATGAGGGCAGGTTAAACTAGTATTAGAACGGATGGTTTATTTAACCGACTACCCACCTGGCCGGGTCTGAGCAACAAGAGGGCCTAAGGTTTGTGAAGGTCCACCGACACCGACTATATTCTTAGCATGTACACGCAACTGATAGGAGGCACCTTCCTTCAGCCCACATATCTGAGTCACAGACAGATTGTTAACATTATTAATTCACATGAAAATGCAAAAGACTCCCACTTCTTTAATCTTCCTTATTGGAAATGACAGTGTTATGATCAACCACTTGACAGGCATACTGAGCTTTATGTCACAAGGATCAGAATTAGAGCTATGAACAAAAATCTCACTGCAAATTTCCTTGGATGACATAACCAGACATCTGTCATGCTAACTAACCTTCAGGTAGGTATTCTTGGTCGACCTTTCCTGAACGCCTCTCCATTTTCCCTTCTCTTCTTTGATGTCCACATAGTACCCAGTGACAGGACTACGACCGTTGAATGTGGGCGGTTCCCACAGCAGCACCATGGAGTTCTTCCGCACCTCCAGCACATGAAGGCCATGAGCAGGCCCTGTGTTACCCAGCCATAAGAGAAATGTAACAGGAATCCCTTACTGTATGCAGGTTGATGAGTTAATGGTAAGTGTAGAGGAAAAAATAATACCATGATAAAGGAAATGCCAGTATTCCATAAAGGAAAAATGCTAATGTGGCTAACAATTGCATTGTCTAAGTTATATAATGCTAACTGACCACTGCTATGTTAGAGTCATTAAAGGACATCAAAGACAAAATATATTCCTGGCTGTGCCTTAATAGCAGTGATTTTGCAGTCATATGCAAAAGTTTGGGCACCCCTGGTCAAATTACAGGTTTTGTAGATTTTTCTGAGTGAAAATAAGTTAACCCATCCCCTACCGAGAACTCTCTTCTGCACATTTTAATGCACAATTACTGTTTATTTGCTGAATTTGACATTTTGGGAAAAAACAGAACACAAAATGTGGCCCGTGCAAAAGTTACGGCACATTATATATATTATGTTCCAATTTGTTAAAAAACATAAATAATTCACTGTAATTTGCAGAAAAATGTCATATTTGTAAATCCTTGCTCTGTTTCTGTCTGTGTCTGTCTTTATTCACCTTTCCTCATGTGTTTAGCCATGTGCTTTTGTTGTTTTTTGTTTTTGTCTCTGCCCCTGTCCTGTCTCCTGGTTATCTGTCTCACCTGTCTCTAGTCTGTAGCCCCACTCTTTCATTAGCCCCAGGTGTTTCTTGTTTGTTCTTAGTGTATTTACACCCCTGGCTGTTTGGCTTGTGTTTGCTTGGTATTTTTGCTTCATAGGCCTTGTTTTGGCTTTCTTTGCTTCCATGCTTTTGTTGAATCTTTTTATCATCATTATGAATTACAATAAAACCATGTTCTTGCACTTGCATCCGGCATCTATGATCTCCCTCACTGTTACATTCCTTAAGTTTATTCTCTGTAGAGGATGTGTTAACTCATTTTGACTTAGAAAGTCAACAAAACATGTAATCTGACTGGGATGTCCAAACTTTTGCCTACGACTATATTAGAGTGCTTTAGCTTATAGAGTTACCTGGCACTGCAACGGTCCACTCTTTGCATTCAAAGGCAACACTGGGAACAGAACCCTCGCTAATACCAGTCTGGTTAACTGCACGCACCTGGAACTCGTAGAAAGTGTTCTCCTTCAAGTTCTCTACCTGAGTACAGAGAGAGAGGGAAAGACAAGAGCAAAAGTCATTTTAAACATATTCTGTTGATCACCTATGATATGAAGATCTGTTTATGGGCCTTACCTCAAACTGTACACACTGGAATACATTGAAATGAAGGTCGCCTAAAGCAGGGTAATTTACCTTGTAAGTAGTGTCAGTGACGGCCTTTAGGTTAATCTCATGCCACTTGCTCTTGACGTTTCCTTTAACGGTCCTGTAGTCCAGGTAGTACCCCCTGATGTCGGCTCCCCCAGTCTTAGCAGGAGCCTTCCAGCCCACCACCATGTAGTCACGCACACGCTCCAGCAGAGTCACAGCAGAGGGAGGTGAGGGGACCTCTGGACAGGGAACAGCTTGAATGAACAACTTCCTACCCTAAACAAAATGACTGAACCATCCCCTGCTGTTGTGCTTTGGCAATGTCACAATTACATCACTGTTCATTTTCTTTTGGTATGGAGGCCAAATACAGACCCAGCCATAATATGTCACACACAACTGTTATTGGCATATCTAAATGTGCTCTTGAAACAAAAGCTGAAGTTTTGGATGAGTAATAAATGAAACCAAAATGATGCTGTTGTTGTTAGCCTATGTTAACCAAGACATTTTATAAAGGTAACATCAGTACATTAAAGACACGTTTTCAATGGATACATTAACTGACTGCTGTTAACATGATGAGTTTATTCATCTGAGCTACAGTATTGTGCAAAAGTCAGAGACCACCAAGTCAAATGGTCATTAAGTACGAAAAAAATATTTTTTGGAGATATTTCTGAGAAGATTAGATATAAGACAATCCACTTACTTAAGGAACAGAAAGTTGAAGAAAAATAAGTGAAAAACAGGAGTTTCCAAATCTGGAGTTTAATTAAATGATTACACTGATCAGCCACAACACTAAAACTACCACTGTGTTTCTACACTCTTTGTCCATTTTATCAGCTCCACTCACCATAAAGGTGCACATTGTAGTTCTACAATTACAGACTGTAGTCCATCTGTTTCTCTGACCCCCACAGGACCACCACAGAGCAGGTATTATTTAGGTGGTGAATCATTCTTAGCACTCCAGTGACATTGATGTGGTGGTGGTGTGGTAGTGTGTGTTGCGCTGGTGTGAGTGGATCAGACACAGCAGTGCTTAAAACGTTCATCTTTGAGTGAGAGGAGAAAATCAGGCTCCTCTCTTGTTTCAGATCTGAAAAAAATCCACAGTTGTTTCTGTCCATCCTTCCACTTTGAGAACACTACTCAACGCTATGGGTCTGAAAAGATGTGTAGCTGTCAAGAAGCTCTTACTGAGAAAAGAATATTTGCAAATCAAACAAAGAGGCTGCGGGTGTTCTCAGAAAAATGGTCTGGCCACCCGAGAGTCCAGACCTCACTATTACTGAATGTGTTTTGGATCACTTAGTTTGTGAGAAGCAGAAAATGCAACCAACATCTAAGACTGAACTTTAGAGGAAAATATCCCTGCCGAAAACTGAAAGCAAAAAGAACAGCCGCTGTAATAAAAGACATAGTGGACACACTAAATACTGAAACATTTATATTTAGCTGTTGAGGCTTCTGTGTAATTTTCAGTTAAAAGTGTGTTCTGCTTTTGCACAGTACTGTACATGAATAAAACTGTAGTAAATAAGAGGAGATATGGCATCCAAGAAGAGTCTATCTCATGCAATTCAAATATTCAGTGCAGATATTTTGTCAGAATCTACTGAGGATCAGTAAATAAATCATCAAAAAGCATGCATCTACCTGCTTTGTTCTGTTTTGATACATTTTGACGTTTCACAACAGATTCTGGGACTGTATTCAGCTTGGTTTCAAATCAGTTCCTCACTCAGAAATGTATGCTGATCCCATCTACTCACTGTGCTTTCCCTGCCAGCACTCTGGGGCAGTTTGGGACCCTCTCCCTCTCGAATTTTACCCTTCAGCCCAGCGAAGCAAGGACACTATACCCCATGCCCTAGAGTCATTAATGAAATACAGCAAGAGACACACAGCATAGACACGGGCAAACTGCATTACACAGAGACACAAAGCCACACTTTCTCAGACTCCATTTGGCTTTGATGTGCCATTATATCATGAATTCAAGGCAGGTTAGTATTATTATCCTTACTGAGGCTATTTCACAGCTGGTTTGGTCACTTTTCAGAGCCTGTTCGTGCAATAGAGGTTGTGCGGCGGTCAGGTTTTAGACGTGAATGAGACATGGTGAGATGAGGTCAGACAACAAGCAAGTCCCACAGCATGCCCATGCAGTACATCCACTGGGGTCATGTAATAACAGGCACAGGAACATTCAAGGTACAGACAGCATCATTTGGCTCTGTGTCCAAATACATGACGATGCCTTCAATAGGGCACTGTGAGCTGAGATGGTTACACTGTACTGAAAGGGATTCTGCAAGATCATGTGATAATGGCAAGATGATGAGTGAAGGGCTGAGAGGTGATGGTGAAAACTGAAGGAAAGGACATCTTAAAGAAAAAACGTGATGTTACAGTACTGTGCATAAGTTTTAGGCACCTGAGCACATTATTTAAAGGCATGTATCTTGGCAATAAGTGTGTTTGTGCATGTAAAAACGTTGTATCATTAGAATCAATGCAAAGAAACATAAATATAGTAAAAAGTAATGTAAATGAATACATTGGCAGACATAAATCAATTATTGTATTAATGTTATTTGTATTTATTGAGAGAGTGAATGTAATATAAATGTCTTCTGAGCAAATAAATGTACATTAACCAGATAAATAGCTTTTTAAATAAAATTTCTCAGGTGTCTAAAACTTTTTCACAGTACTGTATGTGGAAACAACATTACTCTACGTGTGAAAAAAAAACAACAGCAATGGTGCAGTTATAAAGAATTTAAGAACATTCATTCACTCAGGCCTTCAACTCTGCTCATACTGTTCGCCTTTAACTTCACATTCTCACCAGTTTATTCTCTCTGCTATATTTACACCAGTGATTTTCAACTCCAGTCAAGGTGACCCACTGTACTGGACAGGTTTAAATATTCTCTGTTCAAACAAACCTGATCTAGCTTACAAGTGGCTTGATAATTAGCTGTGAAGCTGGATCAGGTGTGATGGTGTAAAGGATGGTCCTGTATGAAGCCGTTGTGAACCATGGCTACTAGAGTTAAATACAACAAGCACAATACCTCTGTTAAATTAAAATGAACTAAAAAAAAGACACAATTGTTTTAATTTGCAGAAATCTTTAGGGCCTCTCTTAAGGCTTAGAAGCCCCTGAAGGTTTCCCCACTGGAAACTATGCAAAAGTTGCCACACATATAACATACATGTTTGGTTGCTTTTCTAACCTTATACAGGGAAATAACTTAAATATAGCATTTTTCTGCAAATTGAAAGCACAGTTTCTGTTCATTGGGTGAGTTTAACAAATTGGAAAAAGTAAAACAAAATATAAAATGTGCCATAAATTTTACACAAGCCATGCTTTATGTGTTTTTCCCCCCAAATATGTTAATTTTAGCAAATAAACAGTAATTGTGTTTTAAAATATGCAGAAGTGTGTTCTCTGTAGAGAACGTGTACTTATTTTCACAAAATCAACAAATCAAAACATTTGACCAGGGGCGCCCAAATTTTACACACATCTGTATGTAAACATGCATGTCCTGGAACATGACTGTCAGGGAAACTAGACTATTGTATTGTAGGCTACTGTAGGTATTTACCATGGTGTTTAAAACTACGGTACATCATTAAAACCAGCAAATGTATTGTTAGGGCAAAGATTACTTGAAACAGTTCAGGGTAGTGGGTCCCCAGGACTGGTGTTGAGGAGCACTAATTTAGACTAGGCCATTCTTCTGTGACCGGTTCTGGTCTGGTTTGGAGTGATAGTACTCACTAATGCTTGGTTTCACAACGCAGGCCTCAGACTCGGCGGAGTAAGTGCTGTAGCCTGCAGCATTCACTGCCTTCACTCTGAACACGCAGTTATCGTCAGTGTTCAGCCCATGACACACAAACCTGCAAACCACAGCATAGACCAGTTCAGGACACTCTTTAGCTTTATATTGCCTATTTTGGCTTGGGGCAAGTATGAGAGGGCACACTGGGAGGAGCGGATTTACCTGGATCCTTTCACTGGCTTGTTGTTGCAAGGCACCCACACATTGCTCCCCACCACGCTGACCTCAATGTAGTAATGCAGATTCCTGGCCTCCCTGGAGACACCCCAGGTCACCACAACAGATGAGGCTGTGTTCCTGATGGCCACAACTGACCCTGGGGCTGAGGGTAAGTCTGAAAGAGACAAACAGGTTGCAGAGCAAGAACAAAGACAAACCTAAACTGCACATAAACTCTTCAAAAAGGAAAGGTTCCTAAATGGTTCCTAAATGATTTTTGCAAGAAAAACCTTTAATTGGTATAGAATCTGTACATATTAATTTTTTTTTTTTTTATTTAAAAGATTATTTACATTTACAAAAATGTTTTTTGAAGAATCATCCCCTGAAAGGTTCTTGAGGAAGTCAAAAGTGGTTCCTCAATGGCACCACCCATTTTGGCACACTTATTTTGATAGCGTAAATCATTACTTGCCTCATAAATAAACTCTCAGTGCAATACAAAAGGCAGAGGTTAAATACACAATTGTAGTATATTATCAGTATAATAACACAAAATATTTGAAAATTTGAGTATAACATCTAAAAATACCTTTCCGTTTATAATATAACTCTACGTTGCAGAGCCAAGTGGTACATTAGCTTTCCTTTGCTGTGTTTAATTATACTAATTATGGGAGTTAAAGTTAAAACACAGATTGTATAACACATGCAACTTTCAATATTAGGCCTGGGGGCATTTTGCAAAAGACATGCATGTTTTTCAGTCTACACTGGGGTCAGACTGAAGTTATGCTGACAGAGACAGGATGACATTGCTTTCTAAAATTTTTTTTTGCATTGTAGGTTGGAGATTTCATTAAAAATTTTAGATGGAGAGGCACACAGTGTTTCGTCTAGAGCAGCAGAACAGCATGTGCTGGCGTTGGCTCTTACCCAGCTTGTCTCCCACAGTAGTGGCCCCAGTTTCCTCAGATGGCTCTCCAACTCCCGCAGAGTTGCAGGAGCGCACACGGAAGTTGTAGGATTTACCCTCAGCCAGGTCAAACAGGGCAAAACGAGGAGACTTAACTGGCATGCCAGTGTTCACCCTCTGCCACGTCTCTGTGCCAACCAAACACTGCAAACAAGTGTACAGAACACAAAAAATCAGATTTAGACAAAACTGTGAGCTTATGGTTACATTTTTTAAAGGAAAACCTCGCAGCAGAAGTTTATGCAGCTTTCAGGGTTTTGCTGCCCCGTTTTGGTGCTACGTGAAACTTTCATAGAACTTCCATAATTAACCTTTAAGGAACAATCCTAACTAGAAAGGGAAAGTTTGAGAACAAACTTTAAGTTGACTTGACAAAGCCAGCTAATAACACTTCAAAAGCTGTTATGAAAATGTTGCTATGAAGTCCTGGGTGGTTTTTGAGGTGGTTTTAGGCTGTTGCTATGGTACTTCAGATGGCTGCTAAGTTGCTGCTGGGCCATTGTTATCTACCTCAGGTGGTTGCTAAGGTGTTGCTAGGCTGTTGCTATGGTATCCTAGGTAGTTACTAAGGTGTAACTACGTGGAATAGCATGGCATATTTAAATGACTCAGTTTCAGTATGTTGAGCATTCCTCCATTAATTTTTATAGAAACAAACTGTGTTTGAACAAACGCTGTACAATCGGTTAAAAAACACGAGCAACCTGTTTGGGTATAGTCACTAAAGACTCAAAAGCTGTATGAGGTGTAGCAATGGAAATTTTTGGCTTCTTTGTCCTCTTCGGGTATCACCCCTAATATCAGTAATCACTATTTTTCTATGGAAAATGTTATGCTAATTGAGTCAAAAATGAAACCTGAACAATGTTGTGGTCGCTAACACTCTGCTCATGCTAAGCTTAACTTTTGTCAAGTTAAAATTAGTGCATTAATGAACTCTATATAATTGACCTGGTGTCACATTTTACATCTACATTTATGGTATTTGGCTGATGTTGTAGAACTACGTACAATTTAATCATGTTACAGAGACAAATGCAGCTTTAGGAGCATTAAGAGTTTTGCTCAAGGACTCCTATAGGAATAGTGTGGTGAGCATGCCCAGGGGATGAACTAAATCCCAGTCTGCCTGATAGGGAGACATATCTTTATATCAACCACAGCTGGACACTGATACTAAGACTTTACAAAATACTTCCAAAACAAAAACGAGAAGTTTCATGTCATGTTTTAGTATCCTTATCATATCAGGCTAACCGATAGAGTAATGTGAAAGGGCAAGGGCAAATATATTATGACAGAAAGTAAATATCTTTCATCCAGCTGTTAAATTATATACAGCTTACAACTGCATACAGCTGGTCAAATGAGACATTTGGTAGATTTTCTAGATGAAAATAAGTTAATGTATCCTCTACACAGAACACATACTATATTGCACAGTTACTGTTTATTTGCTAAATTTAACATATTGGGGGAAATAAATAAAACTTAAAATATGGCCTGTGCAAAGGTTATGGCACATTTTATATTTTATGTTTTTTTTTTTTGTCCAATATGTTAAACTAAAAATGTGCAGACAATTGCCATATTTCAGAGTGTTCTCCACAGATGATGTGTTAACTTATTTTCACTTAGAAAATCAACAAAACTTGTGATTTGACCAGGGGCGTTCAAACTTTTGCATAGGACTGTATGTTCACCTACCTTCTCCACATAGTACATGAGCCCCTCATGTCCTCTCTGCACAGGGGGCTTCCAGCTGAGCACCACATAGCTCTTGGTGGCCTCGGTCACTGCCAGGTCAGTAGGAGCCCCAGGTATTACACCCACTGAGAGGGAGAGAGAGGGAGAGAGAGAGAGAGCGAAAGAGAGAGAGAGAGAGAGAGAGAGAGAGAGAGAGACGGGTAATGTTGTCTTCGATAACCTTCACTCTTAGTTACTAGTTGAAGTCACTGTTACATACATATTTCAAGCCTTTCATTTAGCCAGTTGTTTTATTCCAACAAAGTCCTGAGACACAATTCTGTTATTCTTTTTATTAATAAGACTCTTTTTGTATGTGTTCTTTGATATCTTACCTGTGGGGTCTTCCTCAGTAAATTTGATCATACCAGTCCATGGAGCAGAAGGACCAGCTTTAATAAAAGGAGAGAGATGTTTATTCATACATGGATCTGATCACATGGTGTAATCAGTATATTAACACAAGAACAATCTTTCACCTCTCAGGCGGGCCCGGTCAGAGGGGTCCATGGCCACTACAGGGTCAGAGACTCGTGAGGGGTGGCTCACTCCAGCCTTGTTGAGGGCCCTCACCCGGAAGATGTAGGAGCGCCCCTCAATGAGCCCGGTGACAGGAAAGCGGGCATACTTCACTGGGGTGTCGTTGCACTGGGCCCAATGGTGGGTGCCAACCTCACACCTACAAACACAGTGAACTTAAAACATTAAATAAATGTACACAACATCCCCTTTACTAAAATGTAGTCAGACACCAAGACATACTGACACATTTGCCTTAAACAGCAAGTAATGTCAAATAGACTTGCTTTCGTGTTAACATAGCATAGTATGTGACATGCTATCATTTATAAAACATAGGGATTACAAAAGTATGTTGCATAGCTAAAAACAGTGATAGCAGCCAGGGATGCGGGAAGGTGATTTATGTCGGGGGTGCCAAAATTTTAAGTGGCATACACATGATTTATGCTGTGATGTCATGCAAAAATGATATGGCATTTTTTTTACTTAGTTAGAATTTTTTTTTTGATAATTTACCTCAAACAGAATGTCATAACATGATATAATGTGGTGAGAGATGACAACATATACACATATAATTAAGACATCAAACTTACTTACTTTCTACTTACTACTCTTTCATTCTGGATGGACTTTATGCAAATGAGCTGAGCAGGATTCAATCAGATTGTTGAAATATAGTGTTGTAACCGATTGTATCATAGCCACAGTCAAGCTACACAGTATGATTCGATTCTTGAACGAACACTGAGCAAAAGACAACAGTTGAAAAGAACTTGTGTTCAAATTGTGGGACATTATAATGTTAGATGAATGTTTTACGGTTAGAAACAATATTGGGACACTAATTAATGTGGACCCTTCGATCAGTGGCTTGATGGGTAGCTGCTCACATCGGAGTCTAAGGTAGATAGATGTCGGTTCATGTATGGAACCTAATTTTCTCAGTTTCGCATTGCAGTGCAACCAACCGTGCACGTTTCCCACACAAATGTCTCTACTCTGAAGGTAATCTGAACAAATGAAACCCATTCTTTGTATACAAATAGTTTAACTGGATGAAAGAAGCAGTTTAAACTTAAACATAACATATAAAGATGCTTGGCTTTCAGGACATTTTGGAATGATTTTTCCTGACAAACAAAACCATAACAGTCAAAACGCAGCATTAACTTAAACACTATATGGATAATCTGCCCCAAAGCAAGCATACATGGATTTTTACTAAACACAGTTTATTTTGAAGTTCAGTTCTTTTCATTATATTTTTTTACGAACAGTTGAAGTCTTGAAATCTGGGGTGGCTTCAGCCCCCTCAGCACCCCTACTTCCCACTTCCACAGTAGCAGCCTGAATTTTGCCTGTACTTTTGTCCATTTTTTAGATAATAGTGTGTTATACAGTGTCAGAAACCACATAATTAAGTCTATTTAAGATTACTTAACAACTTCATGCAGTTTCAGGCAAACGTTAGCATGTGTGATATAAGCTTTAATTTGTTTTGTCTAATGTAAAACTAAAGGACTTCAAACACCAAACAAGTCCTGGCTGAAGGACTACACTTGGGGTAAGGGGATTTTTCCACAAATGATCACTTTAAACTGGTAACTTCACAAAGCTTCACCCTCTGCTCCAATTTGAGTTATGGTTAAGGATGCTATGTAACAATAGAATGGGCAGAAACATACTTTGGCCGCTTCATTCATGAGTTCAGACTGAGTTATGTAGGCACTGACCTGTCTATAAAGTAGCCCAGGATGGAGCTGCTACCCTCAACTGCAGGCTGGGTCCAGGTGACCACCACATAATCCTTATTAGCATCATGGCACCGAACATCAAGCGGAGCAACAGGAACCCCCTCCACCTCCACATCAGAATCTGAAACACACACACACACACACGCACGCTCAACACTTTGCTCGGTGGTGTCAGATCTAATTATAGAAAACCAACTGACATGAATGGCCTCTCCTGTGTTGACCACACCTCTGCTCTTCTTACTTAAAAGAGAGTTTCGTTAGGACCTCATCATACTACAAATATACATGTATACATCAACAGCATAGTAATGTACTAACATGATTCCTAAAGAGTAAGACAGCTCAGAGCTAAAAGTCAGAAATGTTTTGAGGATTAAAGTTAGCATGTGCTGTTTTCACTGGCATCTCTTTGGCAACTTCAGCCTGATATAGCAGCAGCATTCTCTAAGAGAAACCTAATACAGGACTCTAATACAGGAGTCTGCTGTTTAAAGACACAGCATGTATAAAGACAAGATTTGTTCCAGTAGGAAAAATATAAATAAAAGCAAACAGCAATGATTTGCAAATCCTTTTTGACCTTCAATATTTAATTCAAAACAGTACAAAGACAAGACATTTGATGTTTTAACTAATTAACGTATTCTATGCTTACTCTAAATTTGATGCCTGCAACATGTTCCAAGAATTTGGGACAGGGGCATGTTTACCTCTGTATTACATCACATTTGCTTTTAATAACAACATCAACTGTTGTAGTTATGAAAATGGAATCTGTACCATTTTTACTTAAAATAACAGCTGCTCAACAGTTCTGGGTAGACAGTTCTGGACTGCAGGCAGGCCAGTCCAGGACCTGCACTCTCTTGCTACGAAGCCACATTGTTGTAACATTGGCAGACTTTGGCATTTTCTTGCTAAAACAAGTGGAGACGTCCCTGAAGAAACGTTGTCTAGTTGGCAGCATCTGTTGCTCCAAAATGTGTATGTACCCCTTAGCATTAATGGTGCCTTCACAGATGTGCAGGTTACCCACTAACACACCCTCATACCATGACAGATGCTGGCTTTTGAACTTTGCATTGGTAACACCTGGGATGGTCATTTTTTTCTCTGGCCCACAAAACATGACATTGAATATTTCCAAAAGCAATTTGAAAGGTGGACTTGTCAGACCACAACACATTTCCACTGTGCATCTGTCCATCTCAGAGGAGTTTTAGCCCAGAGAAGTGGGCAGTGTTTCTGGATATTGTTGATACATGGCTTCCACTTTGTGCAGTAGAGCCTTAATTTGCATTTGTAGATGCGGTGACGAACTGTGTTTACAGAAAAGGGTTTTTCTGAGCCCATGTGGTTATATTCATTAGAGTAAACATGTTGGTTTTTAATGTAGCGCCATCTGAGGGATTCAAAGGCACACAAATTCTATTTCGGTTTTCAGCCCTGCTCTTTACTCATAGAGATTAGTCCAGATTCTCTGAAACTTTTAAGAACATTATTGATTGTATGGTGGTGAAATCTCTGAAATCCGTGCAATAGTGAATTGAGTAACACTGTTCTTCAACTGCTCAAATGCTCCTTTTATACACAGTTATGACAGCATCACCTGTTACCTATTCACATGTTTAAGGTTTCAAAACAAGTGTTTTCGGTCTTGTTTTTTTGGACTGTGTTGCAGGCAAAAATCTGTAAGCTTGGTAAAACATCATATAGTGCTGTCAATTAAATACCCATAAATGAAAGTTTACAAATCACTGCTTTCTGTTTTTATTTGCATTTTATGCACTGTACTGTAGTGATGAACTCTTATGTCTTATACAGGCAAAGCTTTCATGGTCTTTGTTAACGGGTATCTTACATTAAACTGTTAATTCCTAATTAACTCCTAATTCATACCTAATATAGGACAACTGATTTAGTTCATCACATGCACATTCAGCTGATCTGAATGTGAGAATCAGGAGGACCTGATGTTATTTTTGTTTGTTTATGTTTTTTTTACATAGTGTTGTATGTAGTGTTTCTTCTAAAGTTTTGCCCTGTTGTGTCACTGTCATCTGTATTTAAATTTGCATGCAAATGGAACATTGTTCATGTCTGTGGCCCTGCAAAGTACTGTGGCTGTAAACGCATGGTAAGCTTCACCTCTGACGAACACATAGGCGGAGTGAGAGTCAAAGCCGGACTTGGTGTTGATGCGCAGGGTGTAGAGCCCTTCGTCCTCTTTGTTGAGGTGGACCAGCGTCAGAGTGGCCCGATCCCCACTCCAGTGCATGTGCACCCACTTAGAGGGAGTCAGGAGGACACCTGGTTAATAAAGAGATCACAGAATGGGAGAGAATGGACAAATTTCTTTACCATTTTAATGATTAATCCCTAAATGAATGGGCAGACTGATTGTACACAGCAACCTGGTACTTAATAAAACTATGTAAATTCAGAGACCACCCTTCCTTTATTTAATTTCCAGACAAACCAACCATTAAAAAGTTATTAATTTTCCATATTTCTGCTACCTTTATTACAACTTTCATTTTTTGAGAGACTTGCTTTCAGTTTTTCAAAGAAATCTGCAGGGATATTGTGCCACACCTCTGAAGTTTGGTCTTAAGAGTTGGTTGCATTTTCTGCTTCTCACAATGCTCCTCACAAATAATCCTAAACACAAATTTAGATTCATAACACCAAAACTACTTTTGGTGTTATAGTGCAAATAAGTGTTATAGCGAAAATCTTTTTTGTCTATTTCCTTTTCTCAGTAAAAGCTCCTTGACAGCTACACATCCTTTCAGACTCTTAGTGTTGAGCTGTCATCTCACAGTGGAAGGATAGACAGATTTTTTCAGATCTGAAGCAAGAGTGGAGATTGATTTTCTCCTCTCTCTCAAAGATAAAAGCTTTAAGTACTGTTTATCTGGTGGTGGCAGTTTTGGTGGTACATAATAATGTCTAACATAGTTATTCTAATCAACATTACTAGCTACTAGGCTATGCATTTCTCTTGCTTGCAGAGTTTACACTTTTACAGTGTCTACACCATTCTGAGTTTTCAAAAACAATACAGATATAGGCACACATGCTGTACTGATGTACTAATGACACAAAGACATTTTAACCATCCTAAATGCAGGGAATCATCAACGTGACACATATAACTGATATTTTCTTAAGACAAGCTCCTACCCACCATCCCTGTACCAGAGCACCTCAGGCTGGTAGCGCTTGACAGTCGGATAGATGACAACAGTGCAGCCCAAGCTCATAGTCTCTCCTTCTCGGCCAAAGGCAACTTCAAACTTATCAATAATAGTGGTCCTGAAAGTGACACCATATTCGGGACTGTAGCCATCTGAGCAACACAAAAGAGTCAGAAATTAGACCATTAACAGAAAGCATCTGGTTTCAATTAGTACATCACGTTTCATTAGCTGCACAAACATTCACAGTTTGCCCGAAGGCATAAAATGTCAATGTTTCATATAATAATTTGCAGCCAGACTTACGTGGTCTTTCAGTAACTTCTTCATCTTTAAATCCTTCAAAATAAAAATGCAAATTAGCACTGTTATTGTACAGACTGCAATTATCAAATGACTAAGACTTTAAACACTGCCTGCTTCTCTGTCTCAGCTGAGCTCTGCTGTTCCTCACAGCATTCAGACCACAATGCTTTGAAAGCTTTAATAGAGAGCAATTGCCTTTGTCTGTGATTGTAGTACAATCAGTCATAGCAGGGTCACTTAGCAAATACTCCTACAGAAGAGAAAACAAACCAGCATCATAGACACACATCCTCTATAGAGAACACACTTCTATACTGCATTGTTCTGCAAATTTCAGTGCACAATTATTGGACAAAAGAAAACATCAAAAGTGTCACAACTTTTGCACAGGCTACATTTTGTGTTTTTTTTTTTCATATATGTTAGGTTCAGCAAATAAACAGTAACTGTGCATTAAAATGTGCAGTAGTGTGTCTCTGTAGAGGATGTGTAACTTACGTTCACTTAGAAAATTAACAAAACATGTCATTTGACCAGAGGCACCCAAACTTTTGCATACGACTGTACGTAGGTTTTAAAATAAATTTATTTTTACCGCATAACCCTCTATTTTATGTAAATTACATTTCAAAAAGAAAATAAGAATTGAAGATGTTATGTCTAACTTTAAAATATGTTTGTTCTCTCATTAAGTATCAGGTAATAATAACATAACGTTATGATGGGCCAAATCAAACACCCTCACTGCCCAACTTTGGCCCCTGGACACATTGGACAGCCCTGATCTATAATTTAGGCAGTGAAATGCCAGTATAGCTCCTCTTTTAGGATATGCTTCACTCTGTAGGGCTGAAAAAGCGGGTCTGTGAATTCCGGCTTTGTAAAGTTTCTGCTGTGCTCTGCGGAGAGCTGACCTACTCCCACCCTAAATGGACAGGAGCCTTACAAGGGGTCTCCTTACAGAGACAAGGATCATCTCTAGTCCTAGCTCTCTCTGTCTATCTCTCTTTCTCTCAGGTATCACTCTGGTACTATTCTCAATGTTGTATTTGCCTTATTTACAGAATCTTTCATCTTATTATTCACTCAGTTGTAATATGATTGCATACTGTTCATAAACTCCTCTGTGTTACCTTAAACCACGGTGAAGTTTAACCTGCTGAATAGAGTTGTATAAAGTGCCCATATCCCACATTTCTTTTTTTTTCCTCTGAGGTCCATTTATAGCATATGTGTGGTTTTATATAACAAAAAATAATTCATTTTTACATGACCATTTTTTAACCCCTCTTTAGCCTTTAGAATTTTTTGTTTCAGAAAGATATATGTAAATGATCTCTGTTCTAATTAGCTTCCCTGTATCACACAAAAAGCAGTCCAGTGTAAAACACTCCTTATGACTTTGACATAAATGGGTGGAGCTAACCTGTAGGAAAATTTTCATTTATGTACTGGGGAGTGAATGGTATGTTTAAAACTTGAAAAAGGTTTGCATACTACATCAAAAGTTGGGTTTTTATGTGATATAGGCACTTTAAAATACTAAACAGTAATTAAAAGTATAACATCCCACAGACTCTTTACACTCTCCTACTTTTTCGGTCCCTCACACTTATGGTGAGGGTTTGCTCGAGTTTATAACCAAACTCCGCCGCCAGACTCCAACAACTCCAATTCCAACAACTCCAACGCCAGAGTGCTTTACAGTAAGTCTGTTCTTTAAGCATGTGGTACAAATAATGCATTGCAATACTGGAAATAACACAGTGACCTATTAACATAACCAGTCGTGCAGTGTCTTCATAGCTATCTGCAAATCAGAGGTTCAAATTTGGTCTGACAAGTGGGGGGCAACATCGAGAGAAGATACAAGGTTTTGTTCTGAAAGCAGCGACAAACACCATTATTTATATACACCACTAGCAAAACACACTGCCATGTCATATCACAGTATCCTAGAGCCATTTTTAAAGAAGAAAAGGAGTTTGATTAAAAAAAATCTATTTACTCAATTCTCCTCTTACCTTAAATGTAGTCTATCAGCTAACACATGGAGTTCTACTTCTTTAGTTACTGAGTAATGAAAGCATATCCGTCTCCAGTTTGGACAAATTATCTAACTGCATACCTAAACCATCACACACTTGTCTTAATCCATGTTAAGTAGCAAACATCAGCCTCACTGCTCCAGTGCAAAGCTAGAAGCAATCTTCAGACACCATAGCTGATTGACTATATATGGGTAAAGGCAAACATAAATACATTTAAAAAAATAGTGCTTACAGGTTATGATTACTTTATGAGGTCACTGCAGTAACATATGTGGTCTTCACAGAGAACTCATTTTACAACTGTAATTCCATCAAAAAAAACATACTGATGCACATGAAACTCACATGATCACACATACTGGAGGATGAGACAACATAGGTAACCTACTTTTAACAATGATCGAGGCAAAGGCAGAGCTCTCTCCCTTCACATTAAGAGCTGAGATGCGGTACTCGGCAGTGTCACTGAAATCACACCTGTAGACCACGAGAACAATAACATTTAATAAACACAACCATATAATTCACCCTAACGCATGGATTAATCCCACATCTTTGTAAATTGACAAATTTTAAAAAGTATATATACAAGAAACATGTAAGTAAAGTTTAACGAGTACTGTACACATCAATTCTCTTACTTCTTGATCTCCAGGGAGTGAATGTTGTAATTGCTCTCGGTAGTGTACTTCTCCGGGTGAGCCTTGGCATCAATGAGCACGTTGTTTTTGTACCTTGAAATAAGGAATTCCAAAAGAAGGTAAAAAAATAAGGATCCAAAACCAATTCTGTCTAAGACTAGCTTTCGTTGATGATCAATTGCCATATGAATAACTGTAATTAACAACCGAGTTGTCTTTTTTGTTCATTGTATGCAAACATTAAAGTACAAGCTTGGCTGGCTTTCTTTCTTCCTAGCTACCACAAGCAGCTTGAGCTCAAATAAACAAATATTACTCACTCTCTGCCCTATAAAGGTGTTATAGCACAAACCAGAACTTTTGTTGTTTTCATAAGACCCGTGAGGTTTCTGCTTTCTTTCATTTACATGTATTTGCCTCAACCTAACTGATAAAATGCTCTTATACATTCTGCTAACTGCAATATAAACATGACTGAAAACTAATAGCAATCAGCTCAAATAATTGTGAGTAGGTAATCATGCAGTACTTGTAACAGATCTACCCATGACTATACACTGTCTGGCAGTAGTTTGGAGACAACTTCTGAGTTGTCTTTAGAAAACTGGTCACTGATATTACCAGAAGGGCATAAAATGTGTAGGGTATGGCATTATTCCTAAGGCAGTATTTCTGTCAAATGTGTTGTTCAAGTTTTTGCAAAGAGAAATAGCACAATCTAAACAGCTTTCCTTTTAATGTAAAAACATAAACTATACAACTATATATCTCGAAAAGCAAGGTGTCTCCCAACTGTTTATTTTCTGTGAGAAATAATTTATTCAGTATTTGAAGCCAAACACTCTGGTAGGCCTCTCTAGTGTGTTATTTTGGTAACATTATATGGAGTGGTCCTTTGTAGATGATTAATAAACTCTTAATAGATTATCAGTAACACATCAACATATCAGTGAAGTAGCAGTAGTGAAACATCTGAATACGCTGAAGTAAATATCTTGAAGATGTACTGTTGATACATTACGTACATTAAGTAGGTGTATAGTTAATATGTTACTTCCATTACGCAAAACCTAACCTTACCCAGAACCTAACCCTAACCCTGGCCCTAATCCTAACCCTAACCTCAACCTCAACCCAAAACCTAATCCTAACCCTCATATGTTTCTAACATGTAACTGAGAATCCATTGAGTGTTTGTTTCATCTAAAAAGACCACTCAAAATAAAGTGCCACCATTATTTTTAATAATTGAATTGAATTGAACTGCTGAGCAGTAATCTGTTGTGTTTGCATTAAGTAACCCTCACCAGGCCACACGTGGTTTGGGCCAGCCGGCCGCAGTGCAGTGCAGTGTCACACTCTTGCCCTCCCACACTGTCTGACCACGCGGCTTCACTGTGAACTCGGGAGGGTGGGTCAGGCTGTCCTGGTTCATCTTCTTCTGAAACTCCTGCTTCTCTTGTATCTGCAGTAAGGGCCAGTGGAACAGCAGTATGGGTCATCTCCATCCAATAAAACCATATGAAATCACCTCTGTTACATAAAAAGTGCTATGCTGTCTTATACATACTAAGATGGCTGCTGTAAGCTCCCACAATCACAATTCAAAAATTTGGGACCAATGTTTGGGGTAATAAAAAGTCAATTTTGTTGCAGATACAAGTAAAATTACTTCAAATATGAAAAAATCATTAATTTAATTGATTAATGCGCTGTAGATAATCCTAAAATGATGAGAGCTGCATTAAATCTTCAAGCACATAACTTGACAAAAAAGACTGCAAACAGACAGTTACAATGTACTACTTATCACTTGATGCCTCTCACTCCCTGGCATGAAACTCACTATAGCTACTACTAGCACTATATAGCATCTTCTATTGTCAAGCTTGTAACAATAGAAGAACCATTTTTGGTGCTGTATGAAACTTTCCACTAATCTCAAATACCATTTCACCATGCAAAGAACCATTTCAGCAGGTTCTATATATAAATCATGGTTCTGAATAGAACCATTGTGTTTACTAAAGAACCCTTGAAGAACCACCTTTTGAAGTGTGTGCTGAGTCAGAAATGAATTTACAGTGGTGGCGATAGGAAGCCGATGTCTGAAGAGTTTAATGACTTTAAAAGCTCCCTCACAGAATGTTATTACACCAAATAATAACAATAACGAAAAAAAAGAAAACTCTCACTGTCTGAATTATGCAGAAAATTTGAAAACTTGAATTGTATACATTGTATACTGTATACATTATTATTATATTTAATATCAAACTATTATGACAAGTGGTTTGCACTTATAAATGGTAGAGTATTCTTCTACATCAGTGGATCAGGCTTAGAGTAATAAAGCTGCAACCTTCTTGCCCAGGGCCAGGCGTTCAGCTGATTCCCTCATACTCCTGCTATGGGTCTTCTTCTCCACTCTGAGCTGGTAATCAGTATCTCTGGAGAAGAGGTTCCTCATCACCACGTAACCCACGCCCTCCTCCTTCACCTCCTCCTGGCTCTCCATCAGCTCCTGAGTGGCTAAATGACTGATCACACAAATACAGCTATTTAGTGGTGGGTAAAATGAACTCAAATCATTTGTCTAGAATTTCAGACATGTTAACAGTAATGTGTAAACAGTAGCAATTTAGTTTAGAAAGAATTAGAGAATGATAAAGTAAGTATGCTGTATTGTATAGCATAGTGGATAACAACAGTGCCCCCCATGTGGCAGACTAGGGTTTAGTACCCTACCCAGGCAAAAACACTGAGCTACACCAATGAGAGTCCTTGGGAAAGACTCCTAACACTACATTTGCCTACCTAATTGGACGTTGCTATGGTTAAGAGTCCGCCAAATGCCGCAAATGTGATGTGATAGCTTCAATCAAGTGGAACAAGAGTCAAATATTGTTCTCCCTTTTAAACTCTAGTCTTATTATTTAGTTTTAAAGTCTAAGGACCTATTATTCAGTAACTGCTTTGTAGCATTGGGTGACTATAGTGTACTATGAAACTAATATGCACATTATGTAGTTATGCGAGTGAGGAGCTGATAACCTGAAAAGTGAAGCAGAATTTGTAATTCTAATCAGGTTTTGTACTACAAGAAAACTGACCTATCATAATATGAGCCACAAATGATGACTGAAAAGATGACTGTACTGTGCCATTGCACTGTGAAGAACTGACATAAATTTACAGTGGAAATTCTGCAGTAATCTACAGTAATCCACAAATACAGCAGACTGCTGTAGAAATGGTGCATTCTGAGAGAAACACGTCAAGCTTCTTGTCAAATAAGTTAAAATGTTGGGACTTACAGTAACTATCTGTTATTTGCAAAGTATTTTGGGAAAGTGACTGGTACTTTGTGCAGTCTTGAGCAGCTTGTCTCTGAATATTGTAATGATGGGGGCAGTGCTAAGTACAGCAATCAGCTGTATTTAGAAATAAAGTACTGTATTGTATTATAAAGTATGAGTGCTGTAAATAAACAGTAAACTGCTGGAGAAATTGCTACCAGTACATTACTGTAATTTTACACAAAAATTTTGTACAGTGATTTGTGGATCTAGATTAGGAAATCCTGACAATGACAAGGTCCAGAACATTTACTGCATAATACAAGCACTATATGTAGAGATACTAGCCTAATAATTTTACAATGTTTGGTACATTTTACTCAGTTTTATGCTTTATATATAGTCACCTGCTTCTAAAGACCGGAACCACGTATCCAATGACCTCGTCCTCTTTGTCCACTGCCAGGCGGGCCCGCTTGTCTTTTTTGGAGAGGGTGCTCAGTTTCTTCTCCTGCTTCTTCCTCGTAGTCTTCACCCTGATAAAGAGCTGACATTAGTCAACTGACAAACCAAAGAGCCTGACCCAGCAGCGAAAAAATGCTTAAAAAAACACTACAGCTTCTCATTTAGTGGGGACACAGGCTGCTGTTATTGCAGTGTTGATGGAATGCGAAGGACTTTAGTAGGTTACATGGTAATAGCGCTTAATGTTAGATAGAGGAGATTATATTGTGATTATATGCATTTTGTAAGAGTTGCTCAAAAGCAAAGCTTTGAAAGCATCAAAAAAAGCAATACTAAAAGCACCAAAGCCACTTCATTACACAGGGAACGGAAAAGGGCTTTTTAACATTACAGCCTACAGGCAAAACAGCACATTAACTGTAGCCTTCTGTCAATAAGAAAAACAATGCATTTCAAATAGCAATAGACATAGGTTCATTTTTTCTGTTGTCACTCAAGGATCCTCTACCGAGCGTCTCCAGCTAAGCACAACCACTTATCATCAATCATTCTGACTGCTAACAACTTAAACGTTCCATTATCTGCAAAAACAATCCAGAATGATTGAAATGTTTTCCTTATTTGATAATGTTGCTATGCACTTCAATTCCTAGGAGCCTCAAAGGATATTCTTGAGCTCAGCTACTCAGCTACTTCAGCCATGTTCTAGGCTAGTATTTCTGAATTCTGTTCTTGGCAGCCCACAGCAGTGCACACTGCTTCACCTGCTCCAGCTCACGAAGCGCTCCATTATCAGTTGATGAGCCGGATCAGGTATGTTGAATCAAGGAACACTTGAAACCATGCACTGCTGTGGGTTGCCAGAAGCAATATAAAAAAAATCTGTGTGGTAGACCAGTGGGTCTCTGCTCCTAACCCCCCTGATCCTACTTATCAGCTAATTAACAGCCCCTCACTGAGTTAAAATAGGTACTCCAGGACCAGGATTGGGTACCTGTGTTCTCTAGTCATTTAGAGAATGCTGGCACATGAAATGAACAACAAACTGAATTGGACACCAGTAGAAGATAACCCTGGAGGTATGTAAACGGCCCTGACACATATTTCCAACAGCCAGGAGTATTACGGGCTTCCTATTGTTGACATAATTAACTGTGGGCCACAAAGCTCTGCTATCTGGGGAGATTCAGTCTCTTTATCCCTTGTATTGTCACAGCTTATCTCTGGACCACAGTGGCCTCCTGCCTTAACATTCTTTTTAAGAGGAGAAAATGGTTCTATAGCACCAGTCTCTTTTTGGTGCTATACAGTACGCATTCTCCGTCATTTTGAAGAACCATTTCACCATGCAAAGAACCACTTATAAATGAAATACAGAACCTTTCCTTTTACTAAAGAACGCTTGAAGAACCATCTTTTTGTATGTAAAAAGTGCAACCCAATACAAAAATAGTAGCTTTGCCTACTCTTTCCCCTTTCTTCATATTTAAAAAGAAATCATACATTCTAGATTGAGAGTACTATACTGTATCAATATCTGAAGCATACATGTCCCATAATCCTCCCTGACATCTCCACCTTCCTGGAGCCTAACCTGCAGAGCAGCTGTACAGTTCTCTAGTACAGTAACGCTCCTCCTGAGCCTCTGTGATCCTGTGTCCCAGGAGCCACAAATAGCCCTTAGCTCCCGTTAATAAACTTGGCTCATTGCAGCAGAGGGGCTCGAATTCTTCCCTCCCAAAGGGTCATGAAGAGCAGTTCACAGCATTGAGACAAGGTGTTGCCACTGGGACAAAAGCAATCTGACCTCATTTCACCACGCTGCTATCTCAACGTTCTGCTAACAACACAATTATAGTAGCCTACATTCAGCCGGTGATGATTACTTAGCACTGAGAGGCTAGAACTAGCTTTCCACTCATATATTTAGCCTGTCCAGGGCTAGAAAAGGTTTTAAAAAGTCTTCAGTGCTGAAAGCGCTCTCAGGGATTGTAACAGAGTCCAAAAAAAGAACTTCAAGTAGCACTGAACCACCCATTGAGGCAAGGAGATGTGGTTGGCAACAATGTGCACCAAAGATGGAACAGTTTCTGCAAAACCATACCAACACCAGAGCTCTACCACAGCCCAACACACTTTACTTGTAGAGAAATACAGTTGTAATCTACCTAAACTTTGGGTCATAAAGCTGGACAAACAGGAAGCTCAGATATGAGAGATGTGGCATGAAATGATAATGACTCACAAATCTAACGAGGCAAATCTAAGTCCTTATTTTTCATTAGTATGCCTTTAGGACAATGTTTTCCAATCCAGTTCTCAGAGACTAACATAAAGTCCACCTTCCATTCTATTCCAGCTCCTAGTACTGCTGGGTACCAGGTGTTCCATGTTTGGATCTCCTGTAGTGGGAGATGAGAGGGAGCAAAAAGGTGAACTATTGGTCATTATTTGAGGACTAGATTGTGTAACATTACACGAGAAAGTGTTAATCTTATTCTGAACACACCATTTAGCTAAGTTAGAAGTATCCATATGGAGCATCTAGGACAAGGGTGTCCAATTCCAGCCCTGGAGTCCGGCACAGTTCAGTGACTTCCTGCTCCAACACGCCTACTAAACCTGGTAGCTAACTGGTGAGTTGAACCAAGTATTGACCAAACTGTGCTGGACACAAGCCTCCAGGGACCAGAGCTGATCTAGTAGATGGTGGGTTATTAGCAAAGCATCTGAGCCTTTCAAGTAAAGCAGTAGCAGAGCGAGGCAGTTCTCCAGGAGCCAGCATGTAGAAGCAAAAAGCACAGTGTCGCCTCCTCCCTGGCTCTTCTTACCCCTTGCTGCTCACGTGAGAAGTATAGGAATGGTGGCTGACGGAGGACAGCGAGCTTCGGTGGTAGCTGCTTTCATAGTGCGTCTCGAGGTCCCGCTGCTCCTGCTGCACTTGCAAGGATCCTGACATCCTGAATGGATTGTGGCTGTGCGCTTTCTTTCAGACTGTCCTGTGGGCCCCTTTGCTCTCTCAATTTGTGGCTTCAAATACAATCACCGTTTTATTAAGGATCAATATAAATGGCATTTAGATTAAGGCATTAACCATTACACACAAGTTCATGTAATTATCAGAGGTGGGTGGTAACTAATTACACTTTCTAAGTTTCATGTATTTGAGTAACATTTTGATAATTTTGTGCTCAAAATACAAAACTTTTACTTGTAGCTAAGTATTTTTGCAAAGATAAGACTCCACTTCTTCACACTGAGTTACACATTTTTATGTTTAATTTCATTTGTTCCCATACTGCTTTACTGGTGCTCACATCTTTCAATTTAAAGCTTTAGCATTTTACTTCAGATCGAATAGATCCCAAAATGAGAAGCATCAAAAAACTTCAGTTTTTCTGGTGATAGATGTACAAATAAGTCCCACTGCAGTTCTAATTGAAACAAAGTTTTTGGACCAGATAACTCTTTACATCTTGAGCCACAAGTAACAATACCTTTATTTCACCTCTGGTAATTAAACAATGTGTAGGCCTTGTGCCTAATTTGAGTCTGAAAGGATTCAGAAAATGGACCATTTGTTTGCCACTGGCATTTCACTACACTTAAATTACATTTTCATTAAGTCTGAATGTACTGAACGTACAGAAAACAGCATTCATGATACAACTCTGAGAAGGGTTAATAAGGTTCCAAATTAGATAATGACAGTAAACAAGAAGATTCACATTCAGAGCATGTACATTGTTGAGATTTGAAAAGTAAGTAGCTACAATGATGAATGTAATAGAAAGGCCAACCATATTTCATACATGATATATACACTGGTCTTCAACGCGAGATGGGCTTTAGCTACCTACTTAAATGTAGCATTATGTCATAGGCCTAAATTATGCTACAGCAAGTTTAATGTAAGTCCAGATTGAATTACAGGCCAAGGAGGAGTCTACTTAAACTAGCCTCAACTTATAAAATATAAAAAATCCTTCAGAAAATACTAAGTACTAAAAATATTTAGAGCCTTGAAGGTGACTGAGATGGTTGAGACAACAGATGCATGACATATCAATCCAAGGCAATGATTTCCTTTGTTTATCCAGACTAGTTAGCCAAGCTTTCTAAGTAGAAAGAAATGCAGTTCCTTACCTAACTCCAAATTTTGCAGGAAAAAGGGAGAGAAGCGGCTTAACTCCAAAAGTAGCCAAAATCCAAGCAAGGCGTGAGGGGCAGCCGACGGCAGGACTGTACGGGACTACCCAGAACAAAAATAATGCTGCCACTCGGCAGAATGCAGCATGCAGTCGCGACCTTGTATGGCCAGCAGGCCTGTTAAATATAGCCCGGGCTGGAGGGGGGGAGGCCATGGTAGCAGGCAGCCTATAAAAGAGGACAGGACTGTGGGACCCGCCAACTTCAACCACTCTGTACTAAGTTTATATGACACAATATCTGTTAATGCAAAAGGACAAATTAACATGTGCAATAACCCTCAAAACTGACACTGGAATTAAAGCATCCTGAAAGCTATTAAAGTATTTATAAGGAAAGACCTACAGCAGTGGTATTCAGGCCAGTCCTGCAGGACCCCCAGCCAGGCCACATTTCTGCTGTGTTCCAATCAACGTAATCACTGCTTTATTACCTGACTAATGTGTGTTTGGAGCTTGAACAGAATCAAAAATACTGGACTGGAATCTTAATGAAATGTGTTAACAGTGACAGCGGCATTGTGTAAACGTTACAACTTACCCCATAGGTGGAGTTAAATGTAACAGACAAGGGGCTAGTTGTAACAGTCAATAAAAAGCCAGGTGAAGTTATGCAAACACAAGTAATTTAACTGAAGTAGACTACATCTCCAACCAAAAATAAATCTAAATAAATATGATAAGCAAAACAGAGGATGTGCTAAATGTGACAATTTTATTTTTGACTACAAAGTAAAAGTTTGTTTTAGCATGATAAAACTGAAATCTGTTTACATGACATCTACAGTATGTTTTTGATAGCTCAATGACCAAAACTTCCAAAACCGAAACGTTTTAAATTCATAAGGGGAGGAATATGAACTTACAACTAACCCCGCTGTGTGGAGAATGCATTTTAGCCTGATTAGCACTCACTGTGAATTGTTTACAAGCTTCAGCTGCTAAGAATGTGATTAATATAATACTGGTGCAAATTCTGCAACTTATACACTTCATGAACAATGTTTTTTTTTATGGTATAAAATGGTCTTCTGTGTGAATTTCAGGAAATATCTGTCCATAGGCTATCAAAATTCACAGATGATAATGGTGATATGGGAATATGTGCTTGCTTAAAGGACATACTTCTCAAACCTGACTAACTACATAAATACCCACACTATATTTTACTGCACATTAGGTTGGGGCGTGCTCTCCCCAACATTTGCATTTGTTTAGGGAAAAAAAGTGGAAGAACAGTGGAGAATTTCACTGAATTTGGTGTGAACTGCATTCAAGGGGAAAAAGCATACAATTACACATTACAAGACATCTGCCATGTGTCAGCTCCAAACTGCTCACTGAGCAGACTTTTTAGGGACATATGCTTCCAGGGACAGCACAGATGCTTGCTGAGATAACTGACATTTTATGAATGCAAGTCAGTGAGGAGAAACAGCTCAGGATGATCACCAAAGTGCTGATGCATTCAGACGTAACCCTGACTACACCCTCACGAGATGAGCTACAAGAGAGAGAAAGCACCTCTAAACTTTTTAACAAGCGATTTAGTGATACTTCTGCAGACATTTCCCCTCCTCTTTTCTGGCTGAGTGGCGTTCTTCCGAGCAGAAAAGTTGGACAAGCTATTGCGCTGTGAAGAACAAAAGCTGTGTAATCAACAGCACTTCACATCACCATGTTTGTCTTTAGCTCTTACCCTGCATTTAAACTTTTACCTACAATAAACTCAAAAGTTTAGAATCAATGTTTTTCAGTGATATACAACTAATTTTATTACAGATAAATGAATAAAATTATTCTAATTTGCCAGTCCTGTGCGGCTTTAGAGGTTTCAAATAATTAGCTATAAGCTATTATACCAAAAAAGAAGAAACGTGTACAGAATGAATTGTTATAGAACTCGTATCCAAAATATTATGTACTTGAAAATTGACTTAAAGTGACAAAAAATCAAATGTACACATTTTTCCACTGATCCCAGATGTAGCCGTCGGTCAAGACATGATTGGAGCACAAATTATGCTTCTCAATAGTCACCCAAATAGCTTCTGTACAATACATCCGTAACAGTTCCTTCAACCCCCTTAAACCGCACCCGCATGTCAGTGTGGGTTCAGACGCAGTATGACTTTCTGTGAACAAAGAAAAATTAATGACACTCCAAGCAATCACTTTAGACTACAGAGTCTGCATTCACAGACCACCTCAGGAAAAGGAGTGTTGATCTAGAACCAGTATATGTGAAAATAACCACCAGAAATAAAAACAAATCTGATCCAAGATCAGTCCTGTTTTGTGAATACCAGCCTAGGTGTTGTTTGAAATGGCTGCTTTTAGTGGTGAAGTTTTTTTGTTTTTTTTTTTACTTACTTTACTCCAGAGTTATCTTTACTTTTTTACTTACTTATAGCTCACAGTAAGTAAGTCATACTCTAAACCACATCAGCAAGTCAAAGCGACGTTAATAAAGACCTGGAATCAGTTTGAGTGGGTTGAGAGTTTTCAGGGATGTATTTTTAGAGAAACAATTTGAGTTTCTCTGTAGTTTGGGTGACTACTGGGTTCCAGTGTTTGATAACAAAGTTAGCATTGACGTTCCAGTTCTAAACTAAAGAAGCAAGATTTGGACTCCAAATATGTCTCAGCTGATCAACTACATCTGGGGTAAGTGGAAAATTGTGTACATTTGATGTTTGGTGAAAGCATTCTTTTAAATCGACATTGTACATGAAGAGTTCATTTTCAAAAAACGATAAACGCTAGCAATGCCATTGTCAAGGCATTGCAAGTTTACGTCCTGCAGTAGAAATGGTCAAATTCCACTGCTGCTTTGAAGCGAAACCTGCTAAATCTGTTTAGTGAATCAGTGCGCAGTACTGGGGTCAGGTCATCTCAAATGGCTCCCTTCTCCCTACAAAGTGCAGTTTGTAGGTCTTAAAATAATGGCTACTGCACCTAAACACTGCACAAAATGTCTAACAAAGAACCACTTTGGATTCAGCCATGTGTGCACAATTCCATACTGGAGATAAAGTGTAATATTTGGGTGTAAAAGCCACAATTTCACAACTGACACAGTGCACTACTGTAGGGATCATTTGAGATCCAGCCTTAGGATTTTCTGAGGTATGGTCTGTTTAATATTGCCCAGTAATGGACTGTTTTTGTTACAATTTTCAGCACTTTACCGATCTGTTTTATGTTAAAGAATGTTAAATATTGCCCATTACATGGCTTTGTTTAACTGTGAAACATGACATGACCATTGGAGTATCTGCTTTTGCTGAAAAACAGTTTACAAAAAAGTTTAATTTTGTACGTTTCCTGTGTTGTTATTTTTACCTAATCAAAACAATCCAACTGCAATTTGATTGATAATACCTGGAATGCAAAATAAAACATGATTTATAAAAAATCATTAAAATGGAGATATCTGTTTTTTGCAAATGAACTCTTCATATGTTATCACGCATAAAATGTTGTTAAGGGCTGTTACATATACAAAATAATCTAAAAAACGCTTTAGGCAGTCATAAAAATGATTTAAAACTACAACCCCAATTCCAAAAAAGTTGGGACGCTGTGAACATAGAACACATATCAGATGTTGAAAGTGAGACATTTTACCATTTCATTAAAAACATTAACTCATTTAGAACTTGATGGCACCAACGCATCTCAAAAGTTGGGATGGGGCAGCAAAAGACTGGAAAAGTAAGTGGTACAATAAAAAAAGCTGGAGGAGCAATTTGCAACTAACTCACATGACTGGGTAGAAAAAAAGAGCATTTTAGAGAGGCAGAGTCTCTCGAAGCAAAGATGGGCAGAGGTTCACAATCTGCAAAAAACTGCATCTAAAATTTGTGAAACATTTCAGAAAAATGTTCCTCAACGTAAAATTGTGAAGACTTCGAATATCCCCCCATCTACAGTACATAATATCATCAAAAGATTCAGAGAATCTGGAGAAATCCCTGTATGCAAGGGACAAGGTCGATGGTCAGTATTGGATGCTTGTGCTCTTCAGGCCCTCAGGCGGCAGTGCACTAAAAACAGGCATGATTCTGTACTGGAAATCACTGCATGAGGTCAGGAACACTTCCAGAAATCACTGTCTGTGAACACAGTTCACTGTGCAATCCAGAAATGCAAGTTAAAGCTGTATCATGCAAAGAAAAAAACATATATAAACAGGATCCAGAAACACAGCCAACTTTTCTGGGCCCAAGCTCATTTAAGATGGACAGAGGTGGAAAAGTGTCCTGTGGTCCAACTAATCAAAATTTTAAATTCTTTTTGGAAATAATGGACACTGCATCCTCCAGGCTGAAGACCTCCCAGCTTGTTATTAGCACACATTTCAAAAACCAGCATCCATGATGGTATGGGGGAGCATTAGTGCACATGGCATGGATGCCTTGCACATCTGTGAAGGCACCATTACCGCTGAACGAAACATACAGTTCTTGGCAACATATGCTCCCATCCAAACCACGTCTTTTTCAGGGAAGGCCTTGCATATTTCAGCAAGACAATGCTAAACCGCATACCGCATCCATCACAACAGCATGTCTTCATAGAAAGAGTCCGGGTGCTGAACTGGCCTGCCTGTAGTCCAGACCTTTCAACAATAGACATTTGACACAGCATGAAATGAAAAATCCAGCAAAGAAGACCCAGGGCTGTCGATCAGCTAGAATCCTACATCAGACAAGAATGGGACAACATTTTCTCTCCCAAAACTCCAGCAATTGGTCTCCTCACTTCCCAGACCTTTACAGACTCTTGTTAAAAGAAGAGGGGATGCTACACAATGGTAGACACGGCCCTGTCCAAACTTTTTTGAGATGCGTTGCTGCTGTCAAGTTCTAAATGAGTTAATGCTTTTCATGAAATGGTAAAATGTCTCACTTTCAACATCTGATATGTTCTATGTTCTATTGTGAATAAAATATCGGTCTATGAGATTTACAAACCATTGCTTTCTGTTTTTATTTTGTTATTTTAGATAGCATTCCAACTTTTTTGGAATTGGGGTTGTACTTATCTTAGCAGACAGTGCATTTTGCCTGTAAAGACACTATAACATTAGAATAAATACAAACACAAATACAGTAGAAAGTAACAAGACCTTTTTCAACTTATAAATATGTTGATTAGAAGAGAACAGTTAGAAGAGCACAAGCGTGGATCCTGACTTCTTACTGCACTCCAGTCATTGCATGAGTTTGTACGCAGCACGTAATTAACTGAATTAAGTACTGATTAGTTGAAGCAGATACTGAATATCACCTATAAATACTGGCCTTACTTGAGAAGAGCTTTGAAAATGGATATGCTAATAAACTGACATACATGACTTACAATGTATTATTTCTTTATTTGTCTCTATTCTAACGTTTGTGTTTTTTCAGATAAACGCTTACAGCCAGGATAAATAGCTTTATATATTTTCTCAGATGGCCTAAGACTTTTGCACAGTACTGTAAATATTAATAAATATTCAACTACAGGATGTGAATATGATCAGTTATAGTACAAAGTCAATAGAAACTCCTGCTATCTCATGAATCAGTGTCTAAAATCTTACATTGACATTTCTATCTCTTAAGTTTGCTTTTAAAGGGAATACTGTCATAAGTTCAACATCACAAATCCACAGAAATTTTATTTTCCCACAGCAAAATAATTCACAAACACATGATGTGGGGGAATAATATCTGATGTTACACAGTTCAGACAAAAGCCAATAGACAGCAAAATCTGGAATTGGCCAACATATGTCTATTAACATTTCTGCAGCACATTATAGGCTGCAAACACACAAATGGTTTCAAATGCGTCAATATTTAAGCATTATTAAACTAGGACGATGTTTAACCACAGCAGACGATGAGCCGACAGTACTGTACAAAAAAAGTACTCATTAGACATGACAGCTCAGAGGTACCAGTGACTATTGCAATGTATTGTATTGTGTGTTATACTTTGTGTATTCAGGCATAGTAAAGGGACCATGTAAGACTGAGAGCTTGGACAGTTCCATGAATTCACTTTTGACCAAGCCAAATTTGTAAGCAGACAATTTCATACGTTTGTCATACCTAATAATTAATATGATCATATTCTCACTTAGGCAGATGCCCGACCCGTAAATTTGTAAAGCCTTAGATTCATGTTTGAGATTATGTGCTTGAGCTGTTAAATTCCAGCCCATAGGCTGTTAGCATTAAATCAAATTGAACTACAGCACTGCAGTGCACCTGAGACTGCTGTATGTATCTGACAAACCTCAACTCACTGCAACAGTTTTTGGACTGCCCATTATAGGACAGGAGGCATATATGTAAATATATAGACGCTGCTGAACCTGCTCCAGTACTGAAGCTCACTGTGATGGTCGCTCACAGAGCAACTCTATGGTAGTCACGAAAGTGAAGAGTCATCATTACTCTGCCAGGGCTAAATTTTTCGTCTGAATCTTTGCCAGATGATCCGATATACCAGCTTCAATCTTGTCACACTGGGCTAGGAATCCCTGTGGGTGATGGAGAATAATTAAAAAATTAGATATGACATTTAGAATTTGTGAGATTCAGATTATTATGTATTGTTTCATTTTAATGTACTATTGTAATTTCTCACAGTTTAAGCCAACATGTAGTTCAAATAGAGTATAACTCTACCTGAACGGCTTTCACAAGTCCTTTTTTCTTCATCCTACAGTCACTAAAATTCTCAGGCACGCTCTGCAAACAAAATGAGAAATGGGCGTTAACACATGTAAATTAGCCAAGTATGATGTAAAGTGCAAATTACAGTGACTAAGCTAGTTAACTAATATGATAATTACCAAGGCATCAATCTGCTCTAGGATCTTCATGAACTGCTCAGCAGCAACCTTCACTCTTTGGTCTAGTTTGTTAAGAGCTTCAGCCTGTAAATCCTTTGCTAGAAAACCCTGAAAACAGCAGCATTGCAAAAATGAACATTAGCTTACAAAAATGAAAATCCAATCCACGTACATACTGAAGGAAAAATCCCTGAATAGGGAAAACATACATTCTTCAGTCCTGTCAGTTCTCCATCCACTTTCTCAAGCTTCTTGGCTGTCTGCTCCACCGACTTTTCGATGTCTTTGAGCTTTTTCAGTTCAGCCTCCTCCTCTGGACTATTCTATTAAGTGAAGATTCAAGTTTGGACCACACAACATGACACATCCGAAACTATAATTTTTAATGACTGAGTACATAAGCCGACAGGCCACTTCATTAAAACCACCTCATTTCTACACTCGTCCATTTTATCAGCTCCACTTACCATATAGATGCACTCTGTAGTTCTACAGTTACAGACTGCAGTGCATCTGTTTCTCTGCATACTTTGTTAGCTTTTTACCCTGTTCTTCAATGGTCAGAACCTCCAGAGGACCACCGCAGTGCAGGCATTATTTGGGTGGTGGACCTTTCTCAGTACTGTTGTGACACTGACGTGGTGGTGGAATGATAGTGTTTGTTGCATTGTTACGAGTGGATCACACACTGCAGTGCTGCTGAAGTTTTTAAACACCGTGTCTACTCACTGTCCACTCTATTAGACACTCTGACCTTGTTGATTCACCCTGTAAAGTCAGAAACGATAGCACATATGTTGCGGAACAGTTTGTGCTGGTCATTCTCTAGTCCTTCGTCAGTGGTCAAAGGATGCTGCCCACAGGACACGGTTGGCTGGATATTTTTGGTTGGTGGACTATTCTCAGTCCAGCAGTGACAATGAGGTTTTTAAAAACTCCAGCAGCACTGCTGTGTCTGATCCACTTGTACCAGCACAATACACACTAACACACCACCACCACGTCAGTGTCACTTCAGTGCTGAGAATGATCCACCACCTAATAATACTTGCATTGTGGTGGTCCTGACCATTGAAGAGCAGGGTAAAAGGATAAAAAGCTAACGAAGTATGCAGAGAAACAGATGTACTACAGTCTGTAACTGTAGGACTAAAAAGTGCACCTACGTGGTAAGTAGAGCTGATAAATTGGAAAATGAGTGTAGAAACAAGGAGGTGGTCTTAATGAAGTGGCCTGTCAGTGTACGTTTGTCTTACCCTTTTCCCAATCATCATAAGTTTACATCCTTGTTTTATCCCAAAGCTGGCCAGACTTTCATCCATCTCCTTCAAGGATTTCCCTGCAGCATAAGAAACCACGACCCTTACATTTTGTCTTAGAGAAGTTTTTTGAAGCAGGACAGGTTTCCATAAACAGTAGCAGTAAAAGGAAGGTTAGGAAAAACTTTATTTACTTCACAGCTTGATACCTTTAAAAATAATTTTCTGAGAAGGTGCCGGTACACCTGTAGCTTCTGTCAGAGCTTCAGACAGATCCTTAAGTAAAGGCTCTTTCCCATCCTGTCCTGTCAGTGTGAGGCTGTGTTTGGTAGTGCCTGAGAGGAACGGGGGCAAAAGAGAGACACTTTTTAAAAACAACTACACAGGTACACAGAGTATTAGTTAGCTACAGTTAAACCAGCTAACTGTCATACTATTTGTTTACTCTTTAGCGCGGAACGAGACCGCTAGCGAAAACGCACCGCATAGCTAGCTCGCTAGCCGGCTACTCCGGTTAACAAGCACCAGTTAGCTAGAGTCACTTTCTCGGACTTAACGCTACAGTTTGCAAGTCAATACATTTGTAGTTAAGTCCCGGAAGACATAACAGTTATATGTACGTTCTGAAAGGTATAAAACACTGAATAGATGTGTTTACCATAAGCGACTATCACTGTGATTGTGTTGTCGGCCATCGCTACAACATTAGCAGCTGCTAGCGGCGCCGCAGTGAAACAGGATGTGACGTAAACGGCTCTCGCCAACATTCTCACACCGCCACTCAGTGTGAAGAACGGAACAGACAGATCATCTCTTACTGAAGCTCCTTCACAGATAACGGTCACAACTGGGCAAAAAATCAGCTCACAGAGCGCCTCTGTTTCCAAAACAAAGTATAATTTATTATGTACAGTTCAAATGGACAGTGTATTAAATAATAACGTAGTGCAAACATTGTTTCCAGAGGACACATTACAACCAGTCATATACGATCAGCTGAACTAGCCAAACTTATTCAAAATAAGAAACCAAGTCGTCTATAGTATATTTACTTATTATTATTATTATTATTATTATTATTATCACATCACTGGCCACTTTATTAGGGAAAAAAAATCTTCAAAATGCTAACTTGAGAGGACAGGAGAAGGAAAAAAAAATTCTTTACTTTTAATGTAAGCCAGTATAAAAAGATTTTATTACAAATGATTCTGAAGTTTTTCTTTTGATTCATTCATCGTGAAATGCTCACACAATGGAACATGTTGCTGTGCTCATATAGTGTATATTGTTTTTTGTTTTGCTTTGTTTTGTTTTTTGGACAGTGACAACACCTCATGCAATCATCCCATCAGCCAGTCATGTAGCAGCAGCTCAATGCATAAAATCATGCAGATACAGATAATGTTCATATCAAACATCAGAATGGGGGAAAAATGTGATCTAATTGACTTTGACTGTGGCAATGTTGTTGGTGCCAGATGGGCTGGTCTGAGTATTTAAGAAACTGCTGATCTGGAATTTTTAATCCACAGCAGTCTCTAGAGCAGCGATCACCAACCCTGGTCCTGGAGATCTACCTTCCTGCAGAGTCTAGTTCCAACCACAATCTGCCACACCTGCTCCAGCTAATTAACTTCTTCAGAAGTCCATGATTGGCTGGATGCATTAGTGTTAGGTAAGGACAACACTGCCTTGATGTAGATCTCCAGGGAGGAGGGTTGGTGACCACTGCTCCAGAGTTTACACAGAGTGATGTGAAAAACAAAAAATATCCAGGTGTGGCAGTTGAGGCAGAAAGGCCTTGTTGATGAGAGAGGTCAGAGGAGAATGGCCAGACAGGAAGGCTACGGTAACTCAAATGACCCCTCTTTGGTTCCGTTCCTGTCAGTCAAGAACAGCAATCTGAGGCTGCAGTGAGCACAGACTCACCCAAACTAGACAGTTAAAGACTGGAAAAGGCAGGTTGGATCCAGCCTGCCTTTTGTCAAAAGTTCAAGCTAGTAATGGTGTGAGGAATGTTTTCTTCGCATATACTGGATCCCCATATATGCAACAGCCAATTTGCCGACCATGAGCATCTTCTGATGGATAGTAATGTGCTTTGTCATCAAGCTCATCTCAGGCTGGTTTAATGATTATGACAAAGCGCTGAGTTCTGTGTACTTCAGTGACCTCTGCAGTCACCGGGTCTGAATCCAGGACTTAGAGCAGCTTTGGCATGTGCTAGAATGAGAGATTCGCAGCATGAATGTGCAGCTGACAAATAAGCAGCCATTACGTGATGCAATCTTGTCAGCATGGACCAGAGTCAAAAAAGCATGTTTCCAGAAGCCTGTTGAACACATGCTCTGAAAAATTCAGACTGTTCTAACAGTAAAAGGGATTCTACTCAGCATTAAACTGCTGTTCTTAATAAAGTGGTCAGTGTATTAAGGTAATATTAATATGGAGAACAAGATATGGTTAATCATAAAACAATGGAAACATAATCCTACAAGCCCACATGCTGGAATGGCACAAAATCCAACAGAAACACAAGCTTCAGTACCACACATTGGGTAGGTCTTCTTGGGTAAAGTGGATTTGAATGCCAAATGCACAAAATATGCAGAGGATTTTCAGTCAGGGAGCAGGTCCTGCAGTAACTCAGTTTATGTGGCTGGGATTTGCGGTAGTCCAAACTCGTCCACCAGAACACCATCCTGTGAAATATACAGAAAAAAGTGTATGCAAGGTATTAATGCCTTTTTTGCATGTCTATGTTTTGTTTACAATGGATAAAATTAAATAATGGAGCCCTCAGTGACTAGCATGAACGAGTGATGTAGTGCTACGTGTTGCCATAGTGTAACTTGATGTATTTCAAAAAATAAAGAACTACGGGCTTGTCACCCAATTTTTCTGATCTAATTTGAAATGCAAGTGTAACCTTATTGGTTTTGCTATCACTGGGTATCCCCTCTGGTATGGAGGGCGCAGCTGAGGCTTCATCTAGATAGGAGCTGTCATCGTCCAGCAGTAACTCATCTCCAAGGGCATCCAACTCTGAAAAAAAAACAAAATGAGCACTAAGGCGGAGCTCGCGTTGGACACATTTTCCACAGTGTGAACACCCCCGCCCCTCATGATGTGCTTCAGATTCTCTGGATCTTCTGTCTGTCAGATACACAAACAGACCACCTACCTGCTTCTAGCTCATCCTCGTCAATTTCTGGAGTACCATAGCTGCGGCTCAGAGCCTCCTGCACTTCGTTGGCTTCTTCCATCATGTCCTCAAGCTGGTCCTGTAGGTCCTAAGAAACAGGCAGCAGGATAATAAAGAGCTGACACAGTGTGTTCAATTAAAGAATCCAAACACAGCAGTCATGTGACAACATTTGTTGAAATCACATAATGCACACTACTGCCTCTTGGATCTACTAGGGTTCCACTCATAACAAAACGAATGAATGTAAAATCACTTCCAATTCATGATCGCCGGGTCTCTCATTGGCCATCTTTTGCGGAAACTACTGTCAGGGTCCAAAACTAGACATCTGAGTGCATCCTTCAGAGTAAAGTGGGAGAGAAAGGGGAGGGGCTTATGCTATGCCCATACTTATGGCAGAAACATTTAAATAGAAGAAGACAGTTTACATATTGGGATATGAATGAGACAGTTCATAACATTCAACATGACGGTTGTACTATGGAAAGTCCCACACTTCAATAAAAATGGCCAATCGCCTTGTTGGTAAAATAGGAAAAAAGCAGGAAAACGCGCCCTTGTTGTGGCGATATAGGCGTTAGTGGTAGCTGGCACATCCTAAATTATGCATTTTTTTGGTTGTTATCTGAGCCAAACACCACCAACTATATATGAGCTTTTTGTCAGATTTTACCAGTGACTGTAAATATGTGTTTGAAACAGTTTCAGGTTTATACGTCTCTCCCCATTCATACAGATAGGAGCCTGGTCTTGCACGACTGGAAATAACTGCTCAGGGTGTTTTTAAGATAGCCGCAGAGTAAACAGACTTTATTACAAGGACGTAGCCCAACACTCAAATGAATGGCTTTGCTGAAAGTCACTTATAAATTGCATGGGTTGCAATTTTTGGGGGGCTTTACTTTGTTAAGAGTGCTAATACAGCAGGCATTAAAAAAAGTTGTATTTGTTTTAGTACAAATTACGAGTCTAAAACTGAGCTCAAATAGAACTGTTTTCATAGACCACTGTAGTCGTGTCGTCATTTTGTAGTCAGCGCCATGTTGTTATGCCCATGTTAGGAACTCTGGGTCTAAGCCCCATTTCTCTATGGCCAGAATGAATAGGGTTTTCGAAAAATCGCCTCTATCGCCCCCTGTGTTAAATAAAAATGTTCAGAACCCGATATGTTTTGTCCTGTGAACATTATTCTCCAGAATACCACTGGATCCTCTGAATTACGAGGTCGTTAAAGAGTTGAAATATTAATATTGCTACATATGAGCTAAATGCTACTACACACTGAATTCAGGTAATTAGACTGACAGCCTCCTTTAGCAGGTTATCACCCGCTGATGAACTGATTTTGCCTCTCAGAATATCCTAATTTTTATTTTAATGCTGGTAACATTTTTTTCTGAGGACATTTTCTCAGGAAATTCGCCAGCTTTTTGTTCGACTTTTCCCGTTCCACTTTAAATGGCGCAGCATTTCAGAATGGCTGTGCCATTTAAGGTGGAACGGGAAAAGTCAAATAAGGGTGGAAAGGCATGATATGAGGAGGTTTCTCTATTTCCGCTGAACAGCTGAGTAACATTAACTTATTTTTGCTGTTTCACAGAACCGACAGGTCAGTATTTTGTCTCGTTTGCTAATGTTTGTGATAGCTAGTCACAGCAGCTGCACCATTTAAGGTGGAACGGGAACATTCAAACAAGAAACTGCAAAAAAAAAAAAAGCAGCTAAATTCTGCCTTGTAGTTTTAACTCGGGTAGTATTTTTGATAAGGAGTTTTAGCCTATAAAAATATCCCACTCAGAGGTTTTATTAACGGGTATACCTGTAATTATCCGCTACTGTAGAAGATTTCGTTATTTCGTTAAGGTAGCACAGCTCGTCAGAGCACCACGACAGCCCGCCTTAGTTTTGTGTAGCTTAGTGACATCAAATTGATGCACAGTAGCTTTAGCTCTCATGTAGCAATATTAGTATTATAGCTCTTCACGACCTCGTAATTCAGAGGATCCAGTGATATTCTGGAGAATAATGTTCACAGGACAAAAAGTATCAGGGTTCTGAACATTTTTATTTAACACAGGGGGCGATAGAGGCGATTTTTCGAAAACCTTATTCATTCTGGCCATAGAGAAATGGGGCTTAGACCCGGAGTTCCTAACATGGGCATAATGAGGACTACAGAATGACGCACGACTACAGCGGCCTATTGTGTTTTAAGAAAGAAATCTAATCAAATCTTGAGCTTGAAAATATGTATATCATTACATCTCTAATGTTCATCTTTCTGCTTGACAGTGCAGTCTGGTGATTACATAAATCACAATGACTTACTTCAATCTGGTCCATCTTCACTTGCTTATAGGCCTTTTTCATTTCTTTTGCACCGATCTTCATAGCCTCAACCTACAAAAGAACAAGAACATGTTTGCTTATTTATGTCAGCGCATCTTTCTCATATGCAGATTAGCTACACATTTCATGCTAAAAGTACAAACATAAAATAATGTGCACATTAATATGAAGAGTATGAAAATCATTTAATAGTTTGGGCTAAATGATGGTATATCCTTCATATTAGATGCAAATCTAATCTATGAGTGAGAAATGGGACACTGGTCCTTACTGTTGTTTTGGTGTCCTTTAAAGACTGAATGGTGTAGTTGGCCTGTTCCATGTTAAAGGACTGCTGGGCAAGTTGATCTCTTTGGCCTTCATACCTTAATCACAAGGCACAAAAGGATAGGCACATCGTACACCACAGCCTCTAAACCATATTGACAAAAGCATAGTAGTACTACAGGAACATATGTTAGCGTCTTATAGTACATTTGGACAATTACAGAGTTTACCACAGTATTGCTACTCAAGTGGTATAGATTACTGTAAGACAGTACTACAGGAATTCTATACAGAGATACTACTATGCAGTGTTAAACGGCACTATTAAAACTGTATAGCTTCTTATACTGTTATTACAGTTCTTTTTTTCTAAGCAAAACACTGTGGCACTTTCCAGTAAAACTTTATTTTGAGAGTCTACTGTAAATGCTTTATATAAGCTCAACTAAAATAACATTCAACTTATTATCTATTAGATGCAACCAAAGGTTAAGTTGGATGCACTAGATTACATTAAAGGGTCTATATAATGGAAAACCAGATTTCCTGCACTTTTTTAAAATAAAACAGTTAAAAATAATAAGTGACCACTGTCAAAGTTTCAAACTGAACCATTCAATATCCAGACTATTGAGTCCTTATATGAAAACTACACTGCAAATACAGTTTTTTGGGTTTTGAATTTTTTTCTGTGATGTTTTGAAAACCAGCTCATTTACATTCAGCCACCTATTCAGCCTTCAGCGGTTCAGCCCTGCCCACTTATACTAAAGTCCTAAGGAGTGTTTGAGCTCTGAGTGCTCTTTAAATGAGGCACAATGCAGGACAGCCAATCAGAGCAGAGCTCATTTATCTTACATCAGTCTTAGAGGGACAATAACAAAAACAGCCTGTTTGACTGCGAGGGATAAAGAGAGGTCAGAAATGCTCATGTCAAAATAAATGATGACCATGTAGTAGTACATAATACCACACAAATGTTATAAGTCAACCTCAAGGCAAAAAAATATAATACAATAAAAATGCAGGATTGCAGGACACAGGAAGGGCCCTTTAAATCTAACTCTAGACCTAACATACCATCAACCCATAAACCTGTCTTAAATATAGTCCTAACCCTGTTGGTAGTTAAATATGTTTCACCAAAAAGCATCTGTAGGTCAATAGGTCACTCTCAAAATAAAGTGTGACCCACTATTCAACCATATGGTAACGTACCACATACAGACAGTATGCAATTCCCAAAATGCAATTCTTCATCTTAAAGATTAAACAGACTTACATTCTCTTCTGTTTGAGGACCCTCATCGCCTTCTGCTTCACTGCATTCTGTAAAAGGAGGGTTCAGTCCAGACTTACAGAGCCAGTTCTGCTTCACCACTGAACATGCACTGATTCACTCTTACAGTAAGTTATAGTGAAGTCACTGAGGGGTCATCATTTACCTTCGCCGGACCTTCTCTCATCTTTTTCATCTGATCTTTGTACTTGATGAGCTCGGCGTCGATTCTGGCGATCTTCTTGTCGATGGAGTCGGCCCTGGCTTCGACCTGTGAAAGTGAAGGTGTGCATCATCAGTGCGGTCAGTCAGCGGCAGCGCCATGACTGTCAGACTGTCGGGATTCAGGATGAGACACTGATTTAGAGCTCGAGATCAGCGAAGCAGCTCACATTTCCGATGCACTCTGAGAGGTTGGGTGGGGCCTGGTTCTTACTCCGACCGAAGATGCGGTTCATGATGTGTGGAGAGGGGGGTTCCTGCTCTGTGTGAAGAGTGCAAAAGAAAGAAATGGATAAAATAAACGCGAACCGGGGCCGACAGAGCAGAGCATCAGTGAGGATGCATTTCCGGTGGACCACACAAACAAACCGCGCTAGAATAAAAGTCACCACACTATCCCACAGTCGAATTACTGTATCATTACTACACCATCGTCAAATTACTGTAGAATTACTAAACCATAGTCAAATAGAATTACAACACGTCCTCTACACAATTTAATTTTGTAATTTTGTATATAGTAATTCTTCTATATGATTCTATAGGCTTACTATAAAATAACTATAGAATGTCATTATTATATAACTATATTTATATATTACTATATAGTAACATTATTATAACATTTCTATAAATGAACTACACTATATTGTAGTAAAAATGGTATAGAACTATACTATATTACAGTAAAATCACTATAGGATATACTGGAGTAAAAGTATTATAGAATAACAGTACTACACTAAAGTAAAATTGCTGTAAAATTCTTATAGTATAATAAAAAATTACTTTAGAATTATTATACTTCTGTATAGTAGTCCTACTATTAAATTATTCCAAAACACTATACTATCCTACAGAAAATGTGTAGTTACTGAGTGTTACTGAATGTTGCTGAGTGTGCTGTAGTATTTTTACTATATGAAGATTTTCATTCCAAAATGCTGTAAATCCATTTGTAACAATTTTGGATATAATGAGTTTTTGAAAAGAATAACAGCTGATATAGAATAGTAAACCCATGTTTACTTGTCTATTAAAAGTGGTATAAATCATAAAATAGCATTGATATTTCTTTTTGTAAGTGGCTCTGGATAAGAGCGTCTATTAAATGCTAAAAAAGAAAATGTAAATGTCTTGTATGTGTAAGGCCCACTCCCAACAACGTATATAGGCTTATCTATCAGCAGAAGTTTATTAGGTCCTGTTCTTCTCTTTTGGGGATCTTCACAAAAATAAAACAATAAATCTTGAAAATGAGAGATGTGAGCGACAGCAAAGCTGAATGAACTGAATAAAATGAGTAACACTAGCCTTTAAAAGTTCGGAATCACAATTCAAACATCTGGAATCACAGTTTTCAATAAAAAAAATTAAATGTTACAGCTGAATGTATAAATTGATCCTATCATGGTGCTACTAATCTACACCTTTTACATTCTTCAAGCAATTACTATGGTGCTTCCTCAACAACTGAGAAAACAGTATAAACATATGTGATACCTGGTGAACAAAGCTCACGCAGATAATGTATCAAAAATTGCTACAAATGAATAATTATATTATATTATTTATCACTTATAACATTTTTGTGTTCCCAAAAAACTTGAAATAATGAATTACACATTTTATAATACCTTCTTATTTCTAGCTTTTAGTATTTCAGTACTGTGTAAGTTATTATGGAATAAAATAATAGCAGTTACTAACATAACAAGTGATTCAAAACTTTATGAATGCTAGTGTAAATGTGATGGAGTAAAATGTCCTTGAGTAGAAGTCAGCATGTCACTAGAACACACATAGAAATGTGCAAATCCATCATATTTAGTATGTTCTTTGGTAAATGGAACTAGTCATTACCCATCTCTGATTTGTTTGGACCATTTATTTGTGCAAATTAAATGTGAGATTTATTAATTCAGGTCAAATTATTTCCTACAGACCTCTGAGAGTTTCTGAAAGCATTTTCAGACTGTGATGATGTGCAGTGTGTAAACCACCTGACCAAACAGCAGCATCTCCAGTAGTATTGTATAAGAACTATTAGCATAAAACCTCCTTTCTCAGTTGATCTATGGGATCACATATTTTTTAATTATGCTGAAGATCCTTGAACTGCCATAAAATAATACGAAACATGAATTACAGCCTTAGTGCCTGCTTTTAATGTTTGCATAATTTATTTCCATGCAGGTATCAGCACTTTTACAGTACAGTACAGCTCTTTATCTGACCAGTAAGCATTTATTTGCTCAGAAAAAAACAGTAACATTAGAACAAATGCAAATGAACATGAATACTATTCATATAGTTTGATTATTATAGGTATTTCCAAGAAGTATTTCCAAACGTCTCCTTCTGTTTTAAATACTAATTTTATAGTTACCATCCAATATGCTTCAGCCAATCAATACCTCAATAAGTTAAATTAGGTGCACTTGTGGTGGAATTAAAAAAAGATGTGCAATGACTGGGGTCCAAGAACCAAACCTGGGTTCTTCTACTCAACGAAGATTATAGCAATAACTGTAGAGGGTTTCAGATGGTTTGCGCTGGTCTTCGATGATTATCAGCTACATTCTTGCTGGTCTAAGATGGTCAAGGTAGTTGACCAGCTGGACTAGGCAAATCATACCCTATGATGATGATCAACTTGGCCAAGCTGGTCATGCTAGTAGGTCAACTTGGTTAAGTTTGTCATGCTGGTACACTCTTTAAAAAGATGGGTTCTTAAGTAAAGACTATGGTTCTATATAGAACCATGAACACTCAAACAACACTTTGCATGATTAAAAGGTTCATGGCACAGTGAAATGGTTCTTCAGATTGATGGAGAATGTGCTGTATAGGGTTCTATACAGAAACTTTTTGAAAAGGGTTCAATATAGCGTTCTATAGAGTTATATAGAGTTATATAGAGAATATAGAGTTCTGCTACTGTTATGATGACAAGCTTGTAACAGTACAAGGACACTTTTTAGTGCTAAATAGAATTCTTTTCAAAATATTTAAACATAGAACCATATACAACACATTCTCCATAAATCTGAAAAATGCTCTCATTGTGCAAAGAATCCATTAAGCATGCAAATGGTTCTTTGAGTGTTTGTGGTTTTATATAGAACAATTGTTTTTACTAAAGAACATTTGAAGAACCATATTTTTTAAAAGGTCAGTTCAACTTGCTTCAGCTGGTCATATTGGGAGTTCAAATTGGTAAATATGGTCATTCTGGTAGTCCAGCTTGGTCCGACTAATCATCCATCCATCCATCCATCCATCATCTAAACCGCTTATCCTTCTGGGTCGCGGTGGGGTGCTGGAGCCTATCCCAGCTGTCATTGGGCGGAAGGCAGGATACACCCTGGACAGGTCGCCAGTCCATCGCAGGGCAGACAGACAGACATACATATACAGTCACACCTAGGGGCAATTCAGCATGTCCAATTGGCCTGACTGCATATTTTTGGACTGTGGAAGGAAACCGGAGTACCCGGAGGAAACCCACGCAGACACGGGGAGAACATGCAAACTCCACACAGAAACGACCCTGGTCACCCGGCCGGGAATCGAACCCAGGCCCTCCTTGTTGTGAGGCACCGTGCCGCCCCCGACTAATCATGATAAGTGCAAACACCTTTGAGCATTCATGGGACTGCAGTGGAATGAGTGAACTGCTTTAAATTTCTCTGTGTTCATGTAGCCAAAGATTTTACCTGGTCACTCAACATGAGACATGTCAAAAAGGTGCCAAATGCATTCATTTCCTCAGGAGGCTGAGGAGAGTCTACCTGCCACATTAGCTCCTCTGCAACTTCTACAGGATCACAGTGGAGAGTATCCTTACTAGCCTGAGACATACAGGGCATCCAATAAAAGAAATGAGAGGAAATTGTCTTTAAAAACATTCCAGATGCTTCTGTTGTGAGTGAGTTCCTAATATATCTAAAATTTGCCAAGTTATATTTTACTATGCAGGTCATCTTTTTATGTGTTTATTAAAACTATAAGTGCAACCCAGAAAAATTCCCAAATATTTGAACATTTTTATGTTCAGACCATTTACCAAAATCCCTCTGTTTTGTTTACTAATGAAATAGAGAGTAACTGTTTGCTCAACTTTCAGCGTTAAACTGGAATCACTGAAGTAATTTATAACTTTATTCATTACTTGTGATGATTTGGCAGCAACTTGCACTGCATGCATCTGATGGGTATACAGTACTGTGTCATCAGCATACATCTGAATCTCCAAACCAGTACATACTGACAGCAGATCATTTGTGTATAAACTGAATAACAGAGGTCTTAGCATAGAACCCTGTGGAACTCCAACAGTGCACACTTTAGGTGATGTTAAAGCAGAATTAATCTGCACACATTAAGATAAACCAGATAAGCAAGACTTAATCCAGTTTTGTGCATCTATGGAAAGTTTATATTGTGCTAACTTAAAACGGCTTTGTTTATTTACTGTGTCAATAGCCTTACGCAGATCAAAAAGGCTGCACCATCCAATTTAGTTTTAATATCTTCAAAAAATATAATGTGCCGTTTCAGTAGAATGATTTTATCTAAATCCAAATTGCATGCAATGCAACAGACCTTCAGAAGATGTGCTATCAGCTGCTCAGAAACTACCTTCTCTAAAGCCTATGAAATAGGAGGGACAGTACTAACTGGTCTGTAATTGCTTATTTTCTGTCTGTCTCCTGACTTATGAACAAGAGTTTCTATTGCAAGTTTCAGTGTGCTAGAGATTATGTTCTCCTGAACTGACTGATTTATATTGTAAGTTACTGTGGGAGTTAAATTATTTCTAGGTATTATTTTATTTTTTTTGAGAAGGAGCATGTCAATTCTGAAAATCTTTTTTGCGTTGGAGTTTGAAAATGATAACAGAATTTTGTTCACTTTTACTTCACTTACAGGTTTCATGCTCAGTTCTATCTGGGGAGGATGCATTTGTGGCGAATTCTGACACGTCTGTGTAACAGAATCAATAATAGAAACTATTAGCCACCTCTAAAATATCACATTGAAATGTGCCATTTAAGTTAATGCCATATATCCCCACTCTTCAGATGTTCAATGGCCATTGGTGGTCAAATGAAAATACATCTTATGCTGGTCAATCAGCTAAGCAGGTCACCACCATAACCAGCTTAAGCTAACCTTTTTTTTCAGGAGCGTTGGCTGGACTAAGACTTTTGCACAGTACAGAATGATTTTATTTTAAATTTGCTGTTGCCAGTTGCAGATGTTACTGGAACATAATTTTACTTCAATCTTTTTTCTTACAAAGATCCATGGAAGGGCAGAAATTTCAT